CCAAAATTAGTACCAAAAGGGTTTTGAATTCATTTTTAGTCAACTTTAGATTCAATTTGGTTATTTGGGGTGCTGATTCAGAAACATGTATTGGATAAACCATATCAGTTTTAGTTTCTGATACAGAACATATGCCATCCAGTAGTTGCCATTATTAAATTAAATATAGTTTTCTTGCCCACATTTAATAAGCCTCGGCACTATAAGAGGGTTTCCCAAGATCAGTCACTCTTGTTACAACAGTGTAGTAACAGTGAAATCAGACCATATTTAAGTTCTTGTGGATCACTGGTGGTCCACAGACCACAGGTTGGGAACCACTGATTTAGAACATCCTGCTCTATCTCCAATAGCATTAGAAAGCCTTCAGATACCTCGGAGATTGGCTCAGCTATTCATGAAGGGGGCTGTGCAAGATAACATCTGACATTTATTGGACATAGTTATCACACAAGCTCAACATCACCTATCTCCAAAAAACAAAAACTCGAAAACAAGGTGAATTTCTAGTTTTAATTTTTCCTATTTTTTCAACTTTTTTCTCCCCCAAACCCCTTTTTCCCCAGTGCAGAAGGCTACTCATTCCTGAACAGAAGAGATAGAGTTAGGTAGCTGGGATACTATTGCCAAGAAGAGAAAGCAGGCATGAATTTGAGGAAAGTTGGCATATTTTAGTGCTGATAAATTGCGTTGGGAAGATCAGAGGCAAGGTGGTAAGAAAACACTAGGAGAAACATGGTGCTTAGAAGTGGCTTTTATAAGTTTAGCTATTTATTTATTTACCCTATTTATACCCCACCTTTCTCAACACTTATTAAAATCACATTAACCAAGCTATGCAAGCAAAATTCATTAGTATCAGGCAGAAAGTTGCAGTAGCTTCCAGACACAGATGTAGTCACTAGATCCTTCTGGAATGCAGAAGAACAAAGAAAGGTATGGATTATAGAGATGAGAAAACCACAAACTTCCAGCAATTGGACTACATTTTGCATAATTACTGACCCTGCATGTTGGAATTGATGGGAACTTGAATCCCAACATCTGGAAGGCTAAAGAGGCCTATGAGTGATGCTATTTCCTTTAATGCTAAGTCTGCTCAATATCATATACAACTGCATCCCAGTCTAGCTTTGATCTTCTTCCCGTTCAGTTGCTTCCTTTTTCCTTAATGCTTTAAAATTTTATAAGAATTTAGATTATAGGTGGGCTATTTCAGCAGTTCAGAGGGCAAACTCTCTGAACCTGCTCTCCCAATGTGTTGGATTTAATAGCAAATTGCAATAAATAAATAAAATACTCCTTTAAAATATTAATTTTCTGTCTGCTTTGGAAAACATTTGGCACTGTCACAAAAATTTAGTAACATTATGACAGGGCAGTGGAATGGCCAAATGGAAATATGGTAATGAGCTGCTTTTTGCTTAGTCCAATCTAGGCTGTCATGTACTTATAACCTGAAAATTCTGTCTTGCCACATTCTCAAATTGCTTTCCAAGAGGATCATGCTATTTGTGTGTATATTTGTTATGTAGGCTACAGCCAGGCATCTTCTGTTTTCTTCCACTAGTTTGGTGAGAAATTTAAATTTTCCCCATATAGAAACAGCAATCTTATGGTTATGGAATGGGTATTTTTAAATAACCCTAACCCTAGCCCCCAAATTTGACAGTGAAAGTTGGACAGGTTAAGAATTTGTGACGTCTCTGGTGCTGACCAGCAGTGCATTCAAAGCCACTGTGTAAACAGCAGGGGTTTATTGATAATCATTATTGTAGTGCTTATTGTCAAAATGCCAATGATCTCCACCCTCTTCGGCAAAAGCTATTTAGGTACATTTGCATAACTTCCAAAAACCGTGATAAGTCATGTAAAATAAAAAGATAGAACTACTTTTCTGTCGCCTGTTTGTATCCACTCAATACTCTCTCTGCTTTGACAGTATGAGTTGCCTCCTGAAATCAGTTTCCTGTCCAATTGCTGCACAATTTTCTCAAATTCAAAATGGACTCCAACCCCAATCTGTTTTTATATTTCAAAAATCACTTTTGTGATACTTCTGACATTATGAGCACCCAACGATCTCTTCCTTGCTGAAAGAAACCCACATTTCTCCCTAATGTCCGAGCTCAAAAATAGTTCATCAGATTATGGTCTTCTTTCACTGCACAACCTTTTCCAAACTCGGTATTACTGTGAAGTCTCTCCGTCAGTGTCTTAGGACATAATACTTCAGCCTCTTTATATCAGCGATTGTTCAGCTAAAAACATTAACTGTTCCTGACCACAAACTATCACTGCTTTACTACAATTATGATGAATTACAGTTAAAAACAAGTAGCTGTGAATTGTTATGTGTTGTTGAAGGCTTTCATGGCCGAGTTGCTGTGAGTTTTCCGGGTTGTATGGCCATGTTCCACAAGCATTCTCTCCTGATGTTTCACCCACATCTATAACAGGCATCCTCAGCAGTTGTGAGGTCTGTTGGAAATTAGGCAAGTGAGGTTATATATCTGTGTAATGTCCAGGGAGTGAGAAAGAACTCTTGTCTGCTTGAGGCAAGTGTGAATATTGCAATTGGCTACCTTGATTAGCATTTAATGGCTTTGCACCTTCAAAGTCTGGTTGGTTGCTGCCTGGGGGAATCCTTTGTTGGGAGGTGTTAACTGGCCCTGATTGATTCTTGTCTGGAATTCCCCTGCTTTTTGAGTGTTGCTCTTTATTTATTGTCCTGATTTTAGAGTTTTTTAAAAATACTGGTAGTCAGATTTTGTTCATTTTCATGGTTTCCTCCTTTCTGTTGAAACTGTCCATGTGCTTGTGGATTTCAATGGTTTCTCTGTGTAGTCTGACATGGTGGTTGTTAGAGTGTGTTCTCGTTTTTATTTATCTCTAACTTCACCTGCTCCACGTTTCCCATGATGGTTATTTAAAAGAAGTTGATCCTGTCAATGCTTTGAATACATGTTCAAGAATGGTACTGCAGACATATAAGAAAAAAAGGATTCCACTTGTGTTCCTTTTGTGTTCCAAAACAGAATAGTTGTATGATGAAATGTCTGTACTTTGGAGAAAGTCTAGTGTATCTCACATAAAATTAGCAGGTTGACCAACTCTTTTTTTACATCTCCAAGCTGATAACTACCAAAGCATTAAGAATCTAACTTGCTAAAAATCAAAATGGCAACGAAAAATAGTTTTTCAAGCATTTCCAGAGAAACCTCCTCCTGTGCCAAAATCACAGGTACCTAACCATTTTATACCTTTGTGAATAATGGCCTAACAAAATCAGGAAACTAAGATATATAGTATATACCAGCAAGTTTCCAAATTCATTTGATCCCTCTCCTCTCTAGGGATTTAAGAACTCAGCAAGAAAATGGCACCTCATTAACGTTTATTACGATAATAAATACACTGTATTTGTTGAAGGCAACAGGACATGTTTTTGTTTTATATGGCAACAAAAGGCTGCCCAAGTAGCATTAAAAGAATCGGCCATCACAAAGGGAGGAAAAACCATAATGTACTAGGGGCTATGGTTGAGTACACAAAGGAGAGAACAGCCCTTTACTAATTTATGATAATAAATGTTGTATGCATCCATTTTAAAAGATGCTTTGCCATTTTATTCAATAATTTAGACCTCAAATTCACAAGGGAGACAGGACTCTTTTTCTAAATTATATAAAAAAGTTCCAGTAATTACCATCAAATTGCTTTCTATCAATTAAGGATTTTCTTTCATTATTACTAAAAGACACATCATTTAACTTTCTTTTGCAATGCAGATGGCTGTCCCTGCAGATCTGCCTCAGTTGGCAACCTTTGTCAGGGGTGGGAAATAGGTACCAAACAAGGTAGAAAGTATGGCAGCTACACATAGTTTTCAATTCAGATTGTAAAATGTCTTGGACCAACATTGAACAATGTTTTCTTAACCCCACCCCCCAAAGAACAGCTTCCTCTAATCTGTTACACGAGTAGAAATTGATCCAATGTACTTTTACCTGCTGGCTCAAAAAAAAAAAAAAAAAAAAAAAAAAAAAAAAAGGTTGAAAGGGAGATCTTGCCATATCATCAGAAATGTATTTGTTAGGTATAGAAAAAGAATGGGATATTAAATATGAACTGCTTTTTCGTATATGATAGTACCAGCAAGAATACTGCTCAAACTTGGAAACAGTTTGAAGCACCAATGACAGAATGGATTGCTAAGGTCGCAAAATTAACCCAAAATATCAAAGTAACACAGGTTTTAAAAGACAAAGCAACTGAAGGCATTTTTTTTTAAAAAACCTGCAAAATGTTCATGAGCTTTTTTGAGCAATAAGAAATCTAACAATGTAAATAATCTATATTTTCCATACTTTTCTTTTTCATTGCACTTTGGATCACAGCTCTTTAGCATTCCTGTTTTAGTTACTGTCGTATATATACATGTCTAACTTGAGATATATATATACAGTTGGCCTTCCCATTTGTGGATGTTACCTTAGTGGATTTGATTATTTATAGATTATTTGTCGCAGCCTTTGCTGCTCCCCTTTGGCAATTAAAATAATAATTTATAAATCTTGTCTGATTGTAACTAGAACAAAAACCTATCTTCTCTTGTGTCTGAGAATAAAGAAAAGGGACACAAAGAAAGATTTACTGAAGTAGTTTTAAGATGGCAATTGGCTGTACTGACTTTGAGATGCTAGGAGCTGTAATCCAGAAAAAGTAACTTTTCCAGGCACTGACAGATTCCATCCTAACTGTTTATGACCAGAGGGAGGGCTGGTCTTCATTACCACAATAAAACAAACCCAGAAGAGACTCTTCCCCTCAACGGTTTCATGTATGAATTATGCTGTGAAGAGGTACTTTCCATTCTGTATGAGGATGCGGTAAAGCAAGCACCATGCTTTAAGCCTAGTTCACCACCTGAAACAAGAAAATCTAATACCGTATCATCTTTCATATACCACATTGTATTTAAAAGACCACACAACAGATCACAACACACAGAAAACTTTACTCATTTATGATTTTACAACATCAAAATATAGCAAGTATGAAAACATAATTTAACAGGCGTCCTTTTAAATAATACTACTGTAAACAACTGCAATAATTCTTCACCTGCTTTATATTCCATACCAAACCGTTGGCAATGGCAAATCATGAAGATTTATCAGGTTGTACAGCAGTCCTTTTTAATTCGTCATTTCTGTTAATTAATAGAACAAGATAAGTTAATAACACAATACACATTTGAATAGTCCCAATCTCTCTTTGTTTTCAGTCAAAGATGATATAACGCTCAAGCAGGCTCTGTCTTTTTCTTTTCACATTAAACCTATGAAATTGTAATTTTGTGAAAGGGCTAAGAGTCTACGTTTTAAGTACTCACAACCCTATTAGTACTGAACTAGTTTTGACATCCTTCCAAATAGCCCAAAATAAAAAAAATATACCACTCTACTTTTAGAAGTCAATATGTTTTTGTGTATGCCATCAACATGCACACTTAGATATTGGTAGATATTGGAAACAAATATTTGTTTTCTCCAGTCTGTGAAGACTGGAGTTTTGATGTGAAATATTTCAGCCTGCAGCATGACTGCAATCAGAAGATAAATCTATGACAGAGGAAATGCCAATTCTAAAGTAATCAAATTGTCAGGATGCATGCTTTTGAAAAATTATTGACTCCAGCTGTAAGGAGAGGAAGGGAGTCTAGGAGCCAAAAAAAGTTTCCTGAGTAGTCACCTGCGAAATAGCACTAATGGTATTCCTGCGCCTGCGCAGGCCCAGCTTTCGGAACCTTCTAAAGTTAAAAAGAAACATTTTGCTCCCCAGTCCCGCCCCCCCCCCCCCCGAGTATATAAGGTCCGTGGGCGGGACCAACCGTCAATTCTCTTCCGCCGCACAGCAGCCAAAAGGAAAGCGGCATGACACTCGAGGGCAGGAAGGGAGGGAACGTGCTATTTCGCAGGTGACTACTCAGGAAACTACGGTTACAGGTAAGCAACCCATAATTTCCTGTCGTAGTCAACTGCGAAATCGCACTAATGGTAGACTAGCAAGCTACAGCCAGGATGGAGGGAGTCATGCCACGGCAGAAAAAAGTACAGTCCTGCCAAAGCACGCGTCCCTCCTAGAAGGTTCCGAAAGCTGGGCCTGCGCAGGCGCAGGAATACCATTAGTGTGATTTCGCAGTTGACTACGACAGGAAATCTCATCCAGTCCATTACTGATGATAGACACTGGGTTAGGGTCAGAACAGCTTTCTTGGTGGAAAGGAGTTGTAGAGTTGGGTGTCATCTGCACATAGATGGCACTGCTCTCCAAAACTCTGGATGACCTCTCCTAGAGGTTTCATGTATGTATTAAACAGCAAATGGATAACACATTATACAAATGTGTCAGTCTAGAAATTTTATTCAAAAAAATCTACTAAAAAACCTGATAGACTTACTCATGGGCCAATGTGAGTACTGTACCTTAATTGTTAACGTAAGAGGAACAATTCCCTATTCTGAGTAGATTGGTGAATACAAATAGCTTAGTCCATCCCAGGACAACCTAAAAGAAGCACTGACACCCTCTAGTCTCTCCACTGCAGAACTGCTTCTGGCTTTTTTGAATGCCTGGAAAATGGCAATGGTGGACAGGGGTGGATCACCCCTTGAATTGGCCTTGCTGCCCTCCTCTCTCCACAGAATGGTCTTCAGCGTGTCCATAGGTCATATCAAAATCCACAATTTCGGCCCCCAAACCTGTCCTCAATTTATATCCATGAGTATATACAGTATTTTCCAATTATGACTTTTAAAAGGAATTTTTAGAGAATCAACTACATTATTTTATTCTTTTACACTTCTTAACTCCAAAGCAATGCTAAAAGATGCTCACAGTCTTTGATTTTCCAGTTCTTGTGGTAAGTCACAGCCAACGTAAACTCCGTTTTCCAAGCTGTAATCCAAAAGGGCACAAAAGGAGGGATTCTGATCAAAAGAAAATAAGACTGTGAGAGCTATGTACTTTATTACTTATGTTCAAATATAAACAGTGCACTAGTTTTTTTTATTCTTCAGCATACCTAAAGAGGAATGAGTCCCCTTGGGGGTGAGATGGGTGGGATATAAATGTAATAAATAAATAAAAACTTACAACATACATGGAGCTGCATTTTATGCACATGTGTTGTTAAATTGGAATTGTATAAATTGAACAACATAACCTCATTATAATCTCTGAGATGTATTGTACAAGAAATAGCTATTTAATATGGTATCTCTGAATAAAGAAAACACATATTATAGTAGACTCTCAGTTAACTAGAACTCTCAAGTAACTGGGAAAGAGTCAAAGACATAATAGTATATACATGAATTTAAAAATAAAATAAAATTTTAGCTGAACAAAGATGTTTTTATAATAGTTATAATATAGTTAAACTGTGTTGCACTAAGATATGTTTGCTTTTTAATTAATTTGCTTTTAATTACTGTATTTCAATATTAATATCAAATTAATATAGAGTTTATGGAATGATATAACATGTATAGTAGTAGGCTTATTTTTAATAGTAAAACTCAAGCAACAAGTACATTTATCCAGCATCTTCCAATCCCCATACTTACTTAGGTGATCCCTCGTCTTCCAGGATCAGTGTGCTGATCCTGGGTCCGTAGGTGACTGTGGAGCCCTATTCTTGATCTTAATCTTCTCTCGCAGTGAGGGCATTGGTTTCCAGGTGGAAGGTGGTCTCGGTCAGGGTTGGCTTGAAGTGCCTTCCTCTTGGCACGTTTCTCTTTTGCCCTCCATTCGTGCCTCTTCAAATTCTACAGCACTGCTGGTCACAGCTGACCTCCAGCTGGAGTACTCATGGGCCAGGGCTTCCCAGTTCTCAGTGTCTATGCCAGTTTTTAAGGTTGGCTTTGATCCAATCTTTATATCTATTTCCTGCCCACCAACATTCCGTTTTCTGTTCTTGAGTTCAGAGTAGAGCAACTGCTTTGGGAGATGGTGGTCGGGCATCCGGACGTGATCGGTTCAGCGGAGTACCATCACTTCAATGCTGGTGGTCTTTGCTTCTTCCAGCACGCTGACATTTGTCTGCCTGTCTTTCCAAGAGATTTGCAGGATTTTCCTGAGGCAGCGTTGATGGAATCGTTCCAGGAGTTGCATGTGACGTCTGTAGACAAGTCCACGCCTTGCAGGCGTAAAGCAGGATTGGGAGGACAATAGCTTTATAAACAAGCATCTTGGTCTCCCTACGGATGTCCTGATCCTCAAACACTCTCTGCTTCGTTCAGAAAAAAGCTGCACTCGCAGAGCTCAGGCGTATTTCAGTGTCAATGTTGACTTTGTGGAGAGGTGACTGCCAAGGTAGCGGAAATGATCAACATTGAGGTCTTTGGGTCTTCGGACTGTGCTTGGTCTGGAAACTCCCCCGCGGTCACTCCTGGGAGTGCACGACTCCAGTCGTTGTACCCGCAGTTTCAATGGAACATGCAAGCCCCCTCACCACGACAAGGTGGCAGTCCATCGAGGGGGACAATCCCCATACATGCATGTTAACAGAGAGTCTACTGCACTTTTACCTCTGCAGAATTTTGCATAACTCATAGCTTAACAGAAAGAAGGGGGAAAGGGGGAAATGAACACTTTCCTGGTTTTCATCTAAGTTGGCCATGGGGTGGGTGTTACTGTCATTTTAATAAGTGACACAGGTGGAGAATAAAATTCTTCTTTGCGTTTCTGTTTTGTAATTCATAAATATATCTTGAATTTGCACAGAATTGAATTTGCGTTTATAGCTGAACAACATCTTCTGATGAGAGCCTGCTTCCAAACTGGAATACAATTTAAATTCATGATCTTCTCTGCATTTCCTGTTTCTGTTTTGCTGCCGCAGAATATCAGGAACACCTTTACTTTTGAGGGTTACCTTCCAGTTAGTTCAACTTTATTTTCTCTTTCTTTCACTTTGTTTTCATTTATTTTCATACCTTTATCTTCCAAACCAAGTTATTCTTTGTTCCCACCCTTTTCTGTGCAAAAGAGGCAACCTGTCTCTGAACAGCGGATACATATTATATTTGAAGATTACATAAATGAACAGTGAAGGACATATAGATTTTAGCCCAGTGCCATGAAACTCAAGTTTCTTTGAAAAAACAAATCAAAGAGTCTTGTGGTGCCTGAAAAACTCATTAATTATTTGTGGACTGGAAAGAATTCAGAGGAAAGTGAAATGTTCTAAGTACAGAAAGTGATTATTACCATTTTAGCAGCAGGCACTTACAAAACAAATGTTGGATGGTAAGAGGAATGCATTGTGGAGGTTATTAAGAGATGGATTATGTGAAAATCTTGTGTCACTATCTTGTCACAGGAAATATAGTTGAACCTCTTGATAAACATAGTTCAGTCCTTTCACTCAGAAATCTGTCTTTAAAGTTCCTTTGCCCAATAACAACCATCCCAAGGTCAATGACAAGAGTGTCCTGGGAAACTGAAGGTCCCTGGTTCTTGAACACTGACATTTTTGGTGTCAACTTTGTGTCCAATGGGGAGGCACAGAAATTGTCCTATGTAGATTGCAGTAGCATATTATGGGCAAACAGTGCCATATATGATACTGGGAGATGAGATGCTGAGGACAATATAATTAGGTCTTAATTATGTCAACGGCTGCGGATCCTCCAATTGTAATTGTAGGTCAGGTTGAAATATTCACAAAATAATGTTTTAAGAGATATGAAAATATAACACTGCCTCAGGGAATAATGTGATATCTGAATTTAGGATGACTTTAACAGAAATGCAGTAACAGCGAATCTTGTCAGAGCACATATCTTTCTGACTCTCTTAGCATATGCAGTTGCTACCAAGAATGTAGTCATCACAGACAGCAAGTGTAAGATACAGGGATCTCGCGGTTCAAAGGGTTCAGACATAATTTGGGAAGTACTACTATCAAATCCCAAGAAGTGAGAGACAGAATGACAAACCATGTATGCTTTTGTGCACAGTTTCTTGAAACCCCGAGGAAGGCGGGCACAATGCACAATCCGATACTCTCATCAAGGGTCCCTTAACAGATTAGGGTGAATGCCTTCAGTTGTCCGGAACTGTCTGAGTCTCATACGTTGCAGAGGAACATATTGATTGTGTGGGTAGAAAATAAATTTGGCCTATTTGACACTGTACATCAGTGGTTCCCAAACCGTGTCCATGGACCACCAGTGGTCCACAAGAACTAAAATATGGTCCACGGCCTCACTGCTACTACACCGCTGCAATGAGAATGACTGATCTATTCAATACAATTTTCTGAATCAGCACCCCAAATAACTATGCCAAATCTAAAGTTGACCAAAAACTGATTTGTAACCCTTTTGGTACTAATGTTGGAGAGTGGTCCCTGGTCAAAAAAAGGTTGGGAATCATTGCTGTATATGGAGCCTGGCTGCCTGATCTAAAAGAATCTCATGACCTAGATTCACTGTACTTGTCTTTTTTAACCTCTTTTTTCAGTTCTGCCATCCAAGTCCTGAGCTTGATACGCACCATTCCTTTGTCACTCTCTCAGCTGTTATTCTTTCTTTAAATAGAAAAGCTGAGAAAAATAAATAGATCATATTTATTTATTTATTTATTTATTTACAGTATTTCTCACCACTAGGGGGACTCAAAGCAGTTTACACATAACTGACAAAACTTCAGTGCCATACATTGGACACTGACGCGATGCCAAACCATAACAACCACAATAATAAAACCACAATTAAACATAAATCATAATTAGACAGTACATAAGCAATCATTGAAACAATAAATAATAAAAACAGTCTTGCCAGTCGTACTGTCATTTTAGTCCATGTCCTTTAAACTCTACAAACATCTACTGTCCGAAGGCCTGATCCCAAAGCCATGATTTTAATTTCTTTCTAAAAACCAGGAGGGAAGGAGCAGATCTTACCTCATTTGGGAGTGTGTTCCATAGGCGAGGGGCCACAGCCGAGAAGGCCCCGTCTCTCGTCCCCGCCAGACGCAATTGTGCAATAGACGGGATTGAGAGCAGGGCCTCCCCGGATGATCTTAGATTACGAGACGGGACGTAGGAGTGGATGCGTTCGGACAAGTAAGCTGGGCCAGAACTGTATAGATATAGATACGAATATGGTCCAAATGAAAATTATTAGCATATGAATGCTTTGACAGTGACATTATCTCATAGAGTTACTGGCAACTCATTATCATCTGAAATCAAAACTTTTAATTGAATTAAATTAACATAAATTAAATTGACAAACAAAACTTACTTTGGCAAGCACATGAGGATTTCCCACTATAATAAGCAATGCTTTGGGTCTGGTTATTGCTACATTGAAGCGTTTTGAATTTGCAAGGAAGCCTAAATAGACTTTTTCATCACTGCCTGAAGTTTCATTTGACCGAACCTGGAACATAAATAACATGAAGTCTTACAAACACCCAGAGTGCCATTGCATTCACATGCATACTATACGCACACATACTAACCTTAATCTCATTATAGCTTCTTATGTTAGTATAGAAAGTGAAACAAGTTAGATCCGTGTGATCAATGAAAAAAAAATGTTTCAGTACCCAGTATGAAATCAGGGGGTGGGGGAAAATTGGTTCTATCTTAACTATAACGGGTTAACTACTTTTACATTACTTTTTGTTAAGTAATTGTGAGAATGGGAAAAAAACAGGGGCTCCTTTCTCCCTCATTGTTAGAGCTATTTGCATGAAACTTACTACGATCATAGAACACATTTACCACTATTAGCTCATCAAGTTTCAGAACATTTCACTCTTCCACAGATTTTTGGAAAATGTTCAAAGTTTTTACAAACAAGTTAAAAAAAACCCTACAAGAGCTATCTCCTTGAATTTTCTATACAATACCACAAGATAGCAGGGAATCATTTTCCCCAATTTTCAGAAATATTCATAGATCTACTGATTTTGGGATTTTAAAAAAGTTTTGACCTCTGAGGAAGCTTGCCATAGATGCAGGCGAAACGTCAGGAGAAATGCCTCTAGAACATGGCCATATAGCCCGAAAAAACCCACAAGAACTTTTGACAAAAACTTTTTTTAAAGCCCCAACAGCTATCTCATTCATTGCCTTTAGCCAATAGGACTTCAATTTAGGGATTTCTTCCCAGCCCAGCAGATTTACTTACTTGTACTTAAGTATCAGTCTTCCTCTTTACAGATTCAACCATTTATTGGAACTCTGGTTGCTACTAGGAGGGGAAAATCTCTCCCCTATCCTTATTGGGGTTTTCCGATGCTGAGCAGAACTACATATTTCTGGGAAATGTAGTTTAGGGCAGAGCCTTTCGAATTCTCTGTCAGAGGGCCCCTTGCCTCCCCAAACTACATTTCCCAGAATTCTGTGCTCTCAGTTTCTTTCCCAGCTCACTCAGCTCATACTGCCCTGCTGCTCTCCTCTCCTCATAGTGAGAGGCAGCCTATCTCTTCTTAATTTAAAGAGGAATGGCAGCATTTTTGGCTTTGCCTCTCTTGTGCTGAAAATGAAACTGACTTCCAAGCATTACAGAATTCAAATGAAAAAGTAATCAGTGAGTTTTAATTCTGCTATATTCCTACCTAACCTCTTTACTGGTCCACTGGCAGTAACATCACCTATTCTGGCATCTTTCTATTGCTTCAATGTATTTATTTTGGGTGCTTCACATAAGTAGTGTCTCAGTACATACTGCTGATAGGATGATCACCAGGTATTCTTGCCCTTGAAACTCTTCTACTGAGCCAACTTTGATGTCCATTAGATTCATACTACGTAAGAGAATTCTGATTTTTTCAGCCTAAAAATAGGACCAACACAACACTGTTTTACAACTAGCATTAAACATATTATTGTGGTTTTGCACTAATAATAATGTAAGAGCTAAAGTCAAGTCATTTTCTAAAGATTTAAATATATTGCATCATATTCTCCAACTGTATTAAAGAAAAATGTCCTCCTAGAAGCATTATTTAACAGATGCTTCACAGTGGATTGGGACAATACCATAAGAATTTAAGTCATTTTACTAACAACTGAATAATAATAATAATAATAATAATAATAATAATAGGGCTGGGCAAGGGATAGTATGAGAAGATTCAGGGTTACTGTAGCTTCCACAAAGTGGGAGAGTGTTTTGAGATGTATTTTCTACCAATATAGTTTTCAAAACCTTCAGGATAATTTACATAAAACATCATAGCAAATTATAGTGAAAAAACAATATAAAAGACCAGAAAAGATATCTCCATCTGTGTTTTTTGGAATAGAACCAGATTACACAGAACCAGACCTGTTTCTGATATGGTGTGATCACACCAATATCCACCTCTGATACTGTCTTGGTGATATTTTTAGTAAGAAGGCAACAGTACAACATCACTTGGACCGCTTCTGTAGGATTAAACCAAGAAGGATTGTGGCCTTCACGCATTTCAGTGCCCTGCATTAGAAAGGAAGGAAATGTATTTTTTTTCATTCCTATGGCTTGGAATTACCTGACGGTGTAAACTGAATACTGTGTGCAATGCTATTCAAAACAAACCTGTGTATAGACAGAAGTACTCATCTTTTAACATTCAACACTACTTTATCTTCACATGAACATGTATCTTTATGGTCACAAATTTCAGATTATTCAGACATCTGGTCAGTTTAAGACATATAGATAGCATGCTAGAATGCCCTATGAGGAGCGACTTAAAGAGCTGGGCATGTTTAGCCTGAAGAAGGGAAGGCTGAGAGGAGATATGATGAGGGCCATGTATCAGGATGTGAGGGGAAGTCATAGGAAGGAGGGAGCAAGCTTGTTTTCTGTTGCCCTGGAGATTAGGATGCGGAACCCTGGCTTCAAACTACAGGAAAGGATATTCCATCTGAACATTAGGAGAGCTGTTTAGCAGTGCGACTCTCTGCCCCAGAGTGTGGTGGAGGCGCCTTCTTTGGAGGCTTCTAAACAGAGGCTGAACGGCAATCTGTTGGGGGTGCTTTGAATGTGATTTTCCTGCTTCTTGGCAAGGGGTTGGACTGGATGTCCCATGAGGTCTTTTCCAACTCTATAATTCTATGGATTTTCCAACTTCTTTTTATTGTGTTTACAATGACATTTAATTTTTTTTACATTCACTTTTAAAATGAAATGAAATTAAACATTTTAATCACATTAAATTGCTCACATTTAAATTACATTTATTAAATACATTTGAAGTTAAAAAGGCAAAAATGTAAACTATTAAAACCAACTGACATGTCCAATGTTGGATCCATCCATTTATTGGGTGTGTCACTGATGAATACAGTCAGGACTTAATACTTAAATAAATACTGCAGAGGCCAAATAGACACAAAATTTTGGTTGTGAGTCTGAAAGCATATATCATGCTCTCACTTGAGAGTGCTTCACTTCAGGAAACATTATTTTTCTGAGCCTGAGTAAAACTATTGACAATGTCTGTAGGATTGAACAGAGTGCTCTTCACTACGGCACATATCAAGTATCTGTTATTGTCTCGGATTCCCCTCACTCAACACAAATATTGCAAAAAGAGACCCTTCAGGGCTATGAAAAGTAGAGGAAATAAAGCATCTAGCATTCCAAAGTAAAAGGAAAATAATACTAAGAACAGAAAACATAAGTCCAGGAGAAAAAGCCAGCAGACTCTTGCTATCACTACCATTATAACAGCCATCACTTATTCTGAAAGGCAGGAAACTACCAGAGGTCCCATTTCAACCCACGACATTTATAAGGATTTGAGTGAAGTAGAACTCACTGAGGCTATTTCCCCAGGAGTGCTCATTAAGTCAGTATTTTCTGTTAGATGATTACTCATATTTTGGGATATTGAAGTAAGCAGCTTCCAAATAGTCTTTTACAATAGAAAACTGATATAAAGCTCATTTCCTGCATCCTTTAAACTACCATATTTACTCAAATCTAGTGCGCCATCTAATGTAATGCACACCCCAATTTTCAAAACCCAGAAACCAAAAAATCCTATTTGCTGGCAAATGTAATGAGCAGCTGCAAAAAAGTGCTCTCATTGACATTTGGCCAGAAAAGATGTGCATTACAGTAGCTGCCTTCTTAGAACTGCTTCTTTAAAAACGAACTGTTAGGACACCAGATCTTCAGCAACTGAAAGGAAAACCAGAGAAACGGGTAACCTTTCCCTCAAGGAACCTCTCTTGTTTATCCTGTCTCAGCTTCCTTGAGTGAATCTATGTTATAGAATGAACACCATTTTAATTGTCAATGCTATGGAATCCTGGGAGTTGTATTTCTACAAGCTCTTTAGCTTGCTATGTCAAAAAGGGCTGGTGCCTCCCCAAGCGACAAATCCCAGGATTCCATACACTGAATAATGGTATTCTCAGTGTTATTGGACAGCATGCATGCTTACAGTATAGGTGCATCTTAGGTGATTCCAAAGTCCTTGGGTGAATCTGCACTGGAATTAATGTAGTCTGACACCACTTTCACTGCTATGGTTCAATGCTATGGGTTTATGGGAGCAGTAGTTTACAAGGTCTTCAGTCTTCTCTGCCAAAGAATGCTGGTGCCTCACCAAACTAGGATTGCATAGGATTGAGCCATGGCAATTAAAAGTGGTATCAAACTGCACTAATTCTGCAGTATAGATGCATCCTTGGAAGGCTATGTTGTGGTTCTAGACTTTAGACCCCAAATCTCCTTAGAGCTACAAAAGGGAACCATAAGCAAATCACATGGAAAACTTCCCTGACTTACTGCAAGGAATTATGCGGACTAAATACTCCAGAGGCAATCATCCAAAAAATAGGATTTAGAATCTGTGCCTGCAAGATTCTGGGGCTTATAGTTTAGGGAGGTTTCCCATTTTCAGCAAGAGAAGTCCTTGGCTCGCTGAACTACAAGCCCCAGAACTCTGCAAGTTTTAAAGCAGGGCAGGAAAGTCCTATCTGATCTTGAAAACTAAACAAGGTCAGTGCTAGTTAATGTTTGAAAAGGAGACCCTCAATGGTAGGTTATATTTCAGGGGAAGCAGTTGGAAAATCACTTTGTGGGGTCCCCTTGGACAACAGCTTCTGCCTCCTACCTCACTCCCTCCCAGCTGGGGAAGAAACCTAGGCTTTGGAAGTTTCCCAAGTCTTCAATTTGGCTTCAGCTTGACTAGACTCTCCCCACCCTCTCTCTCTCCCTTCTAGGCTTCAGGAGGTTTGGCTTCATCTTTTGACTCTCCTCTCCCAGTTTCTCTTCAGTTTCCCAAGTTGGGAAATTGGAGAGAAATGGCCTAGGAGGGAAAGGGAGCAGGAAGACTAAGGAAAAATACATAGGGAGGGAAGCCCCTGCTCCACTGTTAGGCGGAGGCTGGTGAGTTCGCCAGTCTCATCCTGTTGGAGGAGCAAAGGCACCTTTTGGTGCACGATTGTAATGCACCATTGAATCTAATGCGCACCTCAATTTTGGCTAAGCATTTAAGCCAAAATAGATGTGCATTAAATTCGAGAAAATACGGTACTTAACATCAACGATGGCTCCCTAGCTCTGCGCAAATAACCACATGATAAATATTTATTCCCAAATTCTTCTTACGTTTGGGATTTGTGAATAAATCTATCAAGAATTACTTGGCTATAGTTTGTCATTAGAAAAAGAATGGCACACTTTAGAGATGTGCAGAGGATACAGCTACAAAACAATGGGCAGCAGAGTGAAAAAAGTATGATTTCAAGATGGGTGAAAGCTTGCAATATTCTTAGGCTGTTACAGGTTTGGGCTCACTCCATTAGGAGGCTCTACAATAGGCCTGGCATTTCATGGGGTTTACTGCTGCAGGACCCCTGTGAAAGTAGAACTGCAAATTAAATAACTGCTTTTTTAAACCTGAAAGAACACTTCTCTAGGAATCTCTAGGTCCTCCATGGAGATTATGGTCAATTACGGCTAGACCATAGAATTGGACTGGAAAACCTAGAGATTCCTAGAAAAGTATTCTATCTAGGAATCCCCGGGATTTCCAGCATCATTTTACGTGCAACTTCCAACAAAAGTTGACCACAGAGTAGTCAGAGAAAGCTAGAGAGAGCACACCAATCTCTAAAAAAATAATCAAACCTGCAAAATCAAAACCTAGTAATATGTGGGGGGGGGGGGGGAAGGAGGACACAGCCATATTAGTAAACATATGAAACACATAATCAGAAAGTTTACATACCCGTACTCCATGGAAAATCAATGGAAAGTGTTTCATTGGCAACTTCTCCCATCCCAACAAAGAATTTACTATAGAAGGGTCAGCACAGACCTCTAGTTCGTTATGATAGAAAAGTCTAGATGGCACTTTGAGCAGTGCAGCATGCGATCTGTAATTCTTAATGAGTTTTGTTATCTGTAAAAAAAGAACAAAGGCCATGATATGTCATTCTATGCCTGTGAATCGCATCCTCTGATTCTCCAGATATCTTCTTTTGAACTTCATCTCCGAGAAACCTTTGCCATGAGCCAACTGATAGCAGCTCCTGACAACTGAAGTATGAAACAATTTGATGACCAAAGACTGAAAGCATTGCTTATATGCTACTGGTTTGTAAAGAACTGCCACTTGGTAATAACTTTATTAGGCCAATGAAAAAACCACAGTAATCAACACACCAAACCCTGTGTTTCCATATTGGTAGTTTAGATACAATTCTTGAGGTTGATATGATTAGAAACTTTAATATATAACAAGAAACATTATTATCCAATGTACCACTTACCAAGAGAGGATTGTATGACCCACAAGCCCCAAAAGCCTTCTCATCTCTCATATACAGAGGCCGACTCATGAGTCTCTCCAATAAGGAAATGTGTAATCCATAGGCAATTGCAAGTCTGGATTTCATCACAGGGCCAAGCTGCATTGGATCACCCGAAAGCACTATCTGTAAGCAGAGCATTCTTTAACTAACACTTTGAATATCTATTTAATGTACACTGCATGTAGTTTTTTCCCCCATTCATTCACATTCCTTACATTACTTGCCTTGGTTTACTTCAATGTGATTTGGGGTGCTTGTCATCAATATGCAGTTAAGTTCAAAAGAGCCAAGAAAAATGACTATTTTGGATCAACTCCAAGATTCCTTTGACCCAGCACGGTCAGTGGAATGGTGTGGTATTTTAAAGGACTCTTGCTCTATTGTTTGTTTTACTAGCTGATCAAAGAGCAATTGTAAATAGCCTGAGCTAACTTGGCTTGAATATGGGTTGGATGAGGAATAATACATTCAAGCTAAACCAAAGTCAGATAGAAATTCTGATGCTGAATGGTGTATCAATCAGAAAAATGGTGTTCAGCTTACTATGGATGGGAAAAGATTTCTCCTTAGGAATCATATTAATAACTGGAAGGTGATGCGAGGCAGGCACTGCTTGAAATAGCACCGATGTTGGATGATCTCATTAGAGTCTTTTCCTGGAGGAAATGTCTGACTAAATATAAACACTGTAGTAATATATACCGTATATGAAATTACTGCAAAGGCTTTTAGAAAGAAATAGAAAATTAGAACTGGTAGAACAGAGAGCAACTGACATGAGCACAATCTACCAAGACTGCAAGAACCAAGGATTTTTTAAAAGTAAGATGTTCTAAATGCACATTTCCCTACACTTAAAACAAGTCAATAATAAAAGGTGTATTCTCTTCATTGTTTACATTCTGCATCAATTGTAGGGTTTTTTTTTGCCACAGGCCACAGCTGCACATAAAGTTTTAAAAGAAAACTCTGAAAAAGTGCTGTACACTTTGAAAATAAGATGTGGTTAGAAACATGGAATGAACACTAGATTCATTCAGTTTCTCAATAAGCATTTAAATCACACCTTTAATCAATAAGATCCACACTAATTTGTTCTGCAAAGTGCAACAGAACTGTACTGCTTTTTTCAAACTTTGCCTTCAAAACTATGTGCACACTCATAAATACATAAACACTAAAAATATTGCCAATTAGTCTTATGGTAATGTTTTTAAAGCAGCAGCAGTGTGCAAACAGTCGCCTTTCAAGAACGGAACTTTTAATTTTGGTTTGAAACTTTACAAACCATGAAGCAACTCCCTAAAAGCGAAAGGTAGAGTGGCTCAATCAGTTAAATGTGGCAAAAACACACGCACCTGCCCAGTGACTTCTGAGACCAGACCCAGAGGAATCAGGCATTCTGGCTCACTGGCCTGCCCTGCTTCATCCACAAATACATGTGTGAAATGTCCAAACCTACCATTAAAAAAAGAAGTTCAAACTACGCGCTTCATCAAGAAATGTTCTGTCATCCTGTGGCAGCACTTAAATAATAAACAATGCTTCATAAAAAGCAAAAATTGCACACAAATAACTTTTGTGAATCAGAAGTATTTCAAGTCAATCAAAGCCTCTCACAGGATTTTTGTATGTAAAAACCGTATTTTTGGGGGTGACTGAATTGCTTACTGACAAGAACAGGGAATCATGTAACTCTTCAAGTGTGACTGAATACCCATATCCATCAGTTCTAGCCAACATAATCAGTGTTGTAGATTGTTTGGCATTGCAGTCTGACATATGGAGGGCCACACAACTCTCACCTGTTTATATGTAATCACCTAACATTTTGTTTTGGGCCCAGCTCATATATAATACCTGGTCCAGACTGTATCTTTGGTAGTTTGAACACATATAGACCTAAAACAGGGACATGAGGACATATGCAAGCCCTGCGTACAAAATCCATAAGTTAAGACTTTTGTGCATTGAAATAACAAAGATCTGAAGAGTGCTAACCTTGATGATGATGATGATGATGATGATGATAATAATAATAATAATAATAATAAATCTTTATTTGTATCCCGCTTTTCTCCCACAAAGGGACCCAAGCAGCTTACAATGTATCAAAAGCAATACAAGTCTAAAACAATCAGCATATATAACACATAAAACTTATCTATAAAATAAAACATAAATAAGCATTTAAGTTTGTGATATTGTCTACAGGAGTTTTGCAACCATGTTACAGAGATCACTTCAGGCCTTCACATTCAATATATGCAGGCTGAATTAGATGTAAGTGCTTGTGGATACCGAGGGTGCTATTTATGAGCTTTCCATGTCCCCATTCCCAGTTTTAGTCCTTTTCTTGTTCAGGCCAATGCATAGTTCTCCTTTTCCCACCAGTCCCACAACATTATTATCCTCTGGGAATTAGGAAGTGGTTTAAGGTGACACTGAGCTTCATGGCTAAGTATTTTTATAATACTGGGATAACATACTAGAATAGTTTGAATACAGTGTACTACAAAACAGAATGGGAATGTCAAAAATGTGTGATTTATTTTAATGTAAAGGATATTTGATATATTTTTTGAGAAATACTGTCATGACATATTAAGATACTCTCCTAGATGAAGTTTTTTTCTACGAAGGAGAAATGTCCAGCAAATCAGAAAATGCAAGCAATTGAAAAAAGTACAAAAACTGTTTTTGGGATTGTATATGGCATTGAATATTTGCCTTTTGTATGTGTAAACTGTCCCAGGTCTCTTCGGGGAGAGAGGGCGGGATAGAAATAAATTTTTATTATTTTTATATTTGATACACAACAAGATTAGTACATAGCAAACAAGATCACTATGCAAACAAGATCACTGATGTTGTACTGGATCACACATCAGACACTTCCCAAGTGTCTAGGACTATGTGATGTATCGATGAATAATGTGTGCAGATCTGAGTAGGGTGGCCTTTTGCAGTTGACAGATGGTAATTTTGTCAGCACCAATTGTTTTTAAGTGTTGGCCAAGGTCTTTAGGTACTGCACCCAGTGTGCTGATCACCAGAGGGACTAACTTTACTGGCTTGTGCCAGAGTCTTTGAAGTTTGATCTTTAAATCCTATTATTATTATTATTATTATTATTATTATTATTATTATGTGTATTTATAACCCACTTTCTCTATCTACAAAAGAGACTCAAAAACTAGCATAATCCCACATAGCAGTATAAAATGATTTTATTTTACTTGTGCAAAGTAAGCCGTTTTCATGTCTCTAGTAAACACAATCATGTTGATCTGTACAGTATCCTTTGTTTATAGGATTATCCCGTAGCAAACACCTCTCACAGTACATCCCAGTTATGGCCTAAATGTTTCCCAAAGACATGTATCAGCAGTACCTTACTCCTATTTGGTAGAACATCCCTGCACTGGTGCATGTCACGATAATTATTCTGAATCGAGATGCCTGCCAAATGTCTTCTCCATCTTTGCAGTAAAGTTTTATTACATCACTAAGATTCTGTTAATACAAGCAAGAATTTTTGTGCAAGCATTATATTACAGGATAAACCTACAATATATGATAGAATTTTTAAAAAACATGACACCTAATTTTTTCCTATTAAGAATAGCATATATGGTATGCATAATGTTCTTGATTTGAAACACTATTAATAAGGAATTTTTGCTTAAGCTGTTCACCATAGTATAAAGGTATACATTTCTGAGGTGTCCTTCCCAAAGAACCTGGAAATACATCCATGAGATCCTTCTATATTATAATCTTTGCTCTTTCTTTTACCTTCTGTCTTCAATTTTTCCTATGCAAAATGTTGCCTGTTCATAGTGAAATCCACAAAAAGGAGGGTTATGTCAGTACAGAGGTGGCAGCTGGTTAATTCAGTGAAAAATCATATCATTCAGTGCAAACGAAGGTTAAAAAACAACATGACAGAGCATGTTTAATGAAGTGGCTGCATACAAAGAAACTCAGCTTCAAATGAATGCTTTGCCCACTGATGTAACTAGAACAGAATGAAGTTATGCATAAGGTTTCTGAACAAAATTTACCTCTTCATTTCTGCTTGAAGCATTAACCCTCACCATTACTCCTGGCTTTAACATATTGCTGTCATGAAGTCGTGAACAAAGAAGGTCTGATGCACTGTTGGATGGTGCACAAACCAGTATTCGGCTGTCTGGTAAAGTGTAATGGATCTGAAATATTATTTTTAAAAGAATCTTTTACAAGTTATGCTTTGGATGGATTATCTTATTATGCATACTAAGCCATGAAATAATATTATTTCAAGATGCGAACAAATATTTTCTGCCCTTCCGATTTCTTCAAAACTCCATAAAGAAAGACCAATACGTTTGGCTCTCTGTATCCACAGATTCTGTATCCATTCAACCATCCACAGCTTGTTCTTCCCAGATGATTTAATGTAGGTACCTTCCTCTTTAAGACAAAATAATCTGAAAGCAATACAAATTTCTTCACGGCTGCAATGCATGCTTTGACAAGTATGTATTGAAGAGACAGAACTATTAAAAGCCATGGCAAGATTTCAATTATATTTTTGTTCAATGTTACCTGCAAAATTGCTTCGATGACTGTGACAGTTTTGCCAGTTCCTGGTGGTCCAAAGATAATATAAGGAGTTGGGCGACATTCTCCACTGAGTATCCTTTTCACTGCTAGTTTCTGATGTTCATTCAGCATTGGATTGAAAAAGCCACAGTCCTTTCTATCTGATGCTGTAGTTCTATTTTCTAGGTTAAAAATTGTGTACATATTTGAAAAAAGGATTTTTCTCTGAAGTGCACACAATTTAGAAATCAGACCTGCGTTCTTTTCTACTATTTAAAATGTTTGTAGGCACAAATCTAAATGTATAGTAGCCAAATACAGCCAATTCACTCCAAAGCACTGCAAAAACTATGGGCCTTTAAGTAGAACCAAGTATCTTTATATTAGTAAAAATAAAACAAGCATTAAATCTGTACTCACCTGTTTGTGTGGCAATAGTCATCATATCAGAAAACGTAATTGTCTTTTTATCTTTTGTCATCTTTTTCTTTTTATTATTTTGTGCCCTGTTTTTCTGGAAGTAGGAATAAAGAAGGAACAAACATTTGAAGTATCCTAAAAACAAAACTTTATGTTCAAATGATTTAGAATTAATATCATTTACTGCAATATCTGTGTGCAGAGCTCATTCATATGTACATCTTAAAGAGGCCACCACACTTTGCCTTATGTAACAGTAGTTGAAAAAATTGAGGACCACACCAGCTTTATGGTTGCCCTCAAAGGGCCACTGAATCTATGGATGGAGAATTCAGGAATATAGAGGTCCAGCTATCATTCTTTTTACTTAGTGGTCGGTGCTCTTTAGTTGTTACAGTTTGGGTCCCCGGATGTTAATGAATGATAAACTGCAGCCTTCCAGGTGTTACTGCATTACAAATCCCATCAATTCCAGTCATTATGTCTAACTATGAGGAATACAGTCTGTAGTCTGGAAGGCCACATAAAATGAGATAGGAACCATACAAATATGCTGCCCGGAAGGTGAATATTCCTAATCTTTCCTAAGTAAAGTTTTAATTGTGTGGCAGAAAACAGAAAGAAGAGGATTTAGAAACACACACATAACTCAAATGATCAACCAGTGAATAACTCAAGTTTGGTAATACATGCAAACCTTTACTCCTCAAAAACTATAGAGAAAGTGCCCAGCCAAGATTCAGGTTTCATGGTACTTAGGGGAGATGTGAACATAGGAATATACCCCCCCCCCTTCTCATTTCAATATGCAAGTACAAACACAAATGACAGCTGCAAAGCTACATATTTTACAACTGTACATTGGTAGATTAATGAATTGGCTTATTTTTAACACGAAGCAGCAGCAAATAGTTTAGAAAAAAGCTGGTGACATTCACCTTGGTTTTGTTTGTAGTGCTTTCTTCTTGAATGTTGCAAGGCATTTCTGAATCATTCCACTGCTTGACAACTTGTGGAGACTGTACAGTAAGTCTCTCAGGAAATAAAACTTTGGGACAAAAAAGAAGAAAGGAGGAACCAGATTGGTGTTCCATTCGGAATTGATGTTACTGAAGAATCAACAGCTATGTTTCTGCATCTTTTAGAAAAAGAATGCTGGTTCCTGCCATTTCAGTTGGCATACAGGGGCTAAGCCCAATTGCAGTGGATTGTCCCTTTGTGCCATCCTAAGAAATGTCTGCATGAAACCAACGCATGATTGTGATATCAGCAAAAATGAAAACATTAGGGTTTTTTTTTTTAAAAAAAAGTCAGATTGACTTGTTCTTTGCTATCCAGATATGGTAAAGAGGAAGTTAAAATTTCATAATTCAGTTCTGATTCCACACCAATAAATGTTTCAAGGTTTATTAGAGTACCAGAACATCACAAGAAAACTAGTATGGTTTTGATCATATCAGGAGGGAATACTTGAATTAGTATGTAAATTGCCATGTGACAACGCAAGGAAGGGAAAAGAATGCCGAAAAGGAGAAGGATGTTCAATTATACCCAGACTGCATAACTCATTGTGTTATAAAAAAGAAACACGTTTCACTTTTACATGTTGCAAACTTCTAGCCACACATAGGACTGCAACATACCAAAAGAGAAGGTAGTAATGCCACATGTGCTCTGATTTACCAACTTTTCCCACTTGTGTTGCTCAAGTGGTCCCTGGAACATAACCAGCCCTACAGAAATGTACAGTATATACTTGAGTATAAGCCGAGGCACCTAATTTTACCACAAACAACTGGGAAAACATATTGCTCAAGTATAAGCTGAGGGTGGGAAATGTAGCAGCTACTGGTAAATTTTAAAATAAAAAATAGATACAAATAAAATTACATTAAGAGAAGTATCAGTAGGTTAAATGTTTTTGAATATTAATATTTACATAAAACTATAATTTTAAGATAAGACTGTCCAACTCTGATTATACCATTATTATAATCTTCTTCAATGTGAATGTGCTTTCAATAATAATAATAATATAGTAAAATAATAAATGTTATAATAGAGTAAAAAAATAAATGTAATAATAATAGAGTAAAATAATAAATCTAATAATAGAGTAAAATGAAAAATGTAATAATAATAATAATAATAATAATAATTAATAATAATAACAATAACAACAACAACAGAGGTTTTTGTATAGTGAACATGTGTTTGATGTAAGGCATCAGTTTCTCAAACATATTACAATTTTCAGTAAAGGGAAGCACATTACCCACCTTTTTCTCCCAAATGGACGGCTTGTTCAACTGCAAAATGACATCTCCGGGTTGTAGTCCTGTCAACAGATTTGAATAAAAGTTAGCCCTAAAGAGCAGAGACCATAACAGTATGTCTGCTCCATAAATTTTGTCAGTGCTGCAACTGTATATGCATATGATGATAAAGACTAGCGTCTTAACCAAACTGCTCTTGCTTTGCAATGAATCTCTTCATCCAATGCATCCAAAAGCTGCATGAAAAAAAATGTTTGTCTTGTCTTTCAAAGCTAGAAAAGAGAAACATTTTGATCTCAAATCAAATATTGTTTTTTTTTTTTAAATTTTATCCTGTGCAACATGGCCACCATATTAAGAGAAACAAGAGACAGCATGGGAGAGAGAGCCTGCAAGATTGAACCACTATTTCCCATTTTTTACATATTTATTTATATTTATTTACGATAGTTCTACATCTTTCTCAAACCCGAAGGTGACTCAAGGCAGCTTTACAACATAGGCATTTAAAACAGAATTATAAAATACATACATTAAAACCTTTAAAAACATATAAAACCACTACCTTCACTATTAGCCTTGTCATCCAAAAACATCGTCTAAGCCATGCCAGTATTCGATTTCACATAATTCTGTGTTTATCTCTTGCACCAGGTTCCCAAAGCCTTGTTTAAAAAGCCATATCTTCACTTTTCTGCAAAAGTTCAGGAGTTAAGGGGCTGATCTAATATCCCTAGGGAGAGAGTTCCACAGCCAAGGGGTCACCACTGAGAAGGCCCTGTCTCTTGTCCCCGCCAGTTGTGCAGGAGAGAGCAGGGCCTCCCAAGATGATCTGAAACTCCTAGATGGTTCATAGGGAGAGATACGTTCCAATAGGTAAGTTGGGCAAGACAGAGGTAAATCCAGACAAGACAGAGGTACTCCTGGTCAGTCGCAAGGCCGAACAGGGTATAGGGTTACAGCCTGTGCTGGACGGGGTCGCACTCCCCTTGAAGGCGCAGGTTCGCAGCTTGGGTGTGAACCTGGATTCATCTTTGAGCCTGGATCCCCAGGTGTCAGGGGTGACCAGGGGAGCATTTGCACAGCTTCGGCTCGTGCACCAGCTGCGCCCGTATCTGGGAAGTCTGACTTGGCCACGGTGGTACACGCTCTGGTCACATCCCGCCTTGACTACTGCAACGCTCTCTACGTGGGGCTGCCCTTGAAGACGGCCCGGAAGCTTCAGCTAGTCCAGCGCGCGGCAGCCATGTTACTAACGGGAGCGGGACGCAGGGAGCACACAACGCCCTTGCTGTCCCAGCTCCACTGGCTGCCGATCTGCTACCGGGCCCAATTCAAGGTGCTGGTGTTATCCTACAAAGCCCTAAACGGTTCCGGCCCAAAATACCTTTCGGACCGCATCTCGGCCTATGAGCCCCCGAGGACCTTGAGATCGTCTGGGGAGGTCCTTCTCTCGATCCCACCTGCCTCACAGGCACGCTTGGCGGGGACGAGAGAAAGGGCCTTCTCGGTGGTGGCCCCCCGGCTGTGGAACACCCTCCCTGTTGACATCAGACAGGCGCCTTCCCTTATGGCCTTCCGTAAGAGCCTAAAGACCTGGCTTTTTGAGAAGGCATTTAATTGAGTGCTATATTAGCTGGTAATGACAATTGGAACGGATATGGACTATGAGATTGGCTACGATTCTATGTTGTGACGATGCGGATTAGTTAGTGTAATTTAGATTAGTGTGTAATTTGATATGTTGTTTTGCTGTACTTTTGTAAACTGTTTTTATATGTTGTACACCGCCGCGAGTTGCCCTAGGGCTGAGAGCGGCGGTCAACAAATGAATCAAATAAATAAATAAATAATAAATTGGGCCGGAACCATTTAGGGCAGTGGTTCTCAACCTGGGGTCCCCAGATGTTTTTGGCCTACAACTCCCAGAAATCCCAGACAGTTTACCAGCTGGTTTATTTATTTCTGGGAGTTGAAGGCCAGAAACATTTGGGGACCCCAGGTTGAGAACCACTGATTTAGGGCTTTATAGGCTAAAGCCAGCACTTTGAATTGTGCACGGTAGCAAACAGGCAGCCAGTGGAGCTGGCGTAACAAGGGAGTTGTATGCTTCTTGAACGCCACTCCATTGAGCAATCTGGCTGCTGCTCATTGGACCATTTGAAGCTTCCAAACAGTCTTCAAAGGCAACCCCACACAGAGTGCGTTGCAATAGTCTATACGGCTTGTAACCAGAGCGTGGACCACCGTAGCCAAGTCAGACTTCCCAAGATACGGGCACAGGTGCCGCACAAGTTTTAACTGTGCAAATGCTCCTGGGGCTCCAAGCTCAGCGATGAATCCAAGATCACACCCAAGCTGCGAACCTGCGGCTTCAGGGGGAGTGTAACCCCATCCAACACAGGCTGTAACCCTATGCCCTGTTCGGCCTTGCGACTTATTCAATTTCAATTTGTTTGCCCTCATCCAGACCATCACAGCTGTCAAGCACTGCTTCAAGACCTGAACAGCCTCCTTAATAGCAGATGGAAAGGAGTGATAGAGTTGAACATTATCTGCGTACAGATGACACCAAACTCCAAAACTTTGGATGATCTCACCCAACAGCTTCATGTAGAGACCATATGGACCTGTGGATCAAGTCACTTTAGCAAATGAGCAACCAAGTTATGCAACATGCAAGGAAGAAAAGGGGAGGTTCTAGAATTATTTTATGACACATATTTGATTCACATACTTTGGGAACAATATTAAGAAAAGGCATACCTGCCAAGAGGAAATTCCACATCCATTGGTTCACCATTATAGGCTTGTTCAAAAGCTGGATCAAGTTTCAGGGTAACATCTTCTTTATCAATCTGCATTATTAGAGGAAGGGGATAATAAACTACCAGTTTATTCCAGCTCAAGGATAGGCCATCGATAAGCCTACTGCTTCCAAGTTTTAATATAAGTGAAACTAAATATTAGAAGCTCTTCTGAGAATCCAGCTAAGAAATATAAAATCATTCAAAGAATTAACTGTAATGAACCCTAATTTAAGAGAATTTGCTCTTTCTTATATACAATACTTATCTGAGAAAATGTCACACTGAATGTAATAGAATTTATTTCTGAGCAAAGGATAAGACAGTGCTGTTAAAAACATATATAAAGCCAAATAAACAAACCTGATTAGTGAACTTACCTCAGTAATAAATGCAACATAGTGGATTCTCTGCTCTGTGTAATCTTGGGTTTTCAATATCACTTTGTCACCTATGTGAAGATATATTCATTAGGGCTTTCCCTATATAACCATTGTTATTAATTGGTATTAGACGGACATCCTCAACAAATGGAACTGAATGAAATCTAAGTCAATGATTACATCATAAGCAAGATGACTTGTATGTTGTATTATCTCTCATTAAAAAGGAGGTCTTCACAAATTATTTTAATTTATGGTTCCAAAGGCTGTATTAGTCCATGTTTCTAGTGAACAACACTAAGCTTTTCTGTGAAATTCAGTCAACCTGGGTAATAAATGAAAACTCAAGGAAAATAATGGCTGACATTTTTGTGAATGAGATATGAACTTGATTTATGAATTGCAAAAATGTTGGATATGGCAGAGATGGACAATGACTAGGCTTATACAATCACCAGATCCTTCCAATTTTGAAGAATTGCAGCCCTTTATTGGTGTACGGGTGTGTGGAGTTGTGAAAATATAGTGGAATTAATGCACATGCAATATTATCCCCACAATAACCCCTCAAGACATGCACTCCAGCAGAGCTACTTATTTCCCGCATGACTGTGTGTATTTGAGGGGAGGGTTGAGGAAATATAGTAAAATTAACACACATATAGGTGTTCTCCACAACTTCCTTTCAACACAGACATAGGCATATCCACACCCATATATGTGTGTGTGTGTGTGTACAAGCACTACATCTCCCCCCTAAAGAAAGAAGACAAAGAGGGAGGGAAGATTGGTCACAGCAACGCGTGGCAGGCACAGCTAGTAATTGCAATAAAATTCATATGGGAAAAAAGAGATATGCATGTGAAAGTCATGCTATGCATGTAAAACCAGATTATTCACCTTAAGGCAACCGATGTATCCTGCTGATAGCAATGGAAGTCATGTGTCACGGACTACAATTGTATACAGAACACTGCCCATTGAACAACAGCACCTAATCACGGATATGAGTCGCACAATCTTGCTATATTGTATGGAAATTGTGTTGTTCTGGTGCAATGTATTTCTGCATACAAATATTTATGCTACATTGGCCGGGGATGTGGGATTGCTGTCATGGCCAACCACTGCATCATGCTGAGTCTTTTCATTCTGATTACTGCAGAGTATCAACAAGACAACAGAAATTCCACACCTGGATAAAGATAAGGGCGCCCCTCTACAACGCCTGGAACTTCAAGTACCAGAAAGTTTCCATTTTTTTTCAAGATGACCCCATGCAGGGATAACTCCTTCAGTTCCTTCTCTTCGGAAATTTCTTCAAGCCAGAGCAAAGTAGAAAAAAAAGCTTTATAATTAGCTAGAGTTAGGCCCTGAAAAGAGAGATTTTTTTGACTTTAATTTCATTACAGAACCTTAAGAGCCTTTCCCTGCCCCCCACCCATCATGTGCATCGAATTGTGAATGTAAAGAATACGGCATTGCTCTTGAGATTAGTTTTTTACTTTTTTGTCTAGTCTGTAAATGATAAGTGAGCATACCTTATAGTGTAGAAGCATTAAATCTCTACCACCTAACCAATGGGAAACAAGTGGACCATTCAAAGGGTCAATGAATAAATAGTACACAGCCATTTTCCCAACCTGCTGCCTTCCAAATATTTTGGAATAAAGCTTTCATCAGTCCCAGCCAGTACAACAAACAAAACACACCAATATGTTACACAGAAGTGCATATAGAAGTATAGATCAACGGAAGGGTTTACAGGTCCATGTTAATCTCAGGACAAACTGCAGAATTTGCATATAGTTACATGGTTCTCCCATTCCTCACAGCCACTTTTTACTGAATGGTAGATCTGTCTAATAGCTAAAAGAACATTTTACATAGCTATTACAACTCTCTCATTCATACAACCTCAAAACATGGAAAGCATGAGTGAGCCTTGGTTTTCACTCTCCTTCCCACATTGTGTGATTAAGGTGAAGTGGGAGATTGGAAGAGATTTTCCTGACTTCATGTTCAGTTACAAAAAATTTTCTATATTTCTTATTTATTTTTTGCTGTATTTAATCAACTCCGCTCAGGAGGTTTTTTTTCTTGCTAAAGTAGCTCTCAGTTTTTATGCTGGCACCCAACCATTTGAACAGAGCAATCTAGAACAGTGGTTCTCAACCTGTGGGTCCCCAGATGTTTTGGACTTCAACTCCCAGAAATCCTAACAGCTGTTAAACTTGTTGTAGGCCAAAACATCTGGGGACCCACAGGTTGAGAATCATTGATCTAGAAGCAAAGCTTGAAGAAAACATTGCAACACTCTCCCACCCTGGGTCTCAGGGAAAAAAAAAAAGTCAAGCTTACATGTGCCTATCCTTTGCTGAAGAATCTAACAACATTTCTGAATTGCATTAAACACTTACCTAGTCTAATATCTTCAGCAAACCTCTGAACTGGAAAGCAACCAAATATACTAGAAAGCTCAGGCTCACTTTAAGAGCAACAGAACGCCTTTCATGCTAGTCTATGTTTGTGCCCTTTCTCTCCACAGCTGTTCCAGAGGTATATTAAACAATTCCAGTAGTAACACACTTTTGCAATCTTTTTTCAACCTTTTCAGTCATTACTATCAAAAGAAATAATGACAAATTGTCCTTATGGTTAAGAAGAATAGTAAACATATTCATGATTACAGACTGTAGAGGGATTTTTAACAATGTATTTTATTTCCTTTCTTCTGATTTGGGATCCAAAGCACTTCACAAAATAGACTAAGCATAATACAGTGTGATAATTATAACCAAAAATTATATACCACAGAAGCTATACTACCTCTCCGAGATGTGGATTAAAAGTAAGTATGTCCAGGTTATTTTCCACACATCTCCGTAATGAATCTTGAAGGGGGTACTGTCCAATGAAATTTGGAAGCTGTCTCCTTGATTGTCTAAGTTATTAGAAGAATCATAACATAAGGCATTTTATTATGAAATTTTAAAGAAGGGAATTCATAACATTATGTAACACAATGTAATTTCCTAATTGGTTCCATCATAAAAACATGGAAAGATTTATTAAAGTGCAAAAGCTTTTGCGGGACATCCTGCAGGACATTTTGCTATAGCTTTTCAATGAACATCTCGCAGAATCGCAACCATTTCAACATGGTTTGTGGCAGGCAAAAAAACAAATAAAAACATATCTGGAGTATAACAGTTATTTTCAAATTAAGTACAGCACAATTGAACAGGAAATAACACTTTCAAATCAGGAACAGAAAATAATTCAAATTCTATTCAAATGTTCAAATTCACACAATACTACCCATCCTCCCCTCATCATACAAACCTCCCCCTTTCTAGCTGCTACTGCGGCTCAGGAACTGGGGAGCACGGTGCCAGGGCACCGTTATGTCCTGGGGAGGAGTGGGCGGGGTTACCGACAAAAATTGAAGGGATACAACTTGGAAAGATTCTGTTAGAGCCTGCTCAGATGTAGTAAACTCCACAAGCGTGCATTCACAGAAATCACAAAGAAGAAATATTTACACACGCACACACACACGTATTTAAGTATTAAAGGTTTGAGAAAGGAAGTACTCAGGAAAGCAAACTGAACACTAAAAATTTTAAAACTAATATAGACTATGTTATTGCTGCAGAGTAATTCAGTCAAACCCAAAACACAGTTTGAATTTATCTCCTAGATGTTTTGCCTGGGTGCTGCCGATATCACAAATGTAGTTTGTGTGTTAATTGCAAATGTCTACAAAGAGGCTGTCCCAGATCTGCATTGCAGAAAGGCTCAATAAAGTGCTGCACTGATAGGTCATGATTCTTAGACCAAACAACATATGACAGATAAAGACTCTGAAGTCATGGAAGTATGTTTTTAATAGTAACACAAACATGTAGCATTTCTGATTATCATATTCTAAAATGTAGTGGCCATGGGGAATTCCAGATGACTATAGAAAAACTGCTTGAAAGAGTGAGCTTAAAGTCACTGTAGTGCTCTGACTGAAAAGTATGGGGCCAAACATAATCCTTATCCCTTTCCAGAAAGAACACTGTTGCAATTCTATGCCTTACAGCTGAAAAGGAAAGAAGAAGCGGCAGCCTAGGCTAGTTATGACCAGAAGCACTGGATTTGCTGGGAGATTGCTCCATCCTTTCCCTTTGTCCTGTCCTTGATTTTCCATGGAAATAATGGAGTCAGGCAAACCAACTCACAACTCACAAACTTACTCCACAGTAAGTTTGTGAGTAGTGAGTTGGAAAACTCCAACTCACAAACTTACTCCACAGGCAAACAAAATGTTTAGCTTGGATACTCTTTTAGGATGCAGCAATACAATAGGGGAAAGCTATCTCAGTTTAAAAACTGTTCCATAAGGATGTCTTCCAAGGTTCATCGTTTCAAAGGGTAGCCAACATAAGAATGTGGCTACTCAGCAAAGAGGGGTTTTGTTATGTTGCGTTTGTGAGTGCAGACTCCGGACAAACAAAATCAGGGTTATTTGGGTCTATACACCTTGTTTTGACAGGTGCTGGATCCCAATCAATTCAGGAGCCTGGTTTCAATAGCTTCTGAATTTCAGCATTTAGTATGTCTACACTGCTGATACCCCCTTAATATCCTGCCTTCAAAATAATGTCCCTGAGCATTAATTTTGACCAATATAGTTATACTTTTTTATTCCCATGTTTATACCTATTTCTATAATGAATTGGAAATAATGAACCAATTCGTATTAGGAATATACATATTCATTTAAGATGGATCTTTAAGCTTGACATAATCACGGGCAACAAAAAGTAATTTTGTTAAACAGAATAACCTGGGTGTAACTGCCAGTACCTTTTGTGCGTTGGTAAAACCACTAGTGCCTTTTTATCGTGCTCAGGGATTACTTGGCATTTCCTTTGGGAAAAGGGCTCAGTGGCTGCTATCCGTGATTCTTCCTCTGCTACCACTGTGGCTTGAATGTGCCGACCAATAACACAATCCGAAAAGCAGAGCAACAAAAGTTCCGTACAGTGGCCAAGATTTCTTTAAAGGAATAAAATAAACATAAGCCACTTTGAATCTTTTGTCTAGACATATAAAGTGTGATATAAATAAGAAATAAAAATCATGACTTTCATTGTTGTCTGCATGAGAATGCATATAGGAAAGTCCCACCTCCCTCTCCAAATTCTGAAATGTACAATGCCTGGGAACAAAAAGGCTACAAGAAGAGTACATGAATAGTTGAGGTGTTGCTTTTAGCGTTTTCAGTCTAGGCTGCTTGGACGCAGATATAAAGATGGGCTGAATTGAAAGATCATAGACAAAAGGGAGTGACATATGCATCTGACTTAAATTTGGAAGAAGTAAAATGTCCAACTAGTCGAGATAAAATAGGGTGATAGAGACAGAAGTGTCCTTACTAATGGTGTTTTGTACTCAAGAAAATACCACGTGACTTTGATTAATCAGTTTTGCCACTGCTGAAAGTCCCAATCATCACAGAATTCTTCACCGTGCTACTAGTAGCCTTCTTCTTCTTATTTATTATTTATTTATTGTTCTTATAACCCGCTACCATCTCCCGCAGAACTTGGTGCGGTTTACAAGAGGCCAAGCCCAACAACATCATAAAAACAATAACAGCAAACGACAAATAACTCAAAAAAGCAAAACAATACAATAATGACATAACACATAAGGCAGGGCCAAATGTGAAAGTTTTAAAAGTTAAAGGCTGGGAAGTTTAAAGGGGATAGGAGGAATGTTTTGGGAAAGGTGGATGTGCAGACAGTTCTAAATCTCTCATAAAGTGCACTGAGGACATATTGCTAGGATTCCTTATTCTGGGAAGGCACTCTGGAACATCCACATTTTCAAGCTCCTTCTATGTGCCCTCCAAGTGCTTTGAACAGTTTGCCAAAAATTGGACAGGGTCTTACATTAATTTTGGTCCAAAGGATGCATTAGGGCTTATTTTTATTTTTTCATATACAACAATCTACATTTATTTTTGTACAACATACATTTATCAATTTATTCATGTACAAAATCAACATTTATTCATGTACAGCAATCTATATTTATTCAAATACAGTCACGTCATCTTCTTCCGGAACATCATCATAATATTATGTCAACAATATTATTTATTTATCTTTAATGATACAGTACTGTTCTTATTTTATAATTCAATATGTCTGCCATATGCTGCAAAAGATGTACTACCTTTTATATAATTTAATTTGTTTATATAACATCAACAGTTTACTTTTATTTATGAATGTTGTTGTATCAATTTAGTATGTTGTTTTATTTTTTGTGTTACTTTTGCTGTCTTAAGTTAATTTTGTTGTTCGCCTTAATTAATTATTGTTTATGGTTTGCACTGTGATTGTGTTCTAAACCACTCTGAGTCCCCTCGGGAAGATGGGGCGGGATACAAATAAAGATTATTATTTGATACACAACAAGATTAGGACACAGCAAACAAAATCACTATGCTGGCTTTTGTATTTGATCACACGTCAGACACTTACCAAGTGTCTAGGACTGTGAGATCTATTGGAGAATAATGCATGCAGATGACAGATGATGATGATGATTACCGATAAATGTGTCTGTCTGGCTGAGGATCTCAACTGGGGCTTATTTTTGGGGTAGGGCTTATATTATGAGCATCCTGAAAAAAATCATGCTTTGGCTTATTTTCCGGTCAAGACTTGTTTTTAGGGAAACAGGGTAACTATTACTCACAGACACTTCTCACTGTGGACTGGGATGAAGAAAGTTTTAGTCTGACAGATCTAAAGTTAACTGGATCAGATGATAATAGAGACAATTGAGAGCTATGGTCAACATATCCAGGTTCTTTAAGGGATACGATAACCTTTGATTTTACATTAATTTAACCACTTTACAGTTGCATCTGCTGCAAAAGACAAAACCCTCAAAAGCTACCTAAAAGCAAGAATTAATTTAGGAGCCATTCTGGGTAATTAGTGCCTACCCCAGAGAGCCAGAATCCCCTCTTGGATGCAGCAACTTCCCTGATGAGATCAACTGCTTAATTAGGTGATTCCATTGCCAACACTACAGGGAACTATCACTCTTCCTCAACTTTGTAGGCAAAGGAGAATAATAATAAAGCATAAATGATGCATATGTTTATCCATTTTTAGAAAGCTGGGTCTTCTGAACTAAATATATATACATACAAAATTGCTAAAGCAGTGCCATAAACTGAGGATTGATATAGATGATGCTTTGACATACACATTCTATTGTAATTCCTTCTGACTTTCTCTTACAGTTCTGGAAACCAATGTAGAGAACCACAACCTATTGTTACTGAAAAAAATTCAGTAGGAGACAGAACATATGCTTACTTTGCAGTGCATGAAACCGTAATAGAAATCTTTCCCCCAGAAGGCAAAAAGATGTCCCCCTTGGCTTCATCCGTATTTTCTTCCATATCTTCATTTTGTACTTTTTCACAGCTCAGTTTTTCTGTTTGACTGACAAAAGAACTGTCACAGCCTCCAACATTATTAATGTCTGTAGATTCAACTCCTTTAAAAAAGGAAAGAAAGCAAATTAAGCCACTCCAATTACAACAAATGTAACTTGCAGATGAATTATATTTACCAGAATTAATTCCTGTGGGTGCAACAGACTATACTATAGTTTCTGTTGAACTCTTCTGACTGTTACCTGGCACTTCCAGATAAAATTGTCTCTCTTTATCCCAGCCACCTAATTTGCAGCTAATTAAATGATGTGTTGTATTCCCTTTGTTCCTAAAGAAAGAAAAAAATGACTTAAACCTTAATATTTGCGTTATGTAAAAAAGCATTATGTTTCAAGATAGTAGCATTTCAACAGTGACAAGCTGAGGCTTTTTCATATACCTGCCCAAAGAAATCATTAATATACAAAGAAGAGGGTATATCAAAGGTGCCCTACTGAAAATATAAGGAGTCCATACATTTGCCAGAGGATCTCATATCCAGCAGATGTTTCCAATAATATAAGGCAGCAAAGGGGACTGTGAAGGAAGGGGGTTGTCACAAAAAAATAAAAGAGGGTTCCACTAAACTGAGGTGTGAAATCACACTGAAAAAGAATGTGGGCTACAGCTCCTACCAGACCAAGCCAGTGTGAAGAATGCTGTGAGTTGCAGTCCATTAACATTTGGAGGACTTTATGATTCCCTCCATTGTGTCTAAATGAAAGTGGAATCAAAAGGTGGTGCTTTTTGGGAAAGCACTATTGGATATGGTTCATAGATGAATTAATGAGATCAGGCCCTACTTTTCTTGGTTTGGCTTATTGATTTTTTCCAGTGTGCTGAGTGCAAAATAACAGAAGGAGAGGTCTTGATCCCTACGTGCATTCCTCATTTGGTACCACTGACAATGTACTACATTCTATGTACTGCACTTCCACAGCCTTATGCCTGGTTCAAATTAACTAAGGATAAATGAAAAACAAGGAGCAAAAGACTCTTCTCACATCAGGATTCTCTTTCATAATTCTGCATTTTCAACAAAATGTTGTCAATATTTTATCTTCTATCTTCTGTGAAAGACTCTCAATATTCTAAATAAACTAGCTACCTTTTACTAAATACTAGCTTGGGTACTCAGCGGTGCCCGAGTTATTTGAAAAAAGCATTGTTTGTTTTGGGGTGTTAGATAATATCATTTAGCTAACTAGTAAAACTATTGATTAGAAAAAGTCAGTCTTTAATGAGTGCCAAATGTGGACCAGGTCCATTATTGAAGGGGGTCACAGTGCTCTGCCTTGATGCAGGGTGAACTACAACTTCCATCCTGTTGAGTCAGTCTCCCAAACCTCTCCAGTCTGTTTAGTTGGTGGTCAATTCCTCTGTTTGCTGTGTGCCATAGGAAAGGGTTAAGGAAGAGGCAGTAGGCAGGGTCATGCAAATTTCACATCAATGGAGAGAGAAAAGAACCCTGGGGTGCTTGTCTGTGGTGGATGAAACATGTCAACTCTAGGATGAAATGGTCCCCGAATGAAAGGTGGTGGGCTGTAGTGTTTGGGGAAGACATTGGCAGGGTTTGGGCTACATGTTCATGGTGCTCACTCTAACCTGGAATGAGGGAGTGCCTTTGGAGACGTCTCAGTACTGGGGACTATAGCCTGTTTGTGGAGGCGGGAGGCTGTCTGTGTAAGTGGACACCTCTGACACACACACACACACACACACACACACACACTTTTCACTTTATTATGTGTATATATTTTTAAAACTTAGTTTTATCTTATTGATTTTAGAAATAGTTGTGAAGCAAAACTGTTATTACTCACAAAGATACAATGTCTTGTATGAAGTTATTTGAGATCTGATAGAAATTTTTGGTGTGACAGGCATATTTAATATTTTGCAGAATAAGGAAAGAAAGGAAATAATTTCTCCCCAGTTCACTATGAGATGCAACTTCACTAAATGTATACTTACCTTTCTAATTGTCAGACTATAGGTTTTTCATATGAGTATTCTTTTCCCTCCAGTGGTTTGAATTAAAAAAACAAACAAACATTTTACTTGCCTACTCCCTGCCATAATACATGCATGTGCATGTGTATGCCTCTGCCTTCAAAGTTGCCTGTTGACTTACAGTAAACTCATGAATGTTAAAGGATTTTCTTAGGCAAGGAATATGCAGAGGTGGTTTTGTCACTTCCAATGAATGCAGCCTATAGCACCTGCATTCATTGGAAGTTTCTTATCCAGGGCTGGTCCTGTTCAGTTTTCAAGATCAGACAGGATATGATACATGTTAAGGCATTTCGGGCCTTATTTCCACAATATGCACACTGTTAATTAACGCTTCAAAGACCAGCAATAGAAACATACCATAGGGAAGAGTGGGTGTGAAAAAAGACCTTTAAAAGGGAAAAAAAGTAGGCATTGAAAATAATTACAACTCACTCAATCCAGACCTCCATGCTTTTAGTTACTCCTAACTTGAGCTTGCCAATGTTTGTTATTTTGGATACTTCAAGTCCTTCTTTGTCTTTCAGTAAGTGTTCCCATGACTCACTGCAGATGGTTCCTTGGGTTATAGAAGACCTGGCAATATACATAATTAGGACCTTCCTTGTATTATAAAAATCCATACAGAATTTTCAAACAGCTATTTCAAAATGATTAATTTCTGACAAGCATGTGTTAGGTTCCTTTCTGTATCAGCTGTGTTTCTATTTGAACGGTGCTTTATTTTAAAAGGATTCTCATCCTTTCCTTTTGGAGAAGATCAACATACAGGAAGAAAGTTTTGAATTTAAGTAGTGATTAAAACTACAGGCATGCTTTGTAAAGAGCCACAATAAAGAGCAAGCTCTTGATGCTGTGTTAGAAGACAAACATATCTGACTCTTGGTTGTGTTCACGTGACTCCTTTTTAGCAAGTTCAGCTTTTCAAAAAAGTGTTGTCCACAACACTGTAACTAGTCACCATGATATATTCCTGGGTATCTAGGTATAGACCAGGCATGAGCAAACTTTGGCCCTCCAGGTATTTTGGACTTCAACTCCCAGAAATCCCAGTCAGCTTAAGGCTTCTTAAGAATGGTGGGAGTTGAAGTCCAAAACACCTGGAGAGCCAAAGTGAGCCCCATGCCTGGTATAGACCCAGGACTCCAAATTTAAAAAAAACCCAACTTCAATTAGTTTACTTTGAAAAACAGCACTAGTTGGATGAAAAACAGCACTAGTTGGAATGTCTCAGTCCAAATAAATTTTTAAAAGGCTATGATCTGCCCACATGATGTACAGCCAGTTCTACAGCAGAAATACTTCTTCAAGCTATTAATTTGGCCTAAAAAGTACTGCACGTTACTCTGAAATGACCCATGGTGTTTTTGACAGGACTGCTTGATTGGTCTGAATCCAAGATGATCCAGTGTCTGCACAGCAAAAGACCCACTTTTGTTTTGCTGGCCAGAAGCAGCTTCCTAACAATGTCACTTTTGGTGTTCACGTAGCAGGGTGTTCTGTTGTGAACTCCCAATAAGTGACAAAATCAGCAAGGCAGGGAGTGTTTTGGGCAGTTAAACAGCTGCAGCCAACAGGAGGACAGAGAACCCGTGCTGATGTGCCATGTAAACTGCAGAAAAGCTTTGGGGCAATTCTATACATATGTATGGACTCTGGGAGGTATATCGAGTGCAAGAGTATTTCACCTACTGTGGATACACCCCAATTCTACCTCCTCAGATATTTCATGTAGATACCTCAGCTTACTGTTTAACACCACATTTACTTCTCTTGGGTATAAAAATCTTCTTAGGTTTAATCTAGTTTTATAAGAATTGGGGGGGGGGGGGAATCCTTTTATTACCCATTTTTATCTGCAGGAGCCATGCAAAGTGCTCTCCATATGTAGCATGACTGGTTACTTTCCACAGCAACCACATTGACCAAGTCATATCTTTGAGGCACGTAACCATCAGCGAGTCTCAGGGAATCCAGAGTGAAAAACACACTGTCATCTACAACACCAGTCCTTCCACACAGACTGGATACACGGACCTGAAATAATTGTAGTTGGCAAATGCAAAGTTAAAATGCAGTAATCAATATAAACCTTTAATCCAAGTATGCATAAAGCTACTTAAAGTTTCTGGAGAAAACTATTGAGCTGGCCATCTGTATTTCAAATCACAAAGCTGTCACAGTTATATTAAATCAGGCATCCTAAACTGTGGCCCTCCAACTGTTTGGGCCGTCAACTCCCAGAATTCCTGACAACTGAACAAGCTCGTTAGGGATTCTGGGAGTTAGAGGCCCAAGCAGCTGGAGGGCAGCCGTTTGAGGATGCCTGAACTAAATGTATTGATTTAGACTTAATTATGTCATAAACTCATTCTTAACCATGATCAAACACTAAAACAGTGTCACTGATAACACTAGCGAACACACTTTTTGGTACATCAAATGTTAGCCCTGTTTCTGGGTACATTTGACAGAGTATATGATTCCAAAAATGGCACCAGTTGTCCCTAATCACACACGTCAAGCACAAAGCCTGTGGACCACATAATTTAATTATCAGAGCAGCATAGTTATACAGTCTGACATGAGTCCCTTGAAGGCAACTATAAGGCTGATGTGGCCCTAAGTGGAAATGTGTTTGACACCCCTGCCCTACCAGCACTAGTTTTTAAGATACAGAACATATGCCATCTACCAGTCATCCATATAAAATCATAAATATGTATAAGAAACTAGAGATGATGCAGTCAATCCGATGCAATTTTCTGAAACAGCGTCCCAAATAACCCCAGTAACAGGCCTAAAAACCAAGATACCAAAAAATGTTGTTGTTGTTGTGCTGTGCAATTCTTAAAGTCTACTGTTGGTTACTTGACTTAAATATTGTCTTGAAGAACCTTTACTTTGACATCTAATACTATTTTCAAATATACAGATTCCACCATTTCCTGAAGAATAAGAGTAACATTTCCTGTTTGTAGTCCATTTAGGCACTACTGCTTTTCTTACCCTTTATATATGGTGACAGCAGGCAATAGCTATGAATCCATTCCCAGTTTCAGAATCTTGAACAAAATGAGACTGCAATTGCAATTTCACCATGTTGAACAGTTTAAGAAATCTATGACCTACTTTAAGGGGCACAATCAAGGTACTGCTTTTCTTATACAGAACAAGCAGTGTGAGTCCAGAAGCAATAAAAATTAGAAATGAGACACCAAATCAATTTTGGAGCAGAAGCAGTTCTCCTTGAACTATGTTTAGCCTTTTTAAAAAAGTGACTACGAACATTAGAGGTATATAAAATGATGCATGGTATAGAGACAGTGGCTGCAATATTAGATAATGACACCTTGAAAATTCATTAAGACAAATTGTGTAAAATGAGGTGAGACCAAAAAGAAATATTTCTTTGCACATTACACAACTGCAATTTGCTACTGTGATAAGTAATGCTGTCTGTAAACTTAACAGCTTTCAAACAGAACTAGGTACATTCATCAAGGATAAGGCAGCCAATGGATATCAATGACAATGTATTTTCCCTGGCAACAGGGGATGTATACATCAGCTTCAGGGAACATAAGGGTGTAAAGATTCTCTTTTTGAGCTTGCCATAAAAGGATCTCATGGGCCCCTTTGGAAACAGATTACAGGTAGTCCCCGAGTTACAAATGTCCAATCTACAAATGACTCATAGTTAAGGACGGGGCTGAGATAACAGGAAGTGAGATAAATCTATCCTTAGGGAGAGAAATTCACTCTTGGAAGATTTATTACCATGGGAAAAAGGGGTCTCCACTGAAGCTTTATCATGAATCCACAAGGTTTTTCAAAATCTATCACAGGAGCAGAAATGAGGTGCAATTTTCTCAACAGGGGCACAGACAACAAAAGAAACACCACAGTTTTAACCCTCCCCTATGCTATCCAAAGTATGTATGAGTGTGTGTGTGCGTGTGTGTATTTGTCTGCCTTGAGTTACACATTAACAATGTACCTGTTCCGACTTAAATACAAATTCAACTTAAGAACAAACTTACAGAACCTATCTTGTTTATAACTTGGGGACTGTCTGTATTGGGTTGGATAGGCCTTTGGTTTGATTCATCAGGACCCTTTTCATGTTACCTGCACTACAACTCAGATAGCTATAGCCTATATATCTATCATTCACCTACTATGTATTAAGTAACTAAAAATCTAAGAAATCTCAAAAGTCAACCAGGCATTAGACGTACCTTATCAATTCTTTTATATCTCAAGGGTTCCACACAAATTGCTTTAGTGGTCCATGTTGTTGGGTCAATAACATATTCTGCTACTACCCAATCTCCTTTACAAGGTTTAAAGGCTTGAAAATAAAATCACAATGCATTTCAATAAGTTTGCGTATCAATTTGACCCATTTGCAAGAGAATGTAACAGAAGAGCAAGACAGTTAAACAGCAGTTGTTACTTAGTTGCTGAAATTGGATTGTTATTGCTCTCAACATGATATACCAAAGATAAAATTTCAAAACGAAACGAGGAGAAATGCCACAAATATAAATCCATACATATTTTGAAACCAAACTTACCAGGGAAAATGACATAGATTTTTTTCTTTCACCAGCCCCCACTCCTATTATGATTTTGGCTGAAGTAGCCAAGCATATAGATCGCTGTTTTTGTTTTTAAGAAGGTGGGCGTAACTGATGAGCAGGCTAACCTGCTCTCTTCTTTTCTCTCTTTTGCTGTTCACATATTCTTATCAAGAAATTCTGAGGGCAACTGCTGCTTACTTGAATTTTTGTACACATGTGCACACAGCTCAGCTGCCTGTGTGACTTCTTGTCACCAAATACCACACAGTTCAACAATAAGAAAAGAGTACATAATAGAAAAGGCGGTTTCAAAAATGAGTAGACAAAAGTATTCCAAAATCAGCAAAGCAATCACAAAGGTACAATCAAAAACCATACTGTAAAAGCATGTTCACAGTTATATTCATAAGCTTGACATTGTTGAGAATAACCAATAGCAGGGACAACCCAGGGGTTTCAACACTTAAAGCAAAACTAGATCCAAAGGCTTGAAACTTGTACACAACTATACTCCAAAAGCTTGGAAACTTGATCCAAGAATTGTAATCCAATCAAGAGGCATTGATCTTAAACAAGAAAGCAAGATACATTACCAAAGACCAGAACTCCTAACTCAGAGCTCCCAAGAAAGGCAACTTGACCGATGGAAATCCAACGTTGATCTCCAATGAACATTATCACAAAACTCTTAAGACTTCTAATTCCTACCCATGACATCACTCTTTCTTAAACCTGGGTTCCCTTTGTTTATGTTTTAGCCTCCAGGAACAACAAACTTGTCTCTGCTTTGCACTATTTCTAATAGTTGAGTTATAGGCAGTGCTCCCATCTCCTCCACATTTCTTTCAACAGTCAGTCCCTGGCAGATTATCATGAGCACCACTTTCTGTTTCCCTAACAACAACTCTAACCGAAACATTCCCATTATCAGGAGGAAAACGTACAGCTAGACAGAGGAAAATTGGGAAGGGGGGATACCTTTGAAGTCTGACTTGGCCACGGTAGTCCATGCTCTGGTTACATCCCGTATAGACTACTGCAACGAGCGCTACGTGGGGTTGCATTTGAAGACTGTCCGGAAGCTTCAAATGGTCTAATGAACGGCAGCCAGATTGCTAACAGGAGCAGTGCTCAGGGAGTATACAACTCCTCTGTTGCACCAGCAACATTGGCTGCCAGTTTGCTACCGGGCACAATTCAAAGTGCTGGCTTTAGCCTATAAAGCCCTAAATGGTTCTGGCCCAACTCACATGTCCAAACGCATCTCCCCTTATGAACCACCTAGGACCTTAAGATCATCTGGGGAGGTTCTGCTCTCATTACTGCCTTCGTCACAAGTACATTTGGCGGAGATGAGAGACAGAGCCTTTCCGGCGGTGGCCCCTCGGCTGTGGAACGCCCTCTCTATAGATATTAGATTGGCCACTTCCTTTCTAACATTCCAGAAAAAAGTCATGACTCGGCTTTTTGAACAAGCATTTCCAAATGCAGAGTAATCAACATAGGAAAACGGAACGACAACAATGAGACCGGACAACGTTTTTAACAAGGCGACACTATGAATTTATATTTTACCAATATGTTTAATTTTTATTATATGTTATGTTTTTAATTGTATTTATGATATTGTAAGCACTGAATTTTACTCTGTTAACCACCTTGAGTTGCCTACGGGCTGAGAAAGGCGGTATTCAAATACAATAAATAAATAAATAAATATTTTGATGCAAATAGGCTTTGGTAAAAGGAGGTTCTTGTTAGAGGCTTTGTTAATTGAGGTGTATCCCTATACACACGATTTTCAGAGATAAAAATATTTTTCTTACGCTCAAGTGAGGTGGTAAAGAATGTTAGATCCGCATATGATAAAATATGGCACCTAAGGCATTTTCACTGCAACGCAACGATGCAAAGAAAAAGGAAAAAAAGTGATGTAAGTTTAAAATAACATGTAAATTACCTTTAGAAACTACATCGAAGGAGAAAGAGGTTGTTTGGTTTATGTATCCACCAGCTTGAGTTAGGTATGTAATATTTCCAATTAGTGTCTTAATATCAGAGTCAATCTCACTGGGACATGTGCTGTTATCTTCCCATGTATCAGGTATGATTTCTACCTATAAAAGTGGACAAATCAAAGTTACCTGCAAATCGTTTTTTGATATAGCTGAATATAAAAGATTTGATTGTTGATAATTCCCTGTAGAGGAGACATACTACAGAACTGCTTTGAACATACTGAAATACACATAATTGACAACATTCTATAAACACTGGTATGTACAGACTACTAGACAGACATGGCGAAACCCACAAGAAACCAGGAAAAATTGAGATGAGAGATTCTGACAAGAGTATGGCCCTTTTGCATGTAGGGTCATGGGGCTGATTGGTGGTCAAATGTTTTTTACTTCAAAAATATCACTAATGCCACACAAGAGTACAAAATTATAATGAAAAGTTGCTAATCTCTCTCATATATTCCAGACACTTACTTTCTATAATCTGAATTGTGGATAAAATATTTGTAAAATAAAATGTTAGAAATATTATCCGGATTGGTCGCCAGGACCATTTATTATGAAATGGCCTTGGTCAACACAAAGAACTGGCACTGAAATGTTGAGAATACATTTCTCCTAGATGAATTCATAGCTATGAAAGGGCTCCAGCTATTTCTCTTCGCAACACATTTGCTCCCGTCCACAACGGTTATATGACCATCATATTAATTCATTGATAAAAATATGATCTGTTTCCTCTCTTGAAATCTATTTATGTTATTGTGGTTTTTTTCGGGCTATAGGGCCATGTTCTAGAGGCATTTCTCCTGACGTTTCTCCTGCTCTCATTACTGCCTTCGTCACAAGTACATTTGGCGGAGATGAGAGACAGAGCCTTTCCAGCGGTAGCCCCTCGGCTGTGGAACGCCCTCCCTATAGATATTAGATTGGCCACTTCCTTTCTAACATTCCAGAAAAAAGTCAAGACTCGGCTTTTTGAACAAACATTTCCAAACGCAGAGTAATCAACATAGGAAAACGGAACGACAACAATGAGACCGGACAACGTTTTTAACAAGGCGACACTATGAATTTATGTGAATTTAGATGCAGGCGAAACGTCAGGAGAAATGCCTCTAGAACATGGCCCTATAGCCCGAAAAAACCCACAAGAACCTAGTGATTCCAGCCATGAAAGCCTTCGACAATATATTTATGTTATATTGACAATTATGCATGCAAAGGGATATGTTACATGCAACATTTTGCATGCTCCTCAAAACAACTCGTGTTAACTGCAATTGTCGGAAATCTGTTATATCTATGGTAGCCTCTTTTCATACAGGATGAGACAAGTAAAATGATGAATTCCTCAGGAATGCCGAATATGAAAATGAAGAATTCCTTAAGGATGTTGAGTATGGACATTAGCAAGGAAAAGGAGGTGCAAAGTGACAGGGTAGAGCTCATTTAGGTACTATTTCTATGTTCCTATTCAGTGTCTTTAATTCATTTCCAACTTATGGTGACCCTGAGAAGAACTTATCATGGGGTTTTCTTAGTAAGATTTGTTCAGAGAGGAGCTGTCATTACCTTCTTTTAAGGCTGAATAATGTGGCTAGCCCAGAGTCATTTCTGGGATGAGCAGGAATTTGAACCTTGGTCTGCTACAGTCCCTGTCCAACACTCAAACTAAGATACCATTCTGCTACATGCACAATGGAGGACCTTCTTGCGGCAACATCGGAGGCACTCCAAGTGGCCAGATACTGGTCAAAGGACATTTAATCAACTACCAAGTTTGCAAATGTTGTGTTTTGTCTGTTTGTTTTGTTCTGTTAGAAATGTAATACAATTGTTTGGTCGCCCCTGACACAATAAATAAATAAATATACTCAGTGGGGTAAGTCTGCCATCTGCTGGATGCTTGGAGTAATTACCAATATATGTGCATGGAATCATGGACAGAATTACTAAATGCAATACTGTACACATAAAATAAACTTCACATGAATATTATATGTAGTGAGTAACATTATTTGAAAAAAACACCCACAAAATGATTTTAAACTTAGAAAGCCATCAGGTGTTATAAAATAAACTGTATTATTCCTCCATTTGCTCTATTAATAATGTAGTTTATATTTCGTAACAGCTGCTGGCCTAAATTCAAAACCCTTTTGTTTCCGTTTTAGTTTTTGTTTCAAATAATATCCTCCACTATACATAATATTCAATGTTCCTTTTATATGTACTGTATTTAGCGTAGTTCTGCCCATGATTCAACTTGTAGCAACTTTATATTATTTACTTTTGTGTGACCTAGAAAAAGATTGGATGCTTCCTATCCCGTCTGACTCACATTCAAACAATATTGAGAATCTGAGTCAGATTATTATTTCTCTCCATAATGAAGTGATAGAGACACACCCAAGAACCTTAATATTTCTCTTGGTACATAATAACTGCATAGGCAACATGTGCTGAAACACTTTGGGCTTTCAATATGACCAAATGGATAAACAGAATTTTATTTTGTACACAGTTTACAGAAAAACTTGACGAATTTCCACAGTAATTTTAAACTCACCCTGATTGCCTTTAATCCAGTAGATATTTTATCTTCTTCAACAAGAGCTACAACCCTCTGTCCAACGTGCAATGGCGCATTGCTAATCACAGCATCATTGGTGAAAACAATAGAATCGTCTATCATCCCATAGTCCAGGCAAAATCTTGTCACTACGCCTTGTACAGTTTTTGCCCTTTTGACATCTTTTAAAAAAGATAAACATATTTAAGCCAATACAAAGTGCCCCTTGTATTTCTTTCAAGATAAGTGTATTAAAAACTTTTCTTGGTCCTCTGGATGTACTTTTTGCTATAGAATAAAGCAGAAAACAAATCATCTGGAAGTTTCATGCCAGTGAAGATGGGTAACAGGAGAAGTGTTAAAGTCATTCACATCTCCCCTACCTCCCTTTTATAATCACTGCTTTGAAAGCGATCGTAATTAAATTACCTACCTTGAGCAACTGCTTGACAGAAGGCAACAAGCCATGCTGGGTTTATTAAGCAATAACATTTCATTAAGAGTTTTTATTAGATGTACAAATCAATTTCAGGATGAGAACAGCTTGGGTAAAGCCACAACAGTGCTGCAAGCTAACCCCAGGAATGCTCTTCAGTTCCATATCAACTATTTTGGAAATTGCCAAGAAAAAAAGTATGTCTTTATCTGTCCTTAGCATCTTTTCCCCATTCTTCTGGTCTTGTGCAGCTCCTGGAATTTCTCTATAGTTCACTATGCATTACACTTCAGTATATAGTATCCCTTTCCATACTGAGACCTCCTTTTTATAGGACCACAATCCTAATTCTAATACAATTCAATATTAATTCAATCTTATAGTTAAGCCCATTTATTTTCGAATTAATCGCTGATAAGAATCCAATAGCACTTCAGAATATTAAAATGCAACTAAGATGGAGTAAGGTCAAGAACAATGAACAGGAAGGCAAAATCTTATATGTAACTTTCCTTAGAAAAAAACCCAGTAAGATTAAATGTAAGTCATTGTCAGGATTCGAAAATGGTACCCCTCTACATGTATTTTCCATTTACCTTGCCCAGGATAGTGAATGGTGAACAATAATACGAGAAGTTCCTTTTCCACTTTTCTTTGGGTAAATACATAGCACACATAAGCAATTCACAGACAAGGACAGGCAACAGATGGATTGGTTCTAGACAAGAATGTTAGAGGCACTATATTCCCCTTACTTAAGACTATCATGGAGACAGATCCATGCTGAAATCTGTCTCCATTTTAAAGTTTTATTGCACTTGGAGAAACATGGTATTGTTCTGTGGGGGAGTCACCACAATGGGGAATGTTAATCCGTCTCTTTAGCAGCGACTCTCCTGAAAATGCCCCCCATGCACTCTAATCAGGATGTTAAAAGCTTTCTATTGGAATAAATGGCAAGTTTTGAAAAGGTTTATTACAGTATTTTCAAGGAATGGCACAGTAGTAGGAATGGCACTGCCCTCTCCTGCAGTGCACCACCTCTCATGCACACATAAATGTTCCCTCTCTGCACTTTAAATATGCTTTTAAAATGTTTCCAATGGCAACATGTCCAATTATTAGGTAGCCTGGGAATTGAAGTCCCAAACATTACAAGCACAAAGAGGAACAATGCATTTGACTGCATCGGAGACTGTGGTGGGCAAAGCATAATCTATCAGATGTTCCGTAGTTTGGCAGTAACTCCCACTAACTCCAACCAGCATAGCTAATGGTGAGGAATGTTAGGTGTTGCAGACTGAACATCTCTGGACAGCGGATTTTGTCTTCCTGTATACTAGACTGACACCCAGACAAGTCTCTGGGATCCATTTTTAAATGGTTAATACTAATTTTAATTTTAAAGGGTAGTAGAAAGGAATGAAACATTATTTACAAAATGTTCAAGTGCATGAAAACTCAATCATGAATACCTCACCAAGAAATATAAGCTGCTCTAGTCATCCCACTAGTCAGCAGGATATATCAACACACTATGCCTTTGTATGTGGGCATTACTTGAAAGATGCATGATTAGCTTGGGACTTATCCTCTAAATTCAACTGTCCAATAATCAAAGAGACAAAGGAGGAACCATTTTATCCAGTACTGTGAAGCCACTATCTATCACTTTATATATCTTTAGAGAAGAAGTATGTATATTGCGGACATCACTCTCAATCTCATCAGATAAGAGGTACTAAATAATATATATACAGGGTCACAATATGTCACAGTCAAAATGCACTGACAGACCCTGATTCCAATTCTCTGTAAAACACTTTAAAACTAATGGGTTCCAAAGCTATACTGGTTTACTAACAATTATACTTTACTTTCAAAATAAATATTTTATGCCCTCTTGTTCAAGAAGATATCACACTGACTTTGGAATGTCAGCATACCAAGTTGTGCCATTCAGTAAAATTCACAGAACTGTATTTCTTAGAAATCTGATTGCTAACAATTAGAAGTAAACACATGTGACAAATACATTTCACAAAAATATGGACATAATTACTCAACAAGAAGCAATCACGTCCACAAAATGTTAAAAACTGAGATGTCAAAATAATTCTTAGAAAGTATTCTCAGAAGACATGAACCAAGCCTAAATCAGGCTCATTCCAGATTTCCTAGAAAATGTGTTATTGTTGTTTTATTTCATTTTAATCATGTTTTGGTTCCGATACTTGTTAACATATAAAATGATTGACAAAAGTACAGTATTCACAGCTAAACATTGGAACATAAGAACCTGAGTGTCTTCAAAAGACTCAGTCAAAACCTAGACCACAATCCAATTGTGAATTTGTAGCCAAACTAGAAAAAAGTGTCTGTTCAGCAATGGTCTCCATTCAATTTGGCAACTGCAGAAATCTTGCCAAGAAGAAACTGAAGGACCCAGATACCCAAAACTGATAGAAATGTAATTGGAGATAAATGTAAATGTTGTTGTTATTCATTCGTTCAGTCGTCTCCGACTCTTCGTGACCTCATGGACCAGCCTATACCAGAGCTCCCTGTCGGCCGTTACCACCCCCAGCTCCCTCAAGGTCAGTCCAGTCACTTCAAGGATGCCATCCATCCATCTTGCCCTTGGTCGGCCCCTCTTCCTTTTACCTTCCACCTTCCCCAGCATAGTTGTCTTCTCTCCTCATGATGTGGCCAAAGTACTTCAACTTTGTCTCTAGTATCCTTCCCTCCAATGAGCAGCCGGGCTTTATTTCCTGGAGGATGGACTGGTTGGATCTTCTCGCAGTCCAAGGCACTCTCAGAACTTTCCTCCAACACCACAGCTCAAAAGCATCGATCTTCCTTCGCTCAGCCTTCCCTAAGGTCCAGCTCTCACATCCGTAGGTGACTACAGGGAATACCATGGCTTTGACTAGGCGGATCTTTGTTGTCAGTCTGATGTCTCTACTCTTCACTATTTTATCGAGACTGGACATTGCTCTCCTCCCAAGAAGTAAGCGTCCTCTGATTTCCTGGCTACAGTCTGCATCTGCAGTAATCTTTGCCCCTAGAAATACAAAGTCTGTCACGGCCTCCACGGTTTCTCCCTCTATTTTCCAGTTGTCAATCATTCTTGTTGCCATAATCTTGGTTTTTTTGACGTTTAGCTGCAACCCGGCTTTTGCGCTTTCTTCTTTCACCTTGATTAGAAGGCTCCTCAGCTCCTCCTCGCTTTCGGCCATCAGAGTGGTGTCATCTGCATATCTAAGGTTGTTAATGTTTCTTCCAGCAATTTTCACCCCAGCTTTGCATTCATCCAGCCCCGCACATCGCATGATGTGTTCTGCATACAAGTTAAAAAGGTTGGGTGAGAGGATGCAGCCTTGCCGTACGCCTTTCCCATTCTTGAACCAGTCTGTTGTTCCGTGGTCAGTTCTGACTGTTGCTACTTGGTCCTTGTACAGATTCCTCAGGAGAGAGACAAGGTGGCTTGGGATGCCCATCCCACCAAGAACTTGCCACAATTTATTATGATCCACACAGTCAAAGGCTTTAGAATAGTCAATGAAGCAGAAGTAGATGTTTTTCTGAAACTCCCTGCCTTTCTCCATTATCCAGCGGATATTGGCAATCTGGTCTCTCGTTCCTCTGCTTTTTCTAAACCCAGCTTGAACATCTGGCAACTCTCGCTCCATGTATTGCTGGAGTCTTCCTTGCAGGATCTTGAGCATTACCTTACTGGCATGAGAAATAAGGGCCACTGTACGGAAGTTTGAGCAGTCTTTCGCATTTCCCTTTTTTGGTATGGGGATATAAGTTGATTTTTTCCAGTCTGATGGCCATTCTTGTGTTTTCCATATTTGCTGGCAAATGGCATGCATCACCTTGACAGCATCATCTTTTAAGATTTTAAACAGTTCAGCTGGGATCCCATCGTCTCCTGCTGCCTTGTTGTTAGCAATGCTTCTTAAGGCCCATTCAACCTCACTCCTCAGGATGTCTGGTTCTAATTCATTCACCACACCGTCAAAGCTATCGATATTGTTATCCTTCCTATACAGATCTTCTGTATAGTCTCGCCACCTTCTCTTGATCTCTTCAGCTTCTGTTAGGTCCCTGCCATCTTTGTTTCTTATCATACCAATTTTTGCCTGAAATTTACCTCCAATGTTTCTAATTTTCTGGAAGATGTCTCTTGTCCTTCCTATTCTGTTGTCTTCTTCCACTTCCATGCATTGCTTATTTAAAAATAGTTCCTTATCTCTTCTGGCTAACCTCTGGAATTGCGCATTTAACTGGGCATATCTCCCCTTTTCGCTGTTTCCTTTTGCTTTCCTCCTTTCTTGGGCTACTTCCAGTGTCTCAGCAGACAACCATTTTGCCTTCTTGGTTTTCTTTTTCTTTGGAACGTACTTTGTTGCCGCCTCCTGAACAATGTCGCGGACTTCTGTCCATAGTTCTTCTGGGACTCTGTTTACTAAATCTAGTCCTTCAAATCTGTTCTTCACTTCCACTGTATATTCGCTAGGAATGTTAGTGAGATCATATCTAACTGGTCTGTGTATTTTTCCCTGATCTCTTTAGTTTTATTCTAAATTGGGCAATAAGAAGTTCGTGATCTGAGCTACAGTCAGCCCCAGGTCTTGTTTTCACCGACTGGATGGATGTCTGCCACCTTTGCTGCAAAGGATGTAGTCAATCTGATTTCGGTGTTGACCATCTGGTGAGGTCCATGTATAAAGCCGTCTTTTAGGTTGTTGGAAGAGAGTGTTTGTTATACACAGCGAGTTTTCCTGGCAAAATTCTATCAGCCTGTGTCCCGCTTCATTTTGTTCTCCCAGACCATGCTTGCCTGTGATCCCAGTTGTCATTTGACTTCCCACCTTGGCATTCCAGTCTCCTGTAATGAAAATAATGTCTCTTTTTGGTGTATTATCCAGTAGGTCCTGCAGATCCTCATAGAACTGATCTACTTCTGCTTCTTCAGCAGCTGTGGTTGGGGCGTATATTTGGATCACTGTGATGTTCAAAGGCTTTCCTTGCACTCGAATTGAGATCATTCTGTCATTTTTTGGGTTGTATCCAAGCACCGCTTTAGCGAATTTCTTATTAATTATGAAGGCTACTCCATTTCTTCGATGTTCCTCTTGTCCGCAGTAGTAGATCTGGTGGTCATCTGATGTGAAGTGGCCCATTCCAGTCCACTTCAGTTCGCTGACCCCCAGAATGTCTATCTTTGGTCTTGACATCTCGCCAATAACAACATCCAATTTGCCCTGGCTCATAGATCTTACATTCCAGGTTCCTATGGTGTGTTGATCTTTAGAACATCGGATTCGTCGTTTGCCTCCAGTACCATCGGCCGCTAGCCTTCCTTTCGGCTTTGAGCTAGCTGCGTCATCACATCTGGGGCTAGTTGAACTTATCCTCTGCTCCTCCCCAGTAGCATTTTGGCCATCTTCCGACCTGGGAGTCCCATCTTCCAATGGCATACCGACATATCTCTGGTATGTACTGGTCCATTTAGTTTTCTTGGCAAGGATACTGGAGTGGTTTGCCATTGCCTTCCCCAGGGATCACGCTTGGTCTGACCTCTCTGCCACAACCGTCCCGTCTTGGGTGGTCCTTCACAGTTTCGCTCATGACATCATTGAGGTGCTCAAGCTCCAGCGCCCCGACAAGGCGGTGATCCTTTGCTGGAGATGTAGATAATTGGTATTTAATTGTAAATGTAAATGTAGATAATTGGTATTTAATTATAGACACATATTCAGTGTGTATCAAAATAGTAACAATGCACATTAAATCCATCACACAGCGATTCAAAGCCTAAAGGATACCAAGGATCCACTATATTATGGACACAAAAGATATTTACATCTATTTATATATAAACCGGACTACACATTTCAATCCAATTACTTTTCTTTACAATGTATGGACCACTTGCAAGTGATCCATACGACGTCATATTGAGTGATTCAAATGTGATATCTGGGTTGATTACATATTATATTTGCCAGTTTTTCCAGCTATTTAATCTGGATGCAAAACATGTTATTTTGGGAAAGTGAAATGAAACAAGTGGGTGTTATTTTAAAACAACAAACCTAAAACATGCCTATATCATAACTATATAGACAAAGAGTTATGGTTCTAAATCCATCCTGTCTTTCCACCGTTTGATAACACACCACCTTTCAATCCAGATCACTGGCTCTAATATTTTGAACTTGTCATTTTTTTTTTAGGACTTTGGTTCCCAGAATTCCTGAAGATTAGCCAAGCTGACCAGGGCTTCTGGGAGTTGAAGTAAAAAATATATATACTGAGAATCACTTATCCAGCTCAATGAGGTTGAAGGGATACGGGGGGGGGGGGGGGGAAATGGAATTTATAGCAGAGGGTGCCTACTACATTGCAGAATTAATGCAATGTGATACAATTTGAACTGCCACAGCTAAATAGTATGAAATCCTCGGATTTCTATTATTGTTGTTATTATTACACTATGTAACAACATTTGAAAAAATATGTTCTTGGTTTGAAAGTGTCATTTCCTGTTTAATTGTGCATACCGCTTTGAAAGCAGTTTTATACTCCAGAAATATCGTTTTTGTGGCTGCCATGAACTATTTTGAATTGGTCGAGATATTCATTGAAAAACTATAGCAAATTGTGCTGCAGGATGTCCCGCAAAAGCAAAGTTTTTGCAGCTTAATAAACCTTGTACCTTGGTCCATATATCAAATGGATAATTTATTAGGAATCTCACATCAGAACAATGTATTTTATCTGTGGCCATGACCTAAAAATAACATATAAAACAGTTTTAAGCAAAACAGATTTGTCTGAGTTGCTGTGAGTTTTCTGGGCTGCATGGCCATATTCCAGAAGCATTCTCTCCTGATGTTTTGCAGGCATCCTCAGAGGTTGTGAGGTCTGTTGGAAGCTAGGAAAATGAGGTTTATGTATCTGTGGAATGTCCAGGATTGGAGAAAGAACTCTTGTCTGCCTGTGGCAAGTGTGAATGTTGTAATAGGCCACCTTGATTAGCATTTAATGGCCTTGCCGCTTCAAAGCCTGGCTGGTTGCTGTCTGGGGATCCTTTGTTGGGAGGTGTTAGCTCCTGATTGATTCCTGTCTGGAATTCCCCCGCTTTTTGAGTGTTGCTCTTTATTTACTGTCCTGATTTTAAAGGTTGTTCATTTTCATGGTTTCCTCCTTTCTGTTGAAATTGTCTACATGCTTGTGAATTTTAATGGCTTCTTTGTGTAGTCTGACATGGTGGTTGGCAGAGTGGTCCAGTATTTCTGTGTTCTCAAATAATATGCTGACTTCTCAGATTGAATTTGCCTGCAGTGCCTTTCATTTTTCTTGATTCATGTTTGGGCAATGCTGGGTTTGGTGGTCCCTATGCAAGCTTGTCCACAGCTGCATGGTATACGGTAGACTCCTGCAGAGATGAGAGAATCCCTCTTGTCCTTTGCTGAAGTGGGCAAAATGCAAGGAGAGAATGCTTCTGGAACATAGCTATACAGCCAGAAAAGTCACAGCAACCCAGTGATTCCAGCCATGAAAGCCTTCAACAACACCTTTGCTTCATTTCCCACAAACATATAGCCAATTGGCTTTTATTACATGCTAACAAAACATTGCAGTTGCTGCTATTTGGTCACTTCCGCCCTGTGTCCATTTGTCAATATCATGCCAACTACATATGGCATGTCATAATGAAATGACTTATGGCTATGACAGCATAAGAGCATTTAAAGCATTAATTAAAACTGACAGAACATTAAAAGTAGGAAAGAGCAGGTAAAATACAAGTACAACCACTGAAGTCTAGAAGTTAAGAGTGCTGGATTGCAGTCTGGGAAATCTAGGTTCAAATTCTCATTAAATATGAAACACAGCAAGTGATCTTGGACAATATGTCTGAGATCCACATATGTTGGGGATCCTTCCCCCCAGCACCAACTGCTGCTCTGAGCCAGAGTGAAGAGAGAGGGGGCCAGGGGACAGTTCCACCTTGTCTCCTGTGCTATGCTAATAATATAATATAATATATTGTATATACATATAATATACAGAGTACAGAGTACCTAATATAGGAAATCGAATGACCTGACAATGGAATTGGACAATGCTTGAGAATAATGAGACGCTGATCATGTTGCTTTTATTGCTTTTGTGATGTCTTATACTGTTTAATCTTGGAAGACAATCCTCCTCGGAAAACAGATTAAATACTGTTCAATACAGATTAAATACTGTTTAATGTATTTTATCTATTATGTTTTATGTATACTGATTTGTTGGAAAACGCCTTGAGTCGCCAATTGGCTGAGAAAGGCAGTATACAAATACAGTAAATAAATAAATATTTATAATATTATAATGTAATGCAATATAATACTAATAATATAATCATATATTTATATTACATGTAATATTACTAATAATATTACAATATAATGGCATCGTACAATATAGTAATATTTAATACTGATACTGTACTATGCTAATAATATAATATATTGTATGTATATATATCTTGTAAGTTGCTCTGAGTCTCCTTCGGGGTGAGAAGGGCGGCATTTAAATGTCATAAATGAATAAATAAATAAATATGTGGGGCTGACTGTGGTAAATAATGTATATATTCAGTTTTATCACACTTATTTACTGTATTATTATAAGTGTCTTATTTAACTTACTACATAGAGTTTTATTAAGTTGTCTCAAGCTTTGTTGTTTGGTTCGGTATGGTGATATGGTCTAAGGGCTAATCAATAAAGTGTATGTATTTATTAATAAACCTTCTCTATATTTTTTATGATGGAACCAATTAGGAAATGACATTTACAACCCAGGAACAAAAATGGTGTTATATAGAGATATTATTTATTGTATTTATACCCCCTTTCAATCCAGGGGGACTCAAGGCAACTAACCACCAAACACTTTGAAAACAAAGCGAATTATCAAATTAATAAAGCAACAATGAAATAATACTGTGACAAATAGTTAAAACAGAATACCAGCACTCTTTGGAGGAAGAGAGCTGACGGCCATATAAAACAAGCCTGAGCAAACTTGGGCCCTCCAGGTGTTTTGGACTTCAATTCCCACAATTCCTTACAGCCTCCGGTCCCTTCCTTTTCGAGGGGGAAAAGGAAAGGGCCTGAGGCTGTTAGGAATTGTGGGAGTTGAAGTGCAAAACACCTGGAGGGCCCAAGTTTGCTCAGGCCTATTATAAAACCATATAAAACTACAACTCCCATGATTCCACCACATTGTGCCAAAGTGTATTCATTCTCCAATGGAGATGTATCCAAAAATCAAGCAGGAAGCACAAGTTGGGAAGGAAAAGCAATGCTGGAGCTGCACATCCTTCTATTTTCCACTTGAGAGGAGAGAAAGGCACAGGACACGCTGCCATTCCTGCTCCTGGCTTTTTCCTTTGGGAACCAAAGGCCTCTAAAGCCTACTCCTCTTTTCTCTCTCCAAACAAACCAAACCCATTGTGTTGAAAACAAGGCAGCTCCCTCCTCTTCTACCTCTCCTTTCGCCAGCCTCCTTTTCCTTCTCCTCCTCTTCGGCCCTTCGCCAGAAGAAAGCGAGGCCCTTGGAGAAGAGTTGGAGCATCCCGACGAGGCTTCAGCCACAAGGCCTGAGTCTCTCCCTCAGAAACGCGGGAAGCGCCTTCCTCAGGGCCGCCCGCGCATGCGCCAAAGCCTGTTCTTTCTGGAGCCCTTTTATAGGAAGAGGCGCTTCAGTGAAGAGCTTTCTGAGGAGACTGAGGCGCTGGTGCTTTACCCAACTACAAATCCCAGGCTCCCCTATAGCATTGAGCCCGTTTCAGAATTAAAGTGGTGTCAAACTGCCTTCACTCTACAGTGTAGAACAGGAATGTGGCAAACTTCGAAGTTTCCTTTTCATTTCACACATTTCTGGCCTTGTATGTTTATGTATCTATGGACTTAATGGTAACTCCCATTAATTTCACAGGATTAGGGTCTGGAGAACAAGCCCTATGAGGAGCGGCTTAAGGAGCTGGGCATGTTTAGCCTGAAGAAGAGAAGGCTGAAAGGAGATACGATAGCCATGTATAAATATGTGAGAGGAAGGGAGGAGGGAGCAAGCTTGTTTTCTGCTTCCCTGGAGACTAGGACACATAACAATGGCTTCAAACTACAAGAGAGGAGATTCCATCTGAACATGAGGAAGAACTTCCTGACTGTGAGAGCCGTTCAGCAGTGGAACTCTCTGCCCCAGAGTGTGGTGGAAGCTCCTTCTTTGGAAGCTTTTAAACAGAGGCTGGATGGCCATCTGTCAGGGGTGATTTGAATGCAATATTCCTGCTTCTTGGCAGTGGGTTGGACTAGATGGCCCATGAGGTCTCTTCCAACTCTTTGATTCTATGATTCTATTTCCTTTGACATGGAATCCTCAGTTGGTTTTAACTACTTCCTTCTTCTGAAACAGAGCCTATCTTTATTTATTGGGAGGCTCCTTCTGCACAGCTGAATTTTTCGAACTGTTAGGTTGACAGAAGCTGGGACTGGCAGTGGAAGCTCACCCCACTCCCTTTCAGTCAACATGTTTAGCAGCTTAGTGGTTTAACCCATTGCACTACTGGGAGCTCCTTGCAACAAGATTAGTATACAGCAAACTAGATCACTATGCTGGCTTTTGTATTCAGTCACACTCTGGACACTTCCCAAGTGTCTAGGACTGTGTGATGTGTTGTTGTTCATTCGTTCAGTCGTTTCCGACTCTTCGTGACTTCATGGACCAGTCCATGCCAGAGCTCCCTGTCGGCCTTCACCACCCCCAGCCCCTTCAAGGTCAATCCAGTCACTTCAAGGATACCATCCATCCATCTTGCCCTTGGTCGGCCCCTCTTCCTTTTTCCTTCCATTTCCCCCGGCATAATTGCCTTCTCTAAGCTTTCCTGTCTCCTCATGATGTGGTCAAAGTACTTCATCTTGACCTCTACTATTCTTCCCTCCAATGAGCAGTCAGGCTTTATTTCTTGAATATGGACTGGTTGGATCTTCTCGCTGTTCAAGGCACTCTCAGAACTTTCCTCCCACACCACAGTTCAAAAGCATCTATCTTCCTACGCTCAGCCTTCCCTATCGTCCAGCTCTCACATCCATAGGTGACTACGGGGAATACCATTGCTTTAACTATGCTTTAACTCTAACTGTGTGATGTATTGGCGAATAATACATGCAGATCCAAGTAAGGTGGCCTTTTTGCAGCTGACAGATGATGATTTTGTCAACACCAATTATTTTTAAGTGCAGGCCAAGGTTTTTAGGCACTGTACCCAGTGGACCGATCACCACCAGGACCACCTTTACTGGCTTGTGCCAAAGTCTTTGCAGTTTGATCTTTAAATTTTCAAATTGTGTAAGCTTTTCCAGTTGCTTTTCATCAATTCTGCTGTCACCTGGGATTGCAATATCGACAATCCATATTTTGTTTTTTCCATACTTTATTATTATTATTATTATTATTATTATTACTATTTACCTGCCTTTCCCTGTGGATTGAGGCTGGGAACACAACATATATCACCATTTAAAACACACACCACATAAAATCCATTTAAAAGAAATATACAACCAATACTTAAGCAATCGGTACATAATTTAAAATCCATAATTATCACCACAGTGGAAACGAACATATATCTTTTTGCATCAGGCTTGCAAAAGCAGATAAAATATTTTGTTGGTATTTTTACAAGCATGGAATATAGAATGACTATAACAAAGGGACATTTGTAACTGTAGGAAAAGAGAAATTACAGCAGGTACAGATTGTTGCCTGGTTGCGTAACCAGCAACAAGGGCTGAAACCCCCCTTTCCACACAATAAAGGTGCTTGATTTGGCCTCAACCTTGCAGATTTTTCCTCTTTCTGGATTGGGCTTTCTCCTTTTCACTCGCTGGGTCATCTTAAATTACATAAATCCAATTGTGATGAGTTCAAAACATTGCCGACCTCTTCAATGCATGGAATTGTTAATATGTTTCTGTGTACAGGGTTCAAAGTAAAGTCTATTTAATTTCTGTATTACTTATCAGGTGATGTCCATGTATTGCATACAGTTGTCTCTGTGGTTGCCTGAAGAATGTGTTTGTGATGAATTTGGCAACATTTCTTGACCCTACGTATGCCAAATTTTCCTACAATCATTGATTCTGTTCCCTTTTCTACTTTGCATTCTAATAGCTTGTGATTAACAAGAAATCTTGTTATTGTATGTGATAGATTTCATTCTGAACATTAGCATAGAATCCTTCATTTTCTTCTTATTTTGCCTTTGTAGTTGCAGCATAACATTGGATTAAAGTTATATTGATGGTTTTCCCCTCTGAAATCTTGTTGACATGATGACATGATTTGGTTAGTTTTTACATTAGATCATTTGATTGCTTTTGCTTAATCTCTCTTAATTATAAATACTACTCCATTTCTACTTAGATAATTACACTGTGGTGCTGGAGGAAAAGTCTGACCGCAAGAAGATCATACCAGCCCGTACTCCAGGAAATAAAGCCCAACTGCTCACTGGAGGGAAGGATATTAGAGGCAAAGATGACATTCTTTGACCACATAATGAGAAGACAGGAAAGCTTGGAGAAGACAATGATGCTGGGGAAAATGGAAGGAAAAAGGAAGAGGGGCAGATCAAGGGCAAGATGGATGGATGGCATCCTTGAAGCGACTGGCTTGACTTTGAAGGAGCTGGGGGTAGCCATGGCTGACAGAAAGTTCTGGCGTGGGGTGGTCCATGAGATCATGAAGAGTCTGAAGTGACTGAACAAATAAACAACAACAATTACACTGTGTAATTATCTGACTCAAAATGTCCCATTTAACTTGCTCACTTTAGCTTGCTCACTCCCAAGTATTGCAATGTTTATATGTCTCATTTCTTGTTTTATAATTTCTAGATTCCCTTGATTCATTCTTCCCACTTTTCATTTTCCTGAAGCTTTGGACATTTCTTTCGACTCTGAGCACATCAATAGCTGTTGAGTTCAGTTGCTTTATTAGCCTCAGCATTACTCATAAATGTACTCTGCTCTTTCTCAGTAGCTGAATGTTATCCGATTTGGGAATTGCATCTTCTGGCACAATGTCTTGTTTTATTGAATTATCTCATCATGGGGGTTCCTGGTAAAAGATTTTCAAAAGGACATTTACTATGCCTAGCTCTGTGTAATGCTAACAAGTGTTAGCTATGATGCCACTGCTGTTGCCTCTGAAAAGTCCTTTGCCAATGTCGATCACTACTACTGCTACTACCCAGTAGTTGTTTGGCCCATTTAGTCTGGCTCCTCCTCAAAAGCTTCTCTAACATAGGAGACACTAGCATCAGCACTTCTGCCACCTGCATAGACTCTTGCTTCACAGGAGCGCACATTCTCACTCACTAGCGCCATTGTTGAGTTCACAGTTTGGCTTCATTAAATTTGAAAGACGTCTCAAAATGTATGAACCATTTCACTTATTAGCGGCATATCATTAGGAATGAATGCTTGGATCGTCTTTCCTCTTCTCGGAACAAGAATGAACATAGGGGGTCGAAGTACATTGAAACGTCTGCATTTAGTAACATGGTTGTTTACTTTTGGGTGAAGACCTAATTATCTGCAAAACAATTATAATTCTCAATATGCCAAATATCCCTTTATACTGCCAAGAGTTAAAAAAAAAATCAGATGAGTTTCTGTTACGACTGGGTGGTTTTTCAGTGTTGTGCTCCTGAGGTTGTTTTCTCGTTGCAAAGGAAATGCGGAACTGTACAAAAAGCCCATGCCATTGTAGGAGTTGCCAGCCTGCCAGTTATCTCCAGGGTAGATGGCATTCTTTGTTGCTTTGGTTTCCTAATAGGGGAATGAGGTTAAATGAAGCCAAGATGATTGCATGTTGTTGTTTGCTAAACTTTAATTTGTCTTGGTTTTTGATTTGTTTTTGAACTGTCTAATACAAAATATGAAGTAGGAGTGCAGAGTTTATGTAACATCGTTACATGAGGTCACAAACAAAAACAATCTCCTTATATTACTAAGATGGCACTTTCACATCATTTTTAAAGGACTGTATGATTGTTATAAAACTTTAACTCATTTGAAATCAGTGAGATTTATTTCAAAGTGTGTAGTTTAGTATCCCAAGAGCAGAATGGGTTGAAAGGTTCACATACAAGTCCCATGGCCTTTTTAAAAATATGATCATATACAGGGTTAGTCAAAATGAATAGGCCAATAAGAAAATTAATTTTAGACGAATGTATGTTTATTGTAACCAAACTACAGCTACGTAGCAACAGATAAACTATCAAAGTTTTGTCTCACCTTCAGAGATGTTCGATATGGGCGCCCCGTGTGACACGGCAGATGTCCAAGCGATAGTCCAGTTCATTCCACATCCGTTGCAGCACATCCGACGTAATGGCATCGAATGCAGCAACGTCTGGGAAGGTGTTCGTTGAGGTCCTAACCCTAACCCTAACCCTAACCCTTGAAATTCTCGCTGGACCGTAATTACTGACATTGTTTTAGCAAATGTCATCACACAAAACGCCTTCTCTTTGCTTGATTCCGCCATTTTGAAAACAGCGACCCCTAGCGACCCCTAGCGGCATTAACGTACATGTGTGTTGCTCAAAAAAAACTTTGATAGTTTATCTGTCGCTACGTAGCTGTGGTTTGGTTACAGTAAACATACATTCGTCTAAAATTAATTTTCTTATTGGCCTATTCATTTTGACTAACCCTGTATGTTAACAGTGCTTCTTATTTTGTGGGTTTAATATTGAATAATTTCTTAAGACTAGACAATAATACCATAATTCTATAAATTTCAATTCAGGCATGAGTCCCATGGAGTGAAAATACATGTATGAAGGACTACAGGTACATTCACAGGTTGCTGTAATGTATAACAGGATGAAAATGGATATTAAGCTGTGAATTAGGTATTCTTAATAAAAATATATCTCTCAGGTTTTGTTTCTCCTAAGCCAATGATGGAATTAGTATTGTGAGAATATGGTACAGTAGTTTTCTAGTGTGTTCTCCTCATTAAAATTCAGCTGGCATTCCCTGTTCTCTGGCTTAACTGTGGTTTTTGCTGTGCTTTTGTTCCACGTTTGAATAGATCTTGTTGAAAGCCAAAGTGGAAGAGCAAACTTTTCAAAGACAACATGAATCACTAAGCAGTGAGACTATAACAAAGTGTACAGGCAACTCTGCTCACAAAATTATTCAGAGTTAACTATTTCATCATTTAAGGTACGTATGATAGAAGTTAACAACTGGTAAATATATAGCTAGAATAAATAGTTTATTCTAAAACTTGTTGAAAACTTAAAAACTGGCAAGTTGCATTTTGGAACAAACTGTGTTGCCACTTCATAAAGTTTGTAGTGACTAAAATCTCAGAATGTAATGTATTTTGGGGTATTTTTGCTATTCAGCTATTCATATAGGTTTAGAAGTTGTTGAAAAATTCAGTTATGAATATTTTCTAACCAAATTCATTAGACTGATGCCAGTTCATAAAAATGTCACTTTAATTATTCACTGCTTGCACATTTCAATTAACTGTGCTTGAAATGTATACGTGTCCGGTGGTTTAAAAACAGAGATAACTAAAATTACATACTTATCTACTTAATATTATCTACCTTAACTCCTTAATTCTAACCACATTATTTGACAATTGTGTTGAAATGTATGCATAGTTAAGTACTTGAGAATATGTACTGTATTATGTAGCAAAATGAGAAGATAAACATCTAAGGAAATGGAGTATGGTATACAATTTATTGGTGATTCCAAACTGAGCAATATGTTTTCCCCTCCTCTTTTAAGAATTATGACCAAGGAAGAATCTTACAGGGAAGAATTTAGCTATGACAGAATGCCAACTTTGGAGCGTGGGAAACAAGAAAATGGGAATTATGTTCCGGATGCTAAATCTAGTGACCTTCAGCTATCAAAAAGATTCCATCCGTGTTTTATTTATAGAGCATGGATCTATTCTTTGTTAATGGGGGTAAGTATGAATTGTTATAGTAGAAAAACTAGGACAGTCTTACAAGGATAAAGGCAAAGGAAAAACCTTATTATATCACAGTCAATTAGAAACATTTGAAATTAATTCTTATAATATTTGAGCTTTATAAAAGTTTGGGTTGAAATTCTTGTGGTGTCAGCACTGCAGCACTATATGTACTTCTTGGAAATATGACCTTCTGTATTCAGTGAGGCATAATCCCTGAAGTATGTGAATCAACCCATTAATTGGTTTTCTTGCTTGTATGTCTCATTGTCTATCTGTCATGCTGTACAAGTTCATATGCTTGACCACAGAGTCATCCAACTTGTGTTATCTAATGGAACCAAAATAAATATCCTAGTAAGGTTTTTGCCTCAATTCATAAGCAACTTGGGTACATCCCAAATAAACATTTTGGATTTCTTTCTTTTTTTTAGCCCTAGATTGTACATTTATGAACTGATTTGGGTCAAAGCTGATACTTTCAAATTTTGGCTTTTTAAAAATGTGAATTTGGTCCAGTTCAGAGAGAAAGTAGTATGAAACAAATTTTAAGATTGTAGGTGCTGCTAAACTTTTGTGCCCTTCAAATCACAATCAAAACCATCAATATTAAGGTCGATTATGTTACCTAAAAGTTCTAGTTGCATTATACAAGTAAATTTGTGTGTCCGAGATAACATAGCTCTCTCAAATTCTGTCATGTTTTTCTCATGGGTGTCTGAAAATTATGTAGAAACCTATATTTGAGAGAAATGGTGGTATAAAACAAAACAACTAAGAACTTTCCATTTGCTCTACCAATCTGTCACTACTGAAGAATAATGTAATCAAGGAAAAGTTGAAAAATGTCCAGATTCTTGGAAATTCATGTTATCTTTTGGAAGCAATTGAGGATCTCATTAGTAACATGCTTCTCTTGTATTTATCATTTAAAGGAATGCAGCCTAAGCAAACATAATAGAGGTTAGGACACTGACTCCACTGATTAGTAAAGTAGATAGTGGTATTCCTAGAGCTAAACCAGGATGCCAGAAGGTCTAATCCTGTGGGCCGCATGCAGCCTCTGAAGCCTTCCGAAGTACTCAGATCCTCCAAACGGGTGGTGGGGAGGTGGTCCACTAGGATGACTGCTAGAAATGTTTATTTATTTATCAAATCACGGTGGCAGAAAAAGCAACTTTTTGATACTCAAAATATTTTAAATCATAATTCAATAAAAGATCATGGCAAAGTTATCAAACATATTTATTTGAGATACATTGCACATTGGAAGCATTGTTTTATATAACGCTATTTACAACAAAACTCATGTAAATACAATTTCATCTTGTGTTAAAATACTGGGGTTTTGTTATGATAATCTATATAAGTATTTTTATTTTTTTAAAATCAGGTTGTTGTTCACCACTAAGCAGTCTATTATTACCCAGGACCATAACCCAAAATTACTCACTGTGCAGACCAAGTACCTTTTCAATTACAGAATTTATTTCTAGGAATAAAATGATACTAACACCACTAGACGCCATTTGCAAGTGTTTTGGGTGGGATGGAAATGCCATGGTTCCTGAAGAGGACTGGCACCTTTATCTTTGAGATTACAGAAAGTTCTGGAAGTGTAGATCTGAAGCTGGTTGATATTCTTGTAGCAATAAACCCCGTCATGATATTCTGGCAGAGTGTTGATAGTAGCTTGGATTCAACCCACTCAAAACCCATTCACTCTGTGGCAATGATTCCAGATCATGCTAGAACTGTATGAGCAGCAACTTTATATAAGCCTTAGCAGCTGACTGTTTAATTGATTTCTATTCAGTGTAGAAAAACGTGAATTAAGTTCACTTAATCACAAATTGAATATTTGTCTAGGTAAACAGCTAACAAACTAAAATGACATCTTTGTTATGTTTTTAGCTGCAGTCATTGTGCCCTTTTGTCAGTATTTGCCAAGGAAACCATGTGTCTGCCAAGGACTTCCCAATTTTATATTGTCACTTCTAATTTTTCATAAAACTGATAAAGGCTTTCTGATCTTGAGATTAGCTAGAGTCACAACAATTAGATGTATTCATTTTTGGTGAAACTGTCATCATGCTTTACGAAATTCCAAGGTCTGTAATGAATGTGGGCAAGTCAACTTTTTGATCCTGGTGTTCCCCCCCACTTCAAATCTCAATAGTTTAGCTATAAACCTGAAAGGGCAAGATTATACTCATTATGATCCTGGGTTTTTTATTAGGTAAAATGGAGAAAGATAAACACTACCAGTAGATAAATTTTATCAGTAGTAAAAATTATCAAAAAAGAATGTTATTTCTTTGAATTTTTGCAACTTTTCCTGATTTTTCCTAAAGCCTACTACAATCAGTTCCACAATCTTTTTAAAAAGATGTTGCACTTTGTCAGTATTCTCAAATGTGAAAGCCTAATTCTTGCTATTCTTTTGACATTTGTTTGACTATAGTCATTTTGATGAATATAAAGTGCCAGTCCACAGGTGTTATTTTTGGTCACTGGAGCTTCCACCATAGTTGCCATAAGATAGAGAAGTCACAGCTGAGGTTGCTGATGTGTCCCCCCCCCCCCCCCGCCTCTGGGTACCTTATTAGGCAGAAATGCTTGTAAAAAGTTTGGAATGCACCACTGTGTAACCACAAGATGTAGACACACTGTCTGTCTTTGGTTAAATGTCTCAGTGTGCATGCCAAGAAAGAAGCTTGTTTTCTTTAGTTAGAAAAAACCCCCAGTTGTTCAACATGTGTATGTGTGCCCTTTAAAAAGTTGTAGTTAGCTGTAAGAAAAATATTTCACTGTATTTTTCATAAAGTTGTGATAAAAGCAAGGACATCATAAAATACAATTCCTTCTATGAAAATGCAGTCCCAAAGGGAAGAAAATATTTGTTTTTCATAAATTTTCTCACTTTCTCAATGTAATTGGCGATACCTATTTTTCCTTTGTTACATACAAATGCTTTCCAAGTTGTTGTTCTGATCCGTTGTTGCCAACTCCTTGCATAATAATTGTCAGGACTTGGAAGCAATGGCATTTTTTCAAACTTCTGTTTTTGATTTCATTATCATCAGTACAGAAAACCCATGATGAAAAGGCCCAATATGTTCTTTAAAAAATCCTGCCAACTTTCACAATTGTTGAGTTGTATAAGTTTTGCCAATATTTTACCTTCTGTGAAATTTCTATGTTTCAGATTTGCATACTTGTTACTTCAGGATTTTCACTTTATTTGGGAAATGTATTTCCATCTGAAATGGATTACTTACGCTGTGCAGCAGGTTCAGTAAGCATTATGTTTTATTCCTGTGAAATAGTTTATATTCATTATGTTTCAAAGGTATTCTTTGAAATTACTTTGGTCATAATTGAACTCTCAACATGTAAATGCTTTCTTTGTGTAATTTTTGCTGTTGATTTTCCATCTATCCATCTGTCGTCTATCTATCTAGTATAATTGGTGGCATTTTCCTAATTAAAGTTGAAGAAGGCTTTAGCTAGAGTGAAATTTAACTTACCACCTTATCACATTTGGGGCTTTTGGGCCCTTGCTAAACTCTAGGGACAGGGCCTGCTGAGCGCATCACATGACCCTGGTTTTGCTCCATCCCATTGATCCTCAGAGTTGTGAGACGCTACTTCACCAAGGTAAGTAGTGGTTCGGGTAGCTCCAATGGAGTTACCTGCATTTCTCTCTCCTTTCTCTCATCTGATGTGGGAAAGGGCAACACCGCAATGCATGTTGCCACCCTTTTAATCATCTGATGGGGACAGGGTGCCAATGCGCCTTGTCCCATTCCCTCCTTGTGATGGGGGAAGGAGGGAGTGCATGCAAGGCAAGCTCTTCTCTTGCGCCTGCCGTTCTTGCTGCCGATTGCTGGCAAAATGGAACAAGATTGGGGGGGGGGGGGTCCTTAATGTCATCCAGGCAGTAAGCCATCTTAGCAGATAGAAGATGTGGATCCAGAATCACATAATCTAAACTAAATTAATGGCTGTAAGTGGAAATTGCCATTGAGTTCTCTTTCCATTGCTTAGGGCCAAGAGTGATAGTGGAGAAGTGAGAGCTACCACATGTATTCTAGATCCTTGCCTTTCCTGACTGATTAAACAGGCCAGAGGGGGACTGGAAGAGTGGGTGAAGGTAGAGGCCAGTGCCTCCTTAGAACAAGGAGCTTGCCTAAAGGCAGCGGTTATGAGACCTATATTTAAAAAGCCATCTCTGAACCCCTCTATAATTGACAACTATTGGCCTCCCTTTTCTTAGCAAGGTCTTGGAGTGTGTGGTGGCCTTATAATTCCAGGGATTTCTCGATGAAACAGATTATTTAGAACTATTTCAACTGGGTTTCAGGCCTGGCTATGGAACAGAGACTTCTTTGGTCGCCTTGATGGATTACCACTGCAGAAATCTAGACAGGAGGAGTTTGTCACTGTTGGGTCTCCTGGATCTCTCAGCATCTTTCGATACCATTGACCATGGTATCCTTCTGGGTCATCTCACTAGTATGGGACTGGGAGGCACTGTCTTATAGTGGCTCTGGTCCTTCCTGGAAGGCCTGGCTATTCATCTGTGGGGTTCCTCAGGGTTCCATTTTGTTCCCCATTCTGTTTACATATACATGAAACCACTGGGAGAGGTCATTCAGAGTTTTGGAGTACAGTGCCATCTGTATGCAGATGACACCAAACTTTACTACTCCTTTTCATCTAATGTGAAGAAAGCTGTCCTGACCCTAAACCAGTGACTGTCATTAGTAATGGACTGGATGTGGGTAAACAGGTTGAAACTTAATCCAGACAAAACAGAGGTACTCTTGATCAGTCATAAGGCAGACCAGGGAATAGGGATCCAAACTCTGCTGTCCTGGACTGAGCACTGAAACTGGAAGCCCAGGTATCTGTGGTGGCTGGGAGGGCCTTTGCACCCGTTCCTTGATCTGGCCATGGTGGTACATGCCTTAGTTACATCCTGTTTGGATGACTGTAACACACTTTATGTGGGGTTGCCTCTGAAGAGTGCTCGGAAACTTCAGCTAGTCCAAAGAACTGCAGCCAGGTTGCTAACTGGGGTTGGCTACAGGGATCAGACAAGCCACATGTTGCAGAAGCTCCACCAGCTGCCAGTCTGTTACCAGGCACAATTCAAAGTGCTAGTTATAATCTTTAATGCCCTGTACCAGGCATCCTCAAACTGTGGCTCTCCGGCTGTTTGGGCCTCCAACTCCCAGAAGCCCTAACGAGCTTGTTCAATTGTCAGGAATTCTGGGAATTAAAGGCCCAAATGGTTTGAGGATGTCTGCCCTAGACGGTTTAGGTCCAGGCTATTTGCCTGACCACATCTCTTTGTACGAACCTTCCTGGTCCCTGAGATCTTCAGAAGAGGCCCTTCTCTCAGTCCCACCTCCATCTCAAGATCAGTTGATGGGAACAAGAGAGTGGGCCTTCTCTGTGGCTACTCCACAACTCTGGAACTCCCAGAATGGAGCCCTCCCTGCCATCCTTTAGGCGGTAGGCTAAAACCTTTTTATTCAGACAGGCTTTTAAAGATGAAGGTGTCTAAGATCTAGTCAGGGGATGCTGTGGTTTTTAACTGTTTTGATGGATTTTAGCTATTTTTTAAAATGCTACTTGTGTTTAATTCTATTTTAATATTTGCATTTTTGTATATTTTAAATTGTATATTAATGCTTTTATATCAAGCGGCTTTGAGTCCACTTTGGGGAGATAAAGTGGGGTATAAATAAATATAATAAATAAAATTAAATATTGACGAGAAAAGATTTACAGGTTCAGAAAGGGATCCAAGGTGCCCAGTTTACCTTGGAATAGTAGTAGAGAAGCATGCTGGAGGCATTTCCTGTTAGTCTTATATGTTCTACCTGGGAATGGAGACAGAATCAAAGAAACATGCTGGCTCCTGCTTGAAAAGAAAGCAAGGAAAGTACCAAGAGGGGACCAGTTGGGGTCACCTAAAGAACACAAGAGATGTTACTTTATTCTGAATCGAATAATGCAGTTGTCTGTCAGAAAGCCCTTCGCACAACATGTTGGCTATGTCAAGGCATCAGGTTTTATTCTTACAGTGGCATGTTATCTTTCTGCTGTTCATAGCAAAACATATTACTTTAAAATATAACGTTTAGGTTCATGAAGTTTCTTTTCTTCATTGCTGAACTTCTAAATTCCCATCCCACATTAATTTCACCAGTTTTATTTTTGTCCATAATCTATACAGTTAGACATTAGTAAAATCATTTGTTTTAGTGAGTGTTGTGCTCAATTTTGTACTGAGCTCTGACCCCTCTGGGGTTTTAAAAACTCAATTCTTAAATTTTTCTAGAAATATTTTTCATATACTATATACCCTGGAAACTACACAAACAATTGTATAATTTGCTGTGTGCCATATGCTTAGGAAATGGTTATACTCCTGAAATTTTAGTTTTTTAGGGGTTGTCTTAATTTTCTTTTATTCTTTCTCAGTGTATTCCCTCAGCAGCTGTGAGTTTTGCCATAGCCAGAAACAAAATCAATGTGGTAAGTACTTTAGGTTGAAATATTTAAATTATCAATATTTTATTGGTTTCATTAAAATAAAACATTATCATTGTTATTATTTACAGATACCTAATTTTCAGATTCTGTTTGTATCCACATTTGCGGTTACAACAACATGCCTAGTTTGGTTTGGATGTAAACTTGTCCTGAATCCTACAGCAATAAATGTGAGTTGAAAACAACACAAATGTTTAGTTTGCTATTTAATACTGCATTGCTTCTTTATGAAGTATACATAGAATCATTAAACAAGTTAATCAGGTTTAATCAGTCATTGCTGGAGCAATTTCATAATGGATTATTTTTGTTTTTGATATGGATAAGTATAATTTGTGCCTTTATGATATATCAAGACAAAATTATTTGCACAGCTCTCGGTGTGTTAATGGACCTTAAAATAGTTGTAATTAACTTTTCACATTGAGTTGAATTAGTCCTAAGTATGACTAACTTGTTCTGGGTCTGGGGGCACATCTTGACTAACCGTTTACCAGAAAAGGCACCCGAATCAGCTTCCTGGCAGCCAAACTACGTATGGAGCTGATCCGAGGTAAAGTGAGCAAGGCCACATTAATGCCGTATTGACCTGTATTAACCAAAGCTACAGATTGCTCTGAATTCTACCCCAGTGTTCAGAGCAGCTCACCACTTGGGTCCATGAAAACATTTGGGCTGGTTTCAAGATGGAACCAGCTGCAATTGTTTACTGTGTTTCTTGGGCTTGGGTGACCCAGGAACACTGGATGACACTTACAATCCCCTACTTTTTTCCTCATTGCAGTGATCTCTAGGTGTGACATAGGTTCTGCTGGTCACTCAATGTCTACAGCTGGGGTAATCAGGGAAGGGAGTAGGAAGAAGAGAGGTGAATAGGATTCAGTGCCAATCATTGGTCGGGACTACCTCCTGCCTCTGCAGCAGCAAGGGTTGCGTGGTTGTGTAATCCATCCCGGGGCTGATCCAGCATGTGCTACACCAATCATTCTCAAAATAATGGGTCAATGTAGATTTACCTTATGTCAAAGTTACCGCTTAGCAATCTATCTCCAGATTGGTTCACATATATGTGAAGATCATTTTATTTTTCCGAACCCATCATTTATTTATTTCTTTGCTTGTTTAATAGTCTGTCTTTCTCATGGTATGGTTTCAAGAAGGATCCTTTTCATTGTGTTTGAGGAGTCTTTAGAGCCCAACGATACTTAATCTTCCAAAGTAGAGCCTTCAAACATAGCACATTAAATATAATTTCAACATATAGAATGAAATTTCTCTCTCCGTGTGTGCAATTTCAGTGTTTTAAACTGAAGACCCTTTAAACTAATCATTTTTAAATTAATAGTTATGTACTTGGTCATGTCACTTCTGTTTGTTTCAGTACTATATTTAGTTTATTTTTTTAATATTCAGAGTGAAACGGATGAAAAATACTACTTTCACTACTCAAGATTCAGAGCTTGGGAAATATATATTTTGGACTACAACTCTCACAGCCTGGGTTAATAACTTTTCTGTGCTGTGTTAATAATTCTTCCTCCATAGGCCATTTGTGTAAATATGTGACTGACTTAAATGTAGTTGATTTAAAAATATATCTTCAACATTATAGCCATAAAAAAAGGAACAGAGTTCCATATTGAAAACTAGTGGGTAAAACTCTGGCCAAGGGGAGGTGCTTTTGTTCCATTTTTCCATTCTGAGGAGCCTGTTGTCCATAGACTTTCTCAGATCATTGCTGGCATGTCTGAATGGGATGCCCTTTTACCTCTCTTCCGAGGATATACCTATTGATCTACTCGTATTACCTGCCTTCAAATTGCTAGGTAGGCAGAAACTAGGGCCGACAGCTGGGAGCTCACCCCGACTTCCGGCTTAGAACTGCAAACCTTCCGGTCAGCAGATTTCTTGCAGCTAGTGGTTTTATATTTCATTTTATATAGCGGTTTTATATTCCAAGTATATATTTCATTTACCGATGGCATGAAATTTTATGAGGTTCCCATTATAGGAGATATAATTGCAAACAGAGCGTTTGGATTCACTTCATAAAGCAATGTGACATTGGACTGTTTGATATGCTTTTGTAAATAAATCTGTATTAATCTAATTTATTTCATAAATTTTATGCACAGATAAATTTCAACTTGATTCTCCTTATTCTGTTGGAAATTTTCATGGCAACAACTGTAATAATTTCAGCTAGGTCAAATGAGGAATGCTGCAGGAGAAAGAAAGTAAGTTTTCATTTCTTTAATATTTTAAATATAAAATACCCCAGGGATTGATTCAGCATGTATCACGTATCCCTTCTTCTACATAACCTCTGCTTTTTTCATATGGAATTAGGACCTCAGACAGACTTTATCCACTTTAATTGCACATATGAGAGTAACCCGTTCAAAGACTTTATGCTGCTAAATATTGCTCCTTGTGACACATTTCAGTCAGGGAATCATTAATTATATACTTAGTTTTTTCCATTTTTATTTCTGTATTTCATTTATATGTATATTACATTTCTGCATACAGACAAATGGCTAATATCAAGCTATATCAAGATCCTCTTTATTTCTTTTCAAATATAATTTCATCTTCAAAAATAACATTAATATTCATGTTATCATATTCTATAAATCTACTATATAACTTGTATATATATAATCTCATATAAAGTCAATGTTTATATGTATTAGGGATGTGCAATTTTTTGTTAGTCTTCACAAGTCAGATCAAATTTTTAAAATTCGTATTTACGAGGTGATATCCGACACATGGGTGTCATCTGCATCAAAAACTTAAGAATCGAAACTTACTCAATACTTTCACTTTAATTTTGTAAACCTTGGAAGCCTCCCTAAGTCAGTTTCATTTTCAGCGCAAGGAAACAAAGCAAAGCCAAAAAGGTTGCATTTCCTCTTTAAATTAATAGCTTCTTGCCATTAGGAGAGGTAAGCAGCGAGAAGAAAGCAGAGTTCGCTGGGAAAGAGACCGAGAAAGCACAGAATTCTGGGAAATGTAGTTTGGGAAGGCAAGGAGCCCTATGGCAGAGAATTCCTGTTCTAAACTACATTTTCCAGAATCTGGATGAAACATGGTACACATACTCTTCATGTTCCAACTTAAAATAATTGAGAAGTTTGAACTAAAATCTCACCCTTTTGGGGAAAAGTGAAGGAACAAAGTGGATTGGCTGTAGCTAGGCAAATTGACCCTTTGTGAAGTAACTGGAAAAGAAAGGGTAATGGGTGCTGCTAGGTTACATGAGTATAAGAGAAAGGAAGGGAGGGAGGGAAGGAAGGAAGGAAGGAATGGAAGGAACGGAAGGAGGGAGGGAGGGAGAAAGAAGAAAAAGAAAGAAAAAAGATGGGAGGGAGGGAGGGGGTGAAAGAAAAAGGAGGAAAGGAAGAAAGAGAATGGAAGGGAAGAGAAGAAAGAAAGGTAAAAGGAAGTGAGAAAATATAAAAAGAAGGGAACAGGAAAGAAAGAAGAGGGAGGAAGATGTATCAGCAAAAGCAAGGGAAGAAGGAAGGAAGGAAAGAAAGAAAAGAAAAGAAAAAAAGAGGAAGAAAGTGTTTGAGGGATATGGAGGAAGGAGGGAAAGAGCCATAAAGAAAATGCATAACAGACAACTGTGTGTGTGTGTGTCGTCTGTGTGTGTGTGTGTGTGTGTGTGTGTGTGTGTGTGTGTATATATATATATATATATATATATATATATATGCATGCTAGTAAGGAAATGTAAATTTTATCTTTATAGTTTAAATATGGAGTATTGTTTGTACTTTGTGCTAAAAAATTCTCTTGCATAAACACAAATGAAATAGTGTCACCTCCAGTTTGTGCTGAAATGACCACAAAGAAACTAAAATGTTCATAGTGCTGCTAGTGTGAAATGAATTTTCCTTTAGTCTTGTAGGATGTTAGGGCTGCAAACATCAGATCATTTACTTTATCAAACCCAAGGTACATTCCCATTCATATGTGAGAAGTCTCTTTTGAAAGTGGAAAGGCTTTTTCTGATTTAACAAATATTTTGCATGAATAAAAAAGCAGTTAGCAGCATGCTTCTGTTAGAACAAATTGTTTTGTTGCACAATGTTGCAAGATGTAGTCTTGCTCAAAGCTTACTAGTACAACGCGTTACACAATCTCATATGCAAAGTCTTACACAATGTTACAAGGTACCCTCTTGCTCCAGCTTCTTGAAATTAAGTCTCCCACTAGTTCTTGGGCAACATTTTGGAGAAGATTGCCATCACCAGAATTTCATTCAGCAGTGTACCTCTGGATATAGCCACCTAGCAATGCATAGAAAAGGCTATGTGTTTCAGAATGAAGGGGTGACATTAAAAGCACTTTTTGGTATCTATCTATCTATCTATCTATACACACACACACACACATACATACATACATACATACTAGCCATCCCCTGCCATGCGTTGCTATGGCCCAGTCTGTGTATATGTATTTTGTGTGTGTATATGTGTGTGTATATGTATATATGTGTGGTTGCATATGTGTGTGTGTGTGTGTGTGTGTGTGTGGGTTTGTGCATGCGTTGTAATGTAATTTATGTTTTTTGGCTTTTTTAGTCCCTTCTGCTGTATTTTTCAGTGTTTTTGTGAGTGATGGTCACTCGTTGGCCTGATAGGGGTATTGTGTCCAAATTTAGTGTCAGTTCATCCAGTGGTTTTTGAGTTATGCTTTGATTGTGTATTGTATATTGTATTTTTGTTGTAAGCTGTCCTGAGTCCCTTTTGGGAGAGGGGGTGGGTTACAAATAATAATAATAATAATAATAATAATAATAATAATAATAATAATATAACAACAACAACAACAACAACAATACTCACTTCTTGTTGTCTCACCCCCATTCTTAACTAGGAGTTGTTAGCAGATCAGATGTTTGTAATTTGGGGACTGCCTGTACAATATGTGTGTGTATGCATAGATGATGATAAGTAATGCACATTTTAGTACTATATAAGATGAAGGGGTTTGATCACACAAAGAATATATACTACATATGTTCTATAAGTTTATATGTGCACATCCCCATTTCTGAATGCAGTCACAGAAATATAGTTATTTCCATCCAAAGTGAGCTTCTATGGACCAAATACTAATGGCTGGCATGACATTACTTTTATTATTTTTTTCCTTGTCCTTTTAGACATCTATGTATGATAGTACCAGCACATTGAACAATATCAGCTTTCCAACACGTATCTTAAAATCCTATTCGGTAAGAAATCTTTGATTCATTAGTTACTGTAAATCTACTATGATTTGGTTATTATATCTAACTGCCAAATACATTTACTATTTTTAAAAAAGGTAATTGAAGTGATTATTGGAATTTCTTCTGTGTTTGGCGGAATAATCGCTTTGAATATGGATGTGCTAGTTTCCGGCCCATATCTTTCAGTAACTTTCTTTTGGATCTTAGTGGCGGTAAGTATTGTGTGACCAAACATCTTTTTTATAGAATAGTACACTCATTTCAATTTAATATCTCCCCCTCTCTCTATATATAATCATTGAAATATACCTATGCAGCATTACAGCAGTGTTTCTCAAACTGTGGTCCTCGAGGTGTTTTGGACTTCAGCTCCCAGAAATCCCAACCAGCTTACCAGCTGATAGGAATTGTGGGAGCTGAAGTCCAAAACATCTGGAGGACCGCAGTTTGAGGAACTCTGCATTAGAGGATAAAGACTGGACATTTCCATAGTTGTTTACGTGTTATGTAGAAATATTATTATGTATTATCAATGATGTCTATATACCTTCCAGTAGCAGTGCTGTCTACAAATAGCATATTCTGGAGTCACTGTTGTATCCCCTTGTATAGGAATCTTATAAAAAGGACCCAGGTATATTTCCTACCTGCTCTATTGTATTCAAAACTCTGGATTTACAAAACAGTGTAATTTTATAAGAATAAAGCACTGTGGATAGAAGAGTAAAAAATCAAATGCATAACATTAGCATGTAAAATATATTAAATTGTAATGGTAAACACATTCCGTTGTACAAAGAAAAGCAAAGTTAATATCTCCACATAAAGGCTGTAGGAATATACATTTTCCTAGCAGTGGTATTTCTCATTAAAGAGATCAAGGCTTAATTTTCAAGGATACATGTATGAGAGTGTTTTTTAAATCAACTATATGTAAACCAAGAGTACAAAAGATAGATGAACTGTAGGCACTCTATGCAAAATTAGACTCTATTTTAGTTTCTGGATATGAATATTTTCTCAAAACGGGTTTTCTTCTAGTGTTTCCCCAGTGCCATTGCAAGCCATGTAGCTGCTGAGTATCCAAGTACATGCTTGGTAAGTATGTCATTAAGATGTTCTGTTCTTAATAACACTTGAGGGGCCTGACGTCATTGTGGTTTGTTTGTTTTTTGAGGTTATAATGAAAATAAGTCCTAGAGGTCTTAGTGAAGGCAAAATAATAACCAGGCTGATCTCTTAATTCCACTAAAATTGATAAGAAAAAAAGAGCGGGGAGAGAGGGAGATAATTTTACCACATATTCTAGGAAGGTGTCAAGGTGTCATAACGGAGCTGTCATTGTGTTTATATTGATCTCACAAGCCTCTTCCACACAGCTGAATAAAATCCCACATTATCTGCTTTGAACTGGAATATATGGCAGTGTGGACTCAGATAATCCAGTTCGAATCAAATATTGTGGATTATCTGCTTTGATATTCTGGGTTATATGGCTGTGTGGAAGAGTCCACAGTGATCACCAAAAGGGGTTTTTTTTTTTTTTTTTTTGCAGTTATTAATGCTTGGAAACCCTATTTAATCAGATATAATAGTGAGACAAATAGCACTGTATTCCTGCTTCAAAAATATTTCCGTTGTCATTTGTTTACTATGGGATTTATTTCTTCTGTTCCCTTCCATTGAGACTGTTACTGCCTATTGCAATATTACAAAGTTCATAAAAATATTCTCTATTGACATCTACTCACAAAAATATCAAATTTCATGTTTTTTTATTCTCATCTACTTTTTGTATAGAATTATATAGCTCCCTATTGATCTTTCAGTTTTATGTCATGATGCAGGTTGAAGTAGGGAAAGTGTTTAACAATGCAATTCCAGGGCCCTTTCACACAGCCCTATGACCAAGAATATCAAGGCAGAAAATCCCACAATTTTTTCTTTGAACTGGGTTATTTGAGTCCACACTGACTTATATTCCAGTTCAAAGCAGATAATATGGGATTTTATTCAGCTGTGTGGAAGTGGCCCCGGTTTGCTCAGAACTAAATCTGAGAATTTCAATTTAGATGACTCTGTTGTCAGATATGGCCCCACTCTTGGTATATCTAGATTTTACTCTCCTTTGTTTTTACTTTCTACAGGCTTCCCTTATAAAACCATTGTTCATATAGAATTCATTATGCATTATTTTAAAGTTAAGCTTCTAATCTGCTTGAATATTTAAAATGGCTTGGGTACTCTGAATATTTACCTAATAATATATACTTAATAATAAATTATTACTAATCTCAAAGCTAAAATATTCATCATTGTGAACTTCTAGTATGTCATATTTAGTGTTGTTTTCTCCATAGGGTAAGATTAAAGTTAGATTTGTTTCCCATGAATAATATATTTCAATCTTCATTTCCACAACTTTTTAAAGATTCAAAAATCTCTGTACCTTTTGTTGTTTAACAGTGTGCCTCTTGATCATCTAATGTATATCACAATTGTATCTTGAATTTAGGTAGAAGTACTGATTGCCATAAGCAGTGTTACATCACCATTATTATTCACAGCTTCAGGATATTTGTCCTTCAGTATAATGCGCACTGTTGACATCTTTAAAAACTACCCACCAACAGTTACAGTATGTACTATTTTTAAGTTATGGGGAAGAGGGGGTATGACCACAATGTTCAGTAAAATGCAATATCAAAGAGGCAAGGGGAAGGCTGGATTGTATGTATTTACGAAATAAGCAACTCGTTTTGGACTATATGTCTGTAGTTGAACACAAAATCTTTAAGAACATGATAGAAGCCAAGTCAAGGCTAGTTGAATGTGTATTGTATTTTGGCTGTGGTGCCACTTGTGCAACCTCTAATTCCTGGGATGTTTTAGAGATGTTTATCAGGTGATTGGAATCAATTTATGTTTCAACAGTGAACATATTTGCTTGCCAATTTGCATACTGCTAAAGACGTCAGTTTTCAGGAAAATATTTTTATTCACATTGTAAAACATGACAAGTTTCTTCTTGTAAGTTGTAAGTTGTGGCAATCAAATGTGCTAGTACTTCTGGTTACAGATGTCCAAAATAAATTTCTCAACCACTTAAAAAAAGGATTGAAAATGCAGTACATTTGTATCCTTTGTGTGTCTTGCACTACTGTTACTGTTTAGACCTATTTGTTGTTAATTGCTGTCAAGTTTACTTTGACTTATGGTGGCCCCATGAATGAGAGACCTGGGTGTACCTAAAATCCTTTTTACGTTTGCACTGATTTTCAGCAATCGTATGATGTGTTACTCCTACTTCTAATGCTGATGCTGTTAATTCAAGCTTTCCTGACTACTGGAACTGTTATACTGTGTGTAAGCTTCAAAGCAAAAATGCAGATGCGTGATTCATTGTGGGCTCTGCCACAAAAACAAGGGTACAAAACAGCAGAGGTAAATTACAATTTATGTTTCAAAATGTGTCCAAATATGATATATTTCTGATCATTTGTTTATGCATGTGTCCATTAAGGATGGGGAAAATCTAAAATGTTTTTAAAAATAGCTGAAAAGCATGTTTCTCAAGTGTTGAGAGACCTTGAGAAGAAGAATCTTTGACTGATGAGAATTTTTGCACTTCAGGACTTAATTCTGCACAAAATTCCCAGCTTTTATATGCACAGAAAACAATATTTCCCTGTTCAGAAAATGTTGCAGTTTTGTATTTACTGTTTTGTATTTATTTGCATTTTTTTGTGCAGAAACCGTTTTCAGCACAGCATGTGGCATTTTTTTTTTTTGCATGGAACATAACAAAGCAAAACTAAAGAAGCCACATACATGCAAATTTTGTGTAGAATAAATCTCAATCTGTGAACAGTCTGGAAAAAAAACAGAAAAGTGATGAATAAATGCTTTTAATGGTTCATAATCATTTAGGTCTCAATGCCATTGCTATAATTCTTTAAAATATGGGAGACACAATTCTTTATATTACAAGTAAATGTGATACTGAAAGATTATGGTAAAGTCTAAACCGTCCAGACCAAGGTACCTAACTGGAATCTGAAGGCAGCATACTTTCAAAGGAAAGTGGTAATACCTCAATATTGATCTCCATCTTGATTTGTATTGCCCTTTTCTTCTAAATTCATTTTTAAAGGGTGGGCTTCTCCATAGGAAACATCTCCCAGATTAATCTTTTATAGATCTGTTTGAATTTGGATCTACTACATCTGATATATATGTATAACCAGGAGTAATTGGCACTATATTCCATTGTATCCTTTTTTCTCTCTATCTCAGTGTTTCCCAACCTTTTTTTTGACCAGGGACAACTTTGACCAGGAACCACTCTCCAACATTCTTACCAAAAGGGTTACAAATCAGTTTTTGGTCAACTTTAGATTCAGTTTGGTTAATTGGGGTGCTGATTCGGAAAATTGCATTGGACAGACCATAGCAGCTCTAGTTTCTGATTCAGAACATATGCCATCCAGTCGCCACCATCTGCTTGCCCACAGAAAACCATATTTAATAATCTAGTGCTGACGTGGTAGTAATTTTTCATGGGTAGTAATCTTCTCCCCTCCCAACATCCCCTTTGCCTTGGCACTCTATAAGAAGGATTTGCGACACCAGTTGCTCTTGTTGCCACATGGTTTCGAGGCAACGGTGTAGTAATGGTAAGGCCGCAGACCATATTTTCGTTCTTGTGGACGACTGGTGGTTCACAGTCCACAGGTTGGGAACCATCTTCTCTCTCTATTTTGCCTCCTTCTAACAGTGTCTGAATTCATATTATAAATTATATCAGACAGGAACACTTTTCTATAAACTACTATCTACCCTGAGGCAGACATTTAAGTAATTATTCATGGATATTTAGATCAATGTATTGGAGTGGAAATACAGTAAGTTACATCAGGCAGGAACACCTTTATTTATTTATTTCGTACATTTGTACCCTGTCCTTCTCACTCCTGGAGGAGGATTTAGGGCGGCTTTGCAACAAGCACTCATTTGAGTGCTAACCACGGTCATAGACACATTTAAAACAGATCATTAAAATACATTAAATTAAAAACATTTGATTAAAATCATGCTAGTTTAAAAACCATTGCCATCCTTTTTGTAAACTATTATCACTCATGAAGTCAATGCATTGGAGTGAAATCCTTTGTAAATTAGATCTGTAAAGGTGTACATAAACTACCACCATCTTATCTAACATTGATGCATTTATCCATTTCTATTTTAGATTTCCAGTAACAGCATGAAAGATTTTGACAAAGAGAAGGCTTGGAAAGCTGTTGTAGTGCAGATGGCACAGTAATCTGGACTTGAGATTTGTGAACCAATAAAAGTTTTGCATGAGGAATGCTAATACCTGCTTTTGCAATTGCTGTGGACACAATCACAGAGCAATTTATTTCATAGCGGTTAGAAAATAACAGGATACCAGCAGTAAGCAACTGTATCTTTCTTTTAAAGTAATGCAGCTTGTTACCGTAGAATGTATATCAGATTGCAGATTAAAATTGTAATATTTTATTAGTAACTGTGCTATGGTTAATTAGAAATTAAGACCATCTGAACAGTAAAATATACATGGTTATATTGTAGGTCTTGATTATCTTTATACAGTAGACTCTCAGCTAACCAGCACTCATGGGGATTGGTAGATGCCGGATAAATGTAATTTTTGTGGTTTTTTTTAAGAGTTACTATTAAAAATAGGCCTAACTAATACTATATCCTATCCTATATCCTATCCTATCCTACCCTATACTATGAACTCTGTATCGACTAGATATTAATATTGAAATACAATAATTAAAAGCAAATAAAGACAAACTTAATATAATAGTTTTACTGTTTGAGTTAAAGGACAGTTATGGATATTTGAGTTAAAGGGCAGTTATGGATATGAGATAATGACTTGGTTTTTCATGTTTGATTGAGTGATATGTATATTAATTGCTCATATGTTTAGATTGTTTTATATTGTGATGAGATCTGTTTCATTGTTCATCTGTGTGGCATTAAAGTTTTGCCGGATTTGTATGCCGCCTTGAGTCCCATCAGAGGTCAAGAAAGGTGGGGTAGAAATGAAGTTAATTAATTAATTAATTAACTTTTGCCTATTGCTTGAGTTCTGGTTAACTGAGAGTCTACTGTATTAATATAATTGCCAGGATTCAGTTGATGCAATTGTTTAACCCTGATCCAGTTGAATAATAAAAAAAAAAACTTGTATGAGTGACTTCGGTGGTCTTTCCTGATACTGTGGGAATCCCGGAATATTTTAGGGTTGTTCATGTTTGTGGGCGCAGAATAAAGCACGTTTCAAAATGTCCAAACATTCACATGAGATGCAGCCTTTGTTTTTAATAGCTGTTTGCTCTAATTCTTTTTGCAAAAAATGTAATCAGTATAAGGTATGTGTGTTCAAAGATATTTCTGATTTAAAACAATTGCTACCTTGCTTTGACATCCCAGCCCATAGTAAATAAACATAAGCCCCGAAGGAATATGGTTTTATGTTTTTATTTGCAGGAACTGTCTACTCCCACTTCTTCCCAATAATGTTGTATTTATCTTCTCCTCCTCCATCTAGAACACATCAACATTTGGACATCTGAGCAAATACACTTACTGTTAATGGGTAGCCAAATGTTTTGGTTTTAGGAAGGTCTGTCCCACCTAGGGAATCTAGACTACTAAGACTGCTCTGGCTACAGAGTAATTGATTGCATATTTTCAACTTCATTTGTAAGATACTCTTCTATCTTGTAGGATGGCAGGTTATTTATGTAAATGATGAAGTTTCAGAAAACAGTTGTCGTGCAGTATCTTTCTGCTTAGACAGGAGAAAGACCACATTTCATTCAAGCACATTTTTTTCTCAATTTTCCAGTTTTTGAGTTCTTCAATGGCAAAATGCAATTGATTTGTTTGGATTTTTTTTTCATCTGGATTTGAATTTTTTTAAAAAATGTATGATCCATGTGGCTGAAAAATGGCTATGTTGTTTATAACACTGAAGGTTCCTGTGTTATAAAGTACCTAATGTGCATGTCTACTTCTTCATAGGTTTTTCTACAAAAAAATGACTGAGGGACTAAAATATCTGGGTGAGGGGTAAGCAGATTTGTATAGTTACAGTGTATGTATCATTACTGATGCTTTATGCCTTTCTTTTTATAGAAGATGTAAAGTTCTTAAGGATTCTTATTACTTTTATATAAAATAAAAGCTTTTTATCACAAAACAAGTTTGAGTGTTGATTGATGTTGATATACAAAATGAGCATTTTTTTCTGATAGGGTGTCTTGCAAGGAATCTGAACATTGTGTAACATGGGGGGAGTTGTCTTCTTGGAGGGATTGTCATCTATTGATGGAAGAGTGTTTCAGAGTCGAAGAACAGCCACACAAAGTTCTCTCCCGTTTCTATCAAACTTCCCTTTAAGGGGCTCAGACCACAAGAATGCCCCGCTCTGCATATCTTAAAGTTTTCACGGGGTTGTACAAAGAGACACAGGATGCTTCTATACATGCACATAATGCAGTTCTGACCAGCATAAAACAGGGGTGTTTTCAACCGTTTCTCTCTTTTAAATCAGTGACTTTGTATTAAAACCAATCAGATGACAACACTAAACAAGCTTGCTCTTGCCACAGCTCCCAGAATGCACAGGGTTACCTGCCCACAAAGGTCACAATGGTAGTTAGGGAGCATGGCTGGATAGGTCTTTGTTAGTGAAGGATTAAAGGAGGAGTTTAAAGTGCCACCAAGTAGAGGAGCTCTGTTGCTCACAGGAGGCTAAATCTGGTATTTGGAAGTAAAAGGTCAAGAATGCCAACACTGTCCAGGTGAGCTGTTCTAAAATTATCCATCCAACGTTTGACTTGTCCAGTTACAACACAAATACTTCATACTGGGGGCAGGTGATCAGGGGAAAAAGAAAGGAGGTGGACTTGGCAGACTTGAAGGAAGGAATGTGCAGTCTATTAGATGCTGTTGGACAACAACTCCAACCACCTAGCAGAATCATAGATTATGGAAGCTGCAATTTAGTAAATCTAGAAAGCTTCAGGTTTGCCATTCCTTCCTAACACAGACCTAGGGCATCCTTTAATATCATACAACGCTTACTTGGAAGATAAGAGGTTAATGAACAATTACTGTCAATGTACTTAAATATTTGAGTAAGGGACAAACATGGCTCCATTTTTGTTGCAATGACAGCAGAAATTAAAACCACATTAGAAATCTTTAGAGAATTGATGGGAAAGAATAAGGATAAATGTAAAGCCAGGGATGATTTAGGCAACAGATTTCTCAAATTATAACTGGCACTTGAAATTTCAAGGACAGGACTATTCCCAATACTGTACTATTTCAGTCACATTCTACTGAGTAGTTGAGAAATGTGGCATGCCTTCTGTTAACCAGGCATGATCAAATAGATAATCCAGTTACTTAAATGGAATTATCTTGAGCAGAACAAAATTTGAACCACATCATCCTTGGTCTTCCATCCTTCAACTCAGTTCTAACACCTAACTCATATGATGTAATAAAAATACATGTGCACATATCTGTAGGTGAATACATTCCAGGACCCTTCCACTCAGAAAAAGAAATCAGGGTATTAATAAACATAACAACATAAAATTCTAGATAAAAGCAAACACCATATTTTCACTATACTTGGGAAGGAAGCATACCATAAATTTTACTAGCAAACCTAGAGGGGCCCAAAAACACTTCTGCAAAGTTGGGTAAACAAAAAAGGTATCCTTGTGGAAGAACAAGCAGGTTTTAGACAAAACAGATTTACCATCATTAACTGTTTTATTCTGAATCACTTGATTGCTAAATACGCCTGTAAGAGGATACACTTATTTATTTATTTATTTATTTATTTACTTTGCTTCTATACCGGTGTTCTCAGCCCAGGGGCGACTCACAGCGGTGTACAACATGGGAAGAACAAATACAAAACACAGTATAAAAACAATTCTCGAACCATTATGCAAAAAACATTATACAAAAAGCATTATACAAAACATTGTCATTACTACGAAAACCATTCAGCGTCGTCTCATCGTCCAAACCACAATCCAATATCATTTTCCGTTATTCCATTCCTATAGTCATTACCAATCATTGCACTTCTTGTTCGAACGCCTTCTTGAACAACCAGGTTTTTAATTTTCTGCGGAATATCAACAGGGAAGGAGCCTGTCTGATGTCCACGGGAAGGGTGTTCCACAGCCGAGGGGCCACCACCGAGAAGGCCCTATCTCTCGTCCCCGCCAGCCGTGCTTGTGAAGCAGGCAGGATCGAGAGCAGGGCCTCCCCGGAAGATCTCAAAGTCCTGGTGGGCTCGTAGGTCGAGATGCGGTCGGATAGGTATCTTGGGCCGGAACCGTTTAAGGCTTTATAGGCCAACGCCAGCACCTTGAATTGGGCCCGGTAGCAAATGTATAAACAGCTGTTTGAGAGTAAGGTTTGGGGTAAATGGAGCTATGACAAACAAGCAGGATCAATACATATAAAGGGGTATGTATGTTGTTTTATTAACTTCTCTGCAGCATTGATACAATGAACAGAGAATTATTATGGAATAAGTTGTTTGCCCTTAAAATTGAACCTAGACTGCTGCTACTGATCAAAGCCTTATATATAAACAGCTGTTTGAGAGTAAGGTTTGGGGTAAATGGAGCTATGACAAACAAGCAGGATCAATACATATAAAGGGGTATGGCAAGGGTGCATTTTAGCACCAATATTATCTCTATATCAGTGATCTACTTGGAGTAATGAAGGACCCTGTAGTTCATATACCTAAAGTCCTAAACACATACTGTAACACTTTGTTAGATGCTGATGATATGACATTACTATCACATTTGTAAATTGGACTTTAAGTTGTTAAGAAGACCCAGCTCCTATTGCCAGGATAACTCTCTTATCATCAACAAATCAAAGTAAAAAAATAATGCTGTTTGGAAAAAGCCACCAGAGACACAGGTGGCAATTAGATGGTGAGGTAATAGAACAAGTAAACACCTTCCCTTATCTTGGAGTAACTTTCTCAGAGACTGGTTCTTGGATTTTTCATCATTAAAGGAGTGCACTCAGAGCAAAGGCTTACCTGAATTTAATACAAGCTAAAAACACATAGCCACCCAGGTACCCTAATCCCGATAATTAAAGTATATAAAGCTAAGATTACAACTATGCTTTTATATGCAGCAGAAGTATGGGGTTTAAAGTCCATCTCAGTAGAACAAGATCAATCTCAGCACTTAAGAAGCATACTGGGAGTAGATAAAAGAACCTCAGCTGTTGCAGTGAGAGCTGAACTGGAAATGCTAAAAATCCATGCTAAAAAACCCCACTTCTACAGGGAGGGAAATACTTTTAGAACATAAATAAATGAAAACATGGATATTAAATCCATATATAAGGTAGTGAGACTGTATTGAACATAATACCATGAGTGTTTTTCTCTGAAAAAGGAATCTATACAGTTTCTTAAATCCCTCTTTCAGTGTTGGTATCAGTACATTAAAAAGAACACACTCTTAAATAATAGCACCACTGCACTAGGAACCTGTTTTACTCATGTATATTTGGAAATGTTTTATCTGGCTGAATTTATACTAGTTCAAACTGCATTATATGGCAGTGTAGACCAAGCTGCTGTTTCACTTGTTTCTACTTTTACTTGGGATGAAGTCAGTTGAACACATAAAAGATACTGTAAAGTAAATATATCTAGGATCAGGTTTCACAGTAAAGTATTATTCAGTAGGAAAGATGCCTTCTGTCACTAGGAGAAGACAGCATATTCATCTTGCTGTAAAAATAACAAATCATACTTATTTTCACTGAATGAATTTCCCTAGTAGTTTTAGATAGAGAGCTATCAATTTGCACATGAATATGCAAAGGTTGTTTCTGCTGTGTGCCTTTGATTTAGTTTCCAATGTATGACAATGTTATAGGGTTTTCTAAGACTCATCTGGGCCCCTTCTACACTGCCCATATAATCCAGATTATCAAAGCAGATAATCCAGATCATCTGCTTTGAACTGGATTATATGAGTCTACACTGACAGATAACTCAGTTCTAAGCAGATATTCTGGATTTTATATGACAGTGTAGAAGGGGCCCCAGAGTCACCTAGTAGGTTTTAATGGAAGCAGATTGGAATCCTGGTTTCCAGTCATAGTCGAATGCTTAAACGACAACTAACTCAAGTATTGAAGGCTTCCTTCAGTGAAAAACACATAAAACACCCCTTTCTCTCCACAATTATCTTCCTTCCTCTCTCCCCACTCCCTTCCCCCTCCATCTTTTCAAAGACCAGTACCCGAAGAACTATAACAACCTCAATCTAAAGTTGCATTTTCATATTTAAATTGCATTTGAATGTCTTTTGGTAGATGCAGAGTTTCAGTTGTGTGATGTGCTTAATTTGCAGGATTACTGCAAAGCAGTGAAGCAACAATGACAGGATGAACCTGCTTCATGCAGAAAGAAAACCATTCCTCACGCCTATAAATGAAGAAACAAAGCACGAAGGAGACAATTGTCAGTGTTTGGAAGTCATGACACTTCTGCAGGGGGAGGAGAAGGGTTTAATATGACTGGAAAAAATATAATTTAGTATACAAGCAATAAATGGGTTACAAGAATTCTTACTCAGAAAGGGAATCAATGGAGGAGAAATGCTCCTGATAACTGTTGCTCCAAAAGGAAAATCTTCCAGTACAGTGGTTCTCAACCTGTGGGTCCCCAGATGTTTTGGCCTACAACTCCCAGAAATCCCAGTCAGTTTACCAACTGTTAGGATTTCTGGATGTTAAAGGCCAAAATATCTGGGGACTCACAAGTTGAGAACCACTGCTCTACTAGATTTCATGATCATGCTGCTTCATTAAGGAGACAATTCATAGGCACGTCTTAAACCATGATTTGACTTAGTTTCTATTGCCAGTTATCCAAATTGTTTGGAATCTGCAGTATTTTGGATGTCAGATTTTGGAATATCTGTATTTGCACATAAATATATTTACTTATTTTATGTATTTATTAGGATGGTGCAAAAAATTGTTTGTATTTTGTAAGATCTGTACAGATTAAGCAACATTAAGAGATGCGAAAAGTGCCCATACAAAAAAAAATCTAAGGAAAAAAAATCACCCATGACTTTTGTGACAGTTCAGTAAACTCCTTAAGTCAGTTTCATTTTCAGCATAAGCAGCAAACTGTACCAGTGGTGCGATGCCACACAGGTCATTCCTCTTTAAATTAAGGAGAGCCAGGTTGCCTGTTGCCAGTGGGAGGGCAAGCTAGCTGGGAAGAGGGACTGAGAATTCTGGGAAATGTAGTATGGAAAAGTGAAGACCCCTGTGACAGAGAATTCAAAAGGCCCCTTGTTAAACTACATTTCCCAGATTGCTGCTCATACCAGAAAGCCCCAATGAGGTAGGGGAGAGCTATTGTCCATTCATAGCAACAGCCAGAGTTCCAATAAATTATGAATCTGCAAAGAGGACTGATATTAAATCTGTTCTGGACTGGGAGGGAAATCCCTAAACTCAAGTTTTATGGCAATAGTTCTCAACCTGTGGGTCCCGAGATGTTTTGACCTTCCACTCCCAGAAATTTATTATTATTATTATTATTATTATTATTATTATTATTATTATTATTTACAGTTTTTATATTCCGCCCTTCTCACCCTGCAGGGGACTCAGTATACACATATATGGCAAACATTCAATGCCAGTTAGACAGACAACGAATACAGACAATACACAGAGGCTATTTAACTTTTTTCTGGCTGCCAGGGGAGCTGCTGCTTTCATCGTCCATCAGCGACACCATGAAGTTCTTCCGCATTCCACATCCCGGAGTTTTCTTTATGGCCTCATAAATTAGTTAATTTAGCCTCCCACACAAGGTGGTACCTTATTTTCCTACTTGACAGATGCAACTGTCTTTCGGGTTGCAAAGGTCGACAACAGGCTACGCAATGGCTGGACACCCACTCCAGCCCAGGCTGGCTTCGAACTCATGACCTTTTGGTCAGAGTGATCTTAATGCAGCTGACACTCAGCCAGCTGCGCCACAATCCCGGTAAACTGGCTGGGATTTCTGGGAGTTGTAGGCCAAACACTGTTCTATGGTATGTGTTGTGTGTATGTAAAGACATTCAAGGAGATAGTTGTGGCTTTTAAAAAAAGTTTTCTTAAAACTTTAAAATTTCCCCCCAAATCAGTAGGTATTCTAATCTTTCTGACACTTTGGGGGAATAATGACCTGGTTATCTTGTGTTATTGTAGACAAAATCAAGGAGATAGCTCTCGAAGTTGTAAAAAAATGTTTATTAAAAACTTCTAAAATTCCCCAAAGGATGAGTGAAATGTTCTGAAACTTGGGGAGGGGCAGTAACAGTGGTAACAGTGTTCTACAATTGTGGCAAGTTTCATTCCTATAGCTGTAACAACGAGGGAGAAAGGAACCCCTAAATTTTCCCCATGGGCACAATTACCTTTGGATTTTGGGTGATTTGGGATTTTGGAATTCTGGAAAAGACCACATCATCTGATATATGGTGCATCTTCGTGGTAAAATTAATGCAGCTTAAAACTGCTTTAACTGCTATGGTTCAATGCTATGGAATCATGGGAGTGGTAGTTTCCTGAAACACCAGCACTCTTTTTGTAGAGAACACTAAAGATCTTGTAAAATGACAACTTCCCCAGCATTGAACCACAGCAGTTAAAGTGATGTCAAATTGCATTAATTCTACAGTGTAGATGCACTGCTTGCTCAACATTCATTGACTAAGTATCACCTTGTTTGGGAGAAAGAAAACAGAACTCACTTCAACAAGAATGTTGCATTTGGACAAGCTTGGAGAGGTTGCGGCAATTTGCTTTTGCTGAGGCTACTGAGAAGGGCAACATTCAAAGCCAATCCTTACCTCTCCTCCACTACTTTTCCCCTTTCGAAGCCAGTAATTTCAGCAGTTGAAGTAAGCTGAGGATAGAAGGGAAAAGTAGGAAAACTGAGAGAGAAACTGGGATATTTTAAAAGCAGCTGAAAAAGTGGGACAGTAGAGGATTAACATACCAAATCAGGATATTTGGAAAGCATGCTGTAGGTTCTTCTTACATTAGGAGTCATTTTTGTAGATGAGCTGCCAAGTTCAAAAGCTAATACAGCATTAAGTCACAGAAAGAAAACATCATTTTGACTCTGGTTTGAATCACTGTGGTCTGTACTGTTCTTTGCTTGTTCTTTTTTTCTGACAGGGTTGGCAAAGGGTGAACGCCCTCCTCAAAAAATCCTGAAAATCACTGAGAACAATTGCCTTCCTGCAGTTCCATGTCACCAGGGACTATTTCCAGGTATGTCGCCAGAGTCTTTGTCGTACAACTTTGAGTATTTATTTGAAAAGCAACACAGCCCTTTGTATCCAGCTGCAGCTTGAAAATATTATAAGAAAAATCAACAAAGTAAACATTAATTTTGGCATCATATATAAGGGACAACATTTCTCTGCACCATTGTATATAATAGGACATGAGCACCCATGAATTTTGGTATCCATCGAAAGGTCCTGGAATCAAACCTCGATGGATACCAAGGGCCTACTGTATGACGATTTGGTTTAAATGAGCCTATCTATTAGTACTTGAAATGTATTCGGAAAATGGTATATGCTTTTGGGAGAAAATTGTCCAAGAAACTAAATTAAGGAAAAATAAAATGAGAGTCTGTTGATACACGGTAGTTTCCCAGAATCAAGCCTGAGGGAAACAAAATCAAGTGATGATTATTATTCATAGTGCTTGATGAAGTGTTCTGGGAGAATGTGAAATCCTGTGCTTTTTATGCATCACTTTCGTGACATTTAAGTGGTGCTAATAAAAGGTGTTGCCCATCTAACCTTATAAATCACATGGCTACTTTGTTTTCTATTGTTGTTGTTGCTGTTCATTCGTTCAGTCGTCTCCGACTCTTCGTGACCTCATGGACCAGCCCACGCCAGAGCTCCCTGTCGGCCGTTACCCCCCCCAGCTCCCTCAAGGTCAGTCCAGTCACTTCAAGGATGCCATCCATCCATCTTGCCCTTGGTCGGCCCCTCTTCCTTTTGCCTTCCACTTTCCCCAGCATAATTGTCTTCTCTAGGCTTTCCTGTCTCCTCATTATGTGGCCAAAGTACTTCAACTTTGTCTCTAGTATCTTTCCCTCCAGTGAGCAGTCGGGCTTTATTTCCTGGAGGATGGACTGGTTGGATCTTCTCGCAGTCCAAGGCACTCTCAGAACTTTCCTCCAACACCACAGCTCAAAAGCATCGATCTTCCTTCGCTCAGCCTTCCCTAAGGTCCAGCTCTCACATCCGTAGGTTACTACAGGGAATACCATGGCTTTGACTAGGCGGATATTTGTTGCCAGTCTGATGTCTCTACTCTTTACTATTTTATCGAGATTGGACATTGCTCTCCTCCCAAGAAGTAAGCGTCTTCTGATTTCCTGGCCACAGTCTGCATCTGCAGTAATCTTTGCACCTAGAAATACAAAGTCTGTCATGGCCTCCACGGTTTCTCCCTCTATTTTCCAGTTGTCAATCATTCTTGTTGCCATAATCTTGGTTTTTTTGACGTTTAGCTGCAACCCGGCTTTTGCGCTTTCTTCTTTCACCTTGATTAAAAGGCTCCTCAGCTCCTCCTCGCTTTCGGCCATCAGAGTGGTGTCATCTGCATATCTGAGGTTGTTAATGTTTCTTCCAGCAATTTTCACCCCAGCTTTGCATTCATCCAGACCCGCACATCGCATGATGTGTTCTGCATACAAGTTAAAAGGTTGGGTGAGAGGATGCAGCCTTGCCGTACGCCTTTCCCAATCTTGAACCAGTCTGTTGTTCTGTGGTCAGTTCTTACTGTTGCTACTTGGTCCTTGTACAGATTCCTCAGGAGAGAGACAAGGTGGCTTGGGATGCCCATCCCACCAAGAACTTGCCACAATTTATTATGATCCACACAGTCAAAGGCTTTAGAATAGTCAATGAAGCAGAAGTAGATGTTTTTCTGGAACTCCCTGCCTTTCTCCATTATCCAGCGGATATTGGCAATCTGGTCTCTCGTTCCTCTGCCTTTTCTAAACCCAGCTTGAACATCTGGCAACTCTCGCTCCATGTCTTGCTGGAGTCTTCCTTGCAGGATCTTGAGCATTACCTTACTGGCATGAGAAATAAGGGCCACTGTACGGAAGTTTGAGCTGTCTTTCGCATTGCTGGAGTCTTGCTTGCAGGATCTTGAGCATTACCTTACTGGCATGAGAAATAAGGGCCACTGTACGGAAGTTGGAGCAGTCTTTCGCATTTCCCTTTTTTGGTATGGGGATATAAGTTGATTTTTTCCAGTCTGATGGCCATTCTTGTGTTTTCCATATTTGCTGGCAAATGGCATGCATCACATTGACAGCATCATCTTTTAAGATTTTAAACAGTTCAGCTGGGATCCCGTCGTCTCCTGCTGCCTTGTTGTTAGCAATGCTTCTTAAGGCCCATTCAACCTCACTCCTCAGGATGTCTGGTTCTAATTCATTCACCACACCGTCAAAACTATCCTCAATATTATTATCCTTTCTATACAGATCTTCTGTATAGTCTCGCCACCTTCTCTTGATCTCTTCAGCTTCTGTTAGGTCCCTGCCATCTTTGTTTCTTATCATACCAATTTTTGCCTGAAATTTACCTCCAATGTTTCTAATTTTCTGGAAGAGGTCTCTTGTCCTTCCTATTCTGTTGTCTTCTTCCACTTCCATGCATTGCTTATTTAAAAATAGTTCCTTATCTCTTCTGGCTAACCTCTGGAATTGCGCATTTAACTGGACATATCTCCCCTTATCCCTGTTTCCTTTTGCTTTCCTCCTTTCTTGGGCTACTTCCAGTGTCTCAGCAGACAACCATTTTGCCTTCTTGGTTTTCTTTTTCTTTGGGACGTACTTTGTTGCTGCCTCCTGAACAATGTCTCGGACTTCTGTCCATAGTTCTTCTGGGACTCTGTTTACTAAATCTAGTCCTTCAAATTTGTTCTTCACTTCCACTGTATATTCGCTAGGAATGTTAGTGAGATCATATCTAACTGGTCTGTGTATTTTCCCTGATCTCTTTAGTTTTCTATTAGTATTAAATAATGTCTGGAATCCTACATTGGTGAGACATTTATGAAAATGTCCTGACCTGACCTGCTCCAAACCTATTTTAATAGCTGGCAGCAGCTGTGACCAATAGAGCTCTATATCCACCCGCCTCTTTGTAGTGATATGCAGAATTTACAATCATGGCAATTGTGTCACAATTGTGAATACAGTAAATACAGTGCAATTATGGGTTTGTAAAGCTAGGTAATGTGTTCATAACTGTAATACAGGTTGACAGCCAATGTTTCTGAGGGCCCTTCTATGCATGCATTAAAACCTGAGAGGAAGCGGGTTAAAGGGTGTGTGTGTGTGATTAAACAACATTTAGGTAAAGTGTGGGCAGGCCCGTAGCCAGGATTTCGTTTCGGGGGGGGGGGGACTGAATTTTTTTCAGGGGGGGGTTGGGGGGGCTGAGTTTCGGGGGGGGCTGAGTCTGAGTGAAAGAGGGTCTAGCCTAGCAAACCTTTTGAATCATTACCCCAATACCCCCATGCATATGGGATATATTGAGTATGGTGATCAGATCATGATATGAATAAACATAACAGTTTAAATAATGCACCAGTAAGGCCTTTTCGTGAACCACCATGAGAATTTCGGGGGGGGGGGGCTGAATCCCCTCAAGCACCCCCCCCCCCCCCCCCGGCTACATGCCTGAGTGTGGGAGAAACCAGGAGGAATCACAGGGAAGTACAAGTGGAAAGCAAATACAACTCTCTCAAATTCTGTCTTTTACACTTTGCAGTGTTAAACAGAGCTTGAATTAAGAATTCGGGGAAAACGGAGACCCATGGGAAGTTTTTTTAATTTTTATTTTAAAAAATTACTCCATTATTTGCTGGATCTCATATGTGCATAGGCGCATCTCTGGAGTGATTTTTTTTTTTTTAAAAAACAAATTCCACCAGATGTCCTCTTGGGGGGGGGGGGGTGGAGGGAAAGGAAAGGAAAAAGAAAAAAATTGGGATAATAGATTTGTTATTGGTTAGTTGCATTTTTACAAATGTCTAATATGTCACAAGGAGAAAACAAAAAGGATGGGGGTTGTTGTGGTATGGGAATTTCATTTAGGTACCAAATGAATTCATTGTTACAACTAAATCTTTATCTCTATTTATTTATTTAACAAATATTTCATAAAATATTGAAGATTCTAACAATTTTAATTTTAACTCCATTGGTTGTATCTACTTGTGTTTTCCACTGGTCTTCATATATTCTTTTCCAGTTCTTCTTCAATGAAAATTGATCTTAATTTTTCATAACACGTTGTTTCACATTAAATATTCCTTTTAATTATTATTATTATTATTATTATTATTAACTGTGAAGAAAATTCTACAATTTTCATTTAAATTGTTAGTAGGTTAGTATTTATATCATTTTATCATTATCATGCTTTCTTTCTTTTTATATTACATTAAATTTAGATAATTCCATATAACCACATCTAATGAGTTTTTAATAGCTCATCTCAATCCCATTAGTTAATGTTGTTTCACAAAATTCCTTAAATTTTGGATGGGTGCTTAGTACAAAATACAAGTATATAAATATATACAATATTAATATTAATAATATTTTCCATCCACAACTTTCTATTTCTCTAATATTGGAGCGCAATTTATTTTATTAAATCTGGCCACTTAAAAAACACTTTTTGGGAAAGTTAAAAAAATTATATATATATATATCTATACACACACACACATATATACATACATACATACACATACATACATACATAAAAACATGCAATCTTTAAAATTAAACAGTCAAAATACAAGTATTTCCCCCCTATCCCACCACCTCCTCATTTTCCCCTGTAAACCTCTACCCTTGACTTCTCATTACATAATACAAAGGTACAGGAATACTATTAAATATTTATACCTCATATTAGAGAGTTTACCATCTTATACCCAATCATCTGTCTAAGGTCCTCAAAGAGTATTCATTTTGTTTTCTTCATCATCCTGAATCTCATTTTATATCATTTCCCTTCCTTCATTCTTCCCCACTTAGTTTAGTTAATATAATTTCACAAATTTTCCTAATTTTTGGGTGGGCGCTTAGTACAAAATACATGCATATACAGTATTAATAGTATTAATGTTTTCCATCTACAACTCTTGGGTTCAAAAACACTTCTGATTTAACCATAATCACTCAGTATAATGATATTCTTATAATCCATTAAAAAAAACTTAGCTCCTGAAGACCAGATCTCTCATACTTCTCTTTCTCATGTTTTTTTCCCCACTAGCTCATTCAACATTTGCCTCCAATAACTTGCTCAGTTGTTTCTCCACCTATAGTTCCTGTTTTTGATGTTCTGCAATCTCATCCCACATCTTTCTCAGATTTTGGACATTTTTATAGACACCATTCCACCTGAGTGAGGACTTTAGTAGAACTGATTGTTGTTTTAACCGTATATTATTATCTTGGGTATAGATCTTTTGATTGGGCATCATAAAGCTTTGATATCTTACCAGTTTATTTCTTCTAGCCTTACTGAATGATTCTTAAAATCATTTTGTGTGTGTGTGTGTGTGGGGGGGACACCCCTTGGATAAAAGATATGGGATACCATTTCATATCTTTTAAGGAAATTAAGTAAAATAGCTAATGTATTTCACCTTGCATGGTCTATGAGCAAACTTCTAGTGGGTAAGAAGCTAGCAGTCTGAGACTTTGGGTTTTTTTTTAATAGTAAGGCCAACATTTCAGGGAAATAAAACTTACAGTCCACACTAATCCAATAATCCAGGGGCATATATTTACATTGTAGGAAGGGTAGTTTTCTGTCCTTGTATAGAACGATAGCTGATTCGCTGTTGTGGTGTCACATTTCGGCACAGTTGTTTCACCTTTTCTGAATAGCACTGGCCCCTTCCCTGGACTCTCCTCTAGGTCTGCTTAGATGGAATGTAGACCATCTCTCCATTGGCAACATTCCAAGACAAGAAGTACTCAATAAAGACTCATTCCATGAGGGCATATACTTAACAGGAAAGGAGATACTGGGAACATTTTTTCTTTAGCCAGGATGATCACCTTGTTGGTCGGTACTATTTTATGGATAACTTTCTTGAGAGAGTCAATCCTCCACATTCACTGAGGTTAGGGGTACAGGCCACGTGTGAGAGTGGGAAAATGCAAGTTAAGGACCCTCTCTTTTTTATCTGAGAGAAAACATCTCTAGGAATATCTACATCCTCCAGTATGACTCCAAATTAAACTTCCAGCAGAAGTTGACCATAGAGTTGCATTGGAGAACTTAGCAATTCCTAAAAAAACCTTACTAATCAAATTTGCAAATAATGAAATCCATAAAAATTGAACCTGTAAATGTGAATGGTCAATTGTAACACGACGTTTGTGTATTTCTGCAAAGTTTAGCTGATGTTAAAGAGTCACTCCACTGAAATTAGTGAGACTTAATTTAATTGTGACTAACAGAAACCTTAATGATTTTTGTGAGTCTTCTCCCAATATAAATAAACCTGGATCTAAGTCAAGCTGAAATTCAGTTGCAAGTGGCCTCACAATACCAATTGGTTGCAAAATGCCGGATGATAAGAGAGTTAGAAGCAAAAATATGCAAAGGAGTACATAAATAGCCGCCACACAAGCAAGCAAATCCCAAATTGCTCCTGAAGACCAGATCTTTCAAACTTCTCTTTCTCGAGGTTTTGTTGATCCAAGCAAAATATTAATGATCTTTCTTCTTGCTTAGGTTGTAGATGCCTGTGACATACATGAACAGAAGTGCAAAATATGGTTGATATTCAATTGCTAACCATTTATGTATTATCCCTGTTTTATTTTACAGTTACTGTAACCTAACATTATTCCTTATATTTTTAGAGCTAACCCCGAGACCTGTAGATGAGTTACCTCCTCCCCCGAAAATAGATAAATACAAGCTTGCAAGATTTTTAACCGACAAGGCCATCAGGGTACATGCGATTCTCCTCCTTCTTCTTCTCCTTCTCCTTCTCCTCCTTCTCCTTCTCCTCCTCCTTCTTCTTGATTGCACTTTTAACTGCCATATATGACTTTAAAAATGTTTAACAAAAAAAAAAGATAAACACGAAGCTACTAATGCTGAAATAAGAAGAATGGGACCTATGTGTAGTAGGGTATGTGTGTGCATGTGCATGTGCATGTATTGTGGGAGAGAGTAGACATTCTATTAAATTGAACTGGCCCTGGAATATGACATTGATTATGTGATTTTAATTGTTGTTTTAATGTTATGTTTTAATTGGTTGGTTTAAATGTTTTTGTTTATTCAGTGATGTATGTATAAATGTGGCATTGAATTGTTTCCTTTGTAAGGCTGCCTTGAGTCCCCTTTGGGGTTGAGAAAGGTGGGATACAAGCATGGCAAATAAATAAATAAATAAATAAATAAATAAATAAATAAATAAACATTTCTCCAGTGGTTGTGGCATCACCTTGCTTTGGAGGCCAGATTAAAGTAGATGTTGGCCTCATTTATTTGCCAAGTTAAATCCTGGCAGCTCATCCAAGTGCCTGAGGACCAGTGACTGAGGCTTATGTTTTTAATGGTTTTTGTATGGTTTATATATTATGTGCTAAATGTTTTTAAACTTTATTTTATGTTTGTTGTGGCATTGAATTGCTGCCAACTTGTAAGCTGCCTTGAGTTGCCTTCGGGCTGAGAAAGGCGGCATATAAATATGGCAAATAAATAAATAATAAATTTTGATTTTTGCCTTCTTCTGTGTTTTGTTTTATTCTACCCAATTATATGGATTAATTTGAAATGATTTTAGAATTGGTTTAAGTTGCTTTTTTGCCTATACCCTGAGGTTATAAGATAGGATTGATATACTAGATAGGTAGATAGGGAACTTTCTTCTCTTGACTTAAATTGCCTTCCTGAAGCAGTTATTAGCTTCACTGGGAAAGCGTTTCTGTCACGTGCCAGCCAAACAGGATTCAGAGGGTGGTGGGAGCCATTCATATAAGGAAGACCAAGTAGCATTTGGGGGTTTAGGATATTGAGCAAACAATTAAGAGCCATTCGCTTTCCAAAAGCAAATAATTTTTAATTATTTAATTATTTAATTTTTAATTATTTAATTATTTAATTTAATCATTTAATTTTATTATTTAATTAAAATATTTATTTAATAATTTATAATTTTTAATAATAATAATATTTTTTTTTCAGTTCATAGGAGCTGAAAACTGCTATAATTGCTTTTCTATCAAGACACACAGATATCTATATTTTTGTGTCCTTGAGAGATGTGGCTGTTAGGGATTGTCATGATGAATGGCTGCTGGACCTGTATGTATGTAAGACAAACACTGGCTACAAAGTAAAGATTTTTTTTTTGCACCAGTACTTTGATCTTGCAATGCATTTGGTTTGTTTTCATTTAGGACAAAAGAATTTTCACTATCTGTGGGCCTTACCCAGTAATCCGCACCGCTTTAAGGAAGAGAGGATGGGTGGAAAGAAAATATACCCATAGAAGTGACACTCAGGACCGTAAAGATGAAGGCAATGAAACAGAGCGTGACACTGTTGGCAGAGTTGGTAAGAAGAGCCCTTGAAGTGGGGTAACATTTTATGTCTCCTTTTCTTGCTTTCCCTTTACAACAGTGGTCCTCAACCTGTGGGTCCCCAGGTGTTTTGGCCGACAACTCCCAGAAATCCCAGCTGTTAGGATTTCTGGGAGTTGAAGGCCAAAATATCTGGGGACCCAGAGGTCGAGAACCACTGCTTTACAAGCTCTCCTTGACTCTAATTTTAAGACAAAAAAAGTAGATGTGTAGACTGAGTTAGCAGCCTGTAATGGCTATGCTTGGCTGTCACAAAAGTTCTGTTAAATCTGAAAGACATTTACTTGCTTTTTGCACATTTTTTCTTTCCCCTAATAGTGTAAGAATGATCTGTCACCTTTCGGTGAGTTTCTCTTTGCTGTTACTTTAGCTACTGATATTGTGATGTCATAGAAGCCTCATATACATTCTGTCTTCTATGGAGGGGTCCTCCACAGAATGCTAACAGAGCTGCCTTAATAAAGAATATTTTCACTAAACTAGAAAAGAGCCTCATAAATGACAGGGTCTCTATACCATTAGAAGAAAGAAAGGATTTCCTCTATTTACCCAATTAATTGGTTATTGGTGTCTATCAGACATGAGTTCTGACTGCAGGCATTTCTCCACTTCTTAATATGCAATAGTCTCTAGTTCTACCTAAAACACACCCTTTAGATTGGCAAACTTCTTTTTTCATCCCACCGGGAAAAAAACCCTCATAGTGGTTATTCAAAGCTAGGAGAAAGCTGTCTTCTCACTTAAAGGTTTTGCTTAAACTTCTGCACTAGGACAAAAAGAAAAAAAAATGCTGTGAGAGTCATGAGGTTATTATTCCAGGGAGAATTGCAGTATATTGCAGTATACAAAGAAGGAGTACAAAAAGACTGTTTGCAAGTACCAGAAGCCAAAAAGTCTAATAAAATATATACTTATTGTATTATGAGTATTTCTTCTCATTCAATTCTAGCATCTCTCCAGTCCAAGCATAGTACCAGTATATTACTTATGCTACACCACATTGTGCTCTGACAAAAATGGCACAGGACATTTTTGTTGGTGGTCCAAATGCCTTCTGTACTTGGTTCCAAAAAAATACCACAAAGGTAAAATCAGTAGATTTGTTGGGACTTATGAAGCAAGTGAATGAAATTGAGGGTTTACAACTGAAGAGGTAACAAAGTCATAGACGCTTACATTGTAGGGTCTATTTAATTTTATTTATTTTGGGTATTTTTACCCTGCCCTTCTCAAGCCCTTTAGGTGGGACTCAGGGCGGCTTCCAGCCGGCACATATTTGGTGCCTACAATTAAACACAATAAAATACACAAAAACTAATAATTATAAATCATTAAAACATTCAGTGAATACAATAAAATCTACTAGAAAAAGAAGCCAGCCTGGTGGCCGTCATCTCTCCGAGTTCTGTAATTAGTGATTCCATTCAGCTTATCATAATCCGTTTCCATAGCATCTTGTCATAATTGTCTTTGTCAGTCTGCCAGATTACCCAAAGGCCTGGTCCCATATCCATGTTTTTAATTCCCTTCTGAAAGAGAGGAGGGATGACAATGATCTAATTTCCCCGGGGACTGAATTCCACGGGCGGGGGGGGGGGCACCACTGAGAAGGCCCTGTCCCTCGTCCCCACCAGTCTCATTTGTGACAAGGGCGGGGTTGAGAGTAGGGCCTCTCCAGAAGATCTTAAATTCTTAGGCGGGACGTAGAAGGAGATACGTTCGGACAGGTACGCTGGGCTGGAGCTGTATAGAGTTTTATAGCACTTTGAATTGTTCTCGGAAATGGATTGGCAGCCAGTGGACCTGACATAGCAGAGGGTCTAGTCTTGTATGGATGTTTGCAATGGCATGTGATCCTGGAGGAATTAAAATGACCAGACTTGGTGTGTGAGGGTTGTCACCTTGCTAATAATGTGACTGAATTCTGATAGGAAACTTCAGTGGTTTAGGCGTGGACAGGGGTTCAAATTTAGTGATACCTGACTATTGTTTTTGATGCCCTTCAGGGACAGATATGTAATTTTTTTGGCACTTTCAGATAATTATGTCTCTACATAGGCCTGTAAATGCATCAGTATCAATTGAATCTTGTGGTGTTATTATACACACAGCTGTATTTTCAGTTCACTTTGCTAATTCCCATAATTTGAGCTGATTTAAAGCAATATATTGATTCAAGTTTTGTTCTTTTGCACATATTTTTTTAAAGAAAGCAAAACTACATTGCGGGAAGAGGATAGCCGTTTTGCAAATCCAAATGACATCCATGATATAATGGTAAGGTTGCATAGGAAATGGTTGTTTGATGTGTATTCTTATAGGTGAACAAGCTGTGTCTGGTATCATTTTAGGAATAAATCCAGCTCTCATAACATTTGTTTCAGTACCTTATTTCCTCTCATATACATTCAATAACATATGTCTAGAATATCACAGGTTTAAAGGAAAAAGTAGGGCATATTGACAACCCAGAACATGCCCCTAAGAACTTTTTCTGTAAATATTAAGTACATATATTTAAGTAGGGCAATTGTTGGACAGTAACTGATTCCCAAATATAATTGACAGTCTGAACGGCCAGAAATCTGGCAGGGAATGATATTCAAGGGCTCCATTTGGCTTAAACTTTTGTTATATATTGTAATCAACACTGCTTTCTTTCTGATTATTCAGTTTCTGTTACAGAATAAGAGTGCATCTACACTGTAAAATTAATGCACTTTGACACAATGTTTATTATAATGGTTCATGGGAGTTACAGTTTGGTGAGACACCAGCACTCCTTGACAGAGAAGGCGATAGACCTTGTAAAACTACAATTCCCATGATTCCATAAAACAGTGAAAATGCACCCTTCATCTCCAAGGCTTCAACAACCTACATTCGGTTTGGATCGCTGGAATTATTTCTTGACTGACTGGTTGTGAGAATTGCTTTTCCTTGATCACCTGCTGATTGAATTTTCTTATGCTATTAGTTCTTCCTTTTTTCTGCCGCCTTCAAGCTTAGGAAGTGTTGAAATTAATTAATTGTTTTCCATAACGACATCACCATCAAATGATCATCAACTTGCTATGTAGTTACTGAACAAGTAGGAATTCTCATAAAATGAAATGACGTCTTTTGCGTTGGCGTACATAATAGAAAATGAGCATCTAAAGGGCATTGGGTGATGCAGACAATATGTTCCAGGTGGAATTATAACATAGTATTTTTGGGCCAGTCTAGGTTGGTAAAAAATGAAGAAACCTCCTTTTATTGGACTATAAAAAAAGATGCAGTGGACTACAGTAACCTCCATTTTGATCAGATGCTGAACCATTATGCAAGAACTAGCTCCTTTACAACCAAAGTAAGTACTGTAAATAGTGGAGAGGATGACTTATTGGTGCATTGATATGCCAGCTTATCCAGTCATGTAAAGAAGACATAAAAATAAAGCTTGCACAACAATGAACTCATTTCCTCCCCAATCATTCAGTAGGTATAGTGATGTCTGACAAAAAGTAAATTTGGGGGAATTCCAAAAAAGAGGCCACAGAAGTGCTAGGTCTCAGACAGAGGTCTTTTCTTTCATCTGTTTATTGATCTATTAAACTGGTAGTTGAACCTGAAATGATCAACACACAAAATATTAATACAGTGCTATACTTTCCACCCATTTAAGAAGACCAGTTAGGAAAGTATCACCTTCAGGAGAAAATAGAATATTTGTGCTATTAACCTTAACTACTGTCACAATAATCTCAGCTCCATTTCATAAGTTTTGCTGCTCCACCAAATAACATTTTTAATGGAGTAAAATTCACCTTATTGGTCCCAGATAAGGACCACAACTTTAAATGCCAAGTTGTTGCCCTGGAAATAAAATATTTTGGATTTCCGGTGTTGTACATATGGTGATATATAAAAATACCTTGGTTTTTCTGGAGTCTTGGTTCATCAACCAAACCATTACAAAAATATATATAAAGGTCAGTTTTCATCACCATATACCAGCAAGTGTCAGATACGCAAATATCAGATTAAGAACATCCTTATAGAAGAACAACAAGAAGAATGTGATTGAATGAGATTAAGTCTATTATAAAATTCAGACATGAAAAAGTAGGATAAAAACTTGTTAACAAATTAATTGAGTTGGAGTTGTCAGGCGGAATAACTTTTGGGGCCCAGGATATAGTCTTAAGGGCATTCAGATGGACCTCCTTAGGCACTTGAAGAGAATAATCAATCTGAAGTGAAACTTAAAGTTAATTTTCCATAACATCCCATAATTTTGTGTTTTCACTTATGTATGTGTATTTTAAAACAGCAGACCACAGGTAACACTTTTTGTTTTATTTATAGATTGGCCTTTGTTTGCACATGAGGAATTTGCCATGGTATGCGTCAGCCAACCCAAATTCTTTCTTCCCTCGATGTTATGGCATTTGCATGGAGGATGAGAGAGAAGATTTTATTGGTGAGTTCCTTGCCATATCTTCCTTTGTTTAAACCTTGGAAAGGTTTACAGTGGACCTTCTTTTCCCAACTGTAACATGGAAAGGATGGTGAAAGTAGGGAAGGTGGTTTTTTTTTGTAAGAAATACTGTGTGTTGTATTGACAAACACCATAAGGTAATTAGGTGCTATAGGCGATCCATTTTTTATTTTGCACATGCTCACATTTAAGAGTACAACATTTCCTTTTTGGAAAATGCTTGGCAACTTTTTGGATTAGGTATATGCTTGCGAGACACATGGAAGACACATGGAAGTCTATCGATAGGGGCATATATAACATTCCATCTCAATGAGCAAAACATCTCTAAACTAACCTGGGTAATCTTACAGTCGCTAGGATTAAAACTGGTGATAGTGATAGTGACAATAATAGAAATAATGTCTGACCTGTTTGGCTCACCAATTATGTCCCACATCCTAACTATCATCATAAATTAGCTCCTTGTGAGCCTTTCCAGATGACCAAAAAGTATCTGGAAGTCTCTAGTTTTGTTCCTGTACAAACCAGTTTTATTTTGGAGATCCACAAGCATGTTCTGTGACCGTTACAAGAACTTTTTCATTTCTACTTCCCAGGTCAAGATGCAGATTCAACCGAAATCAAACAATGGAACACAACAGCTTATATTAAAATAAAATTAGCCTAATGTTTAAGTTGTTGACATTGCCAAAGCAGAAGACTAAAATGAGACCTCCATACTTTCTTGACATCTAAAGACTATAGTATTTTACTAACTCTGGGGCTTCTGGCTCCCATGTCAATAGGTGGGAAAACTGCCCTGGATTTTACAGTAAGCCATAACGGAGCTATCCAAGGTGCTGAATCTATTCTGAAGCTATTTTTAATTCAAGTCTGGACTAAAACCCAAAGTGGCTTTACTATCTCACTGAATTGAAGTCATTGGTCTTCACTGCCTACTTGCCAGTTGATAGGTCAAATTCTCTTATTTCATTTCAGCAATCTAGATAACATTTCAGCACAGATTAATATCAGACTGGATGAAATTATGCATTGATGTCATTAAAAAAACATGGACTCTGTATGTCTTCAGCATCTCTTTTGGAGGGCTGGAAAATTATTATTATTATTATTATTATTATTATTATTTGCTTTATTTCTATACCGCATTTTTCAGCCCAGTCAGGTGACTCAATGCGGTTCCAGAACAGGTTTTCAAGCAGTGCAGAAGGGTTGCATTGTGGTAGGGAAGACATTCTTTTCACATTGCTGGCTGGGCTTTAGAGAGATCTTTAATTTAGACCATTACATAATTTGATTAAGGCCTCAAATATTCTATGGCATTTCTATTTTCTGGAACAAAACTCAGCTTGTGGTGAAAGAATGACTTGTGGACAGGAACGTCTTTAATTTTCTAACCAAAAAGAGAAAATGAAGTAACTAATTTTTTTCTACATCGTATTTTCTCCTCCATGGCTAACTCCACCTCAAAAAGGAAGATTGTTAACTAGAACAGTGACACATAGGGGAAAAATTAACTTGATACATTGTGTTCTTCATCTAAGGGAGCCTCCATAGCCATGCCTTTATATATACCCATTTCATGGTGCATTGGGCCTCAACTGGGACCAGAGCAGCTGTGGCCCATCCAGATGTGGTTCACTGCCAATTCGCTTCACTTTCAGCTGCATGGTTTATGATCAGAGATGACTAGAATGATAGTCCAAACTTTGAATAGTCACAAGTTCATAACAAGGTTTAAGTCTAAACCCTGTAGAATTTCTTTTAGAACTTTCCACATCTTGAATAACCAAGTGAGTAACAATAGGTTTAATACATCTACCCTGAATTAATGGGCTTATTGGTTTATTATTATTATTATTATTATTATTATTATTAATTAATTAATTATTAATAATGTTTATTTATATCCAAGTTTATCTCTCCTGAAGGAGACTCAATGTGGCTTAGATTAAAATTTAAGATAAACAAATATGCAAAAATTAAAATAGAAGTAAACATAACAGTATTAACATTCACAGTTAAAATGTATTAAAATATATTGAAAGCTAAAAACCACAGAACCCTCTGACCGATCTTGAGTTTACTAAATTCTTGTGCACTCACACACTATTCTAGTGCTTTGCCATTGAATATGTGCCTTTTCAAAGGAGTGGGGGGGGGGGGTTGGGACATAACAATAGTAGTACATTAGACTCTCGCTTATCCAACATAAATAGGCTGGCAGAATGTTGGATAAGTGAAAATGTTGGCTAATAAGGAGGGATTAAGGAAAAGCCTATTAAATGTCAAATTATGTTATGATTTTACAAATTAAGCACCAAAACATCATGTTTTACAACAAATCAACAGAAAAAGTAGTTCAATACATGCTAATTACTGTATTTACAAATTTAGCACCAAAACATCGTAATGTATTGAAACAGCTGTGGATCCGGGCAGGAGGCAGATTGCATTGAATAATACAGAACGTTGGATAAGCGAAGGTTGGATAAGCGAGACTCTACTGTAGTAGTAGTAGTAGTAGTAGTAGTAATGATGAGAATGATGATGATGGGGCATTTATTTCAGATGACTTCAGGAAAACAGCAGCATCCAGCATACTCAAATGGGTTGTCAATTTGCATGTTTCTGGGAACAAGTATGACTGGACATCTACTGAAAGCTCTGATAAAGAAGATGCAACTGAAGCTCAAGGTATATTTATGATTCATGAGTATTACACAAAGTTTAGCACAGCTGGTAAATCATCAGCAACTATGAACTGCTGTGAGTCACCTCTGGGCTGAGAACAGCGGTATAGAAGTAAAATAAATAAATAAATAATAAATATAAGATCTATCAACCAAAAGGTTGCAAGTTCAGAGCCCCAGGTTGGCTTGAGCGACTGACCGTCAACCCTGCTGACTGTTTACCTAAGCAGTTTGAAAGCAGTTTTAGCTGTAATTAGAGAAATTAGGTACTGCTAAAAGCGGTAGAGGTGTTTTACGATGCCATAAAGAAAAGATCAGAAAATGCTGGAATGAGGAAGTCCTGATGGCTCTTCGTCATAGAGGATGGAGTGACAGCACCCCCTGAGGACTCAAGCCCAACCGTCCATGGCATTGAAACAACACACTTCCTTCTGTTCTGTCTGTCTGTGTACTGTCTATACAAATGGCATTGAATGTTTGCCATGTATGTGTACTGTGATCTGCCCTGAGTCCCCTTCAGGGTGAGAAGGGCAGAATATAAATAAAGCGTTGTTGTTGTTGTATTATTATTATTATTATTATTATTATTATTATTATTATTTGTAAGTATATCCATCTATGTGTGGCTCAATTTTGGAAATAATCTACAAATACAATTCAGGAGGGGGTCAGGCTAAGAGAAGATGCTGATTCAATAGTCCTATGTTATTACCTCAGCTTTTATTTTGGAGCAAGATGTGGATTTTTCGATGTTGTTTAATTGCAACACCACCTTTCATTTCCATTAATGAGGAATTCTAGATATTGCAGTCCAGGAATATCTGTAGGACCATACTTTGCTTGCTCTCTCTCTTTTTTTTAAAGATTATAGCCACATAAAATAGTAAATGTTTCTTGGAGGGAATTATGAGTTCCAGTTATTTAAAATGTCATGCATTCCATTGACCAAAACAATTAGGGAAAGTATGGGAAGAAGTGGGAAGCTGATTGAATCAGTGTATTCCTTCCTCCCTGCCTACTTAAAACCTGTTTTGCCAGAGGAAAGGATGTAGAGGTCCGGACTGAGATTACTTCATAACTGGGGAGACTGACAATTTGCCCAAGGGAACTTTGCTTTAAAAATTAAAAATAATACATACATTAATTTTAATCAGGAGCCCCTGGTGGTGCAATGGGTTAAACCCTTGTGCCGGCAAGACTGAAGACCAACACGTTGCAGGTTCAAATCCGGGGAGAATGTGGATGAGCTCGCTCTGTCAGCTCCAGCTCCCGATGCGGGGTCATGAGAGAAGCCTCCCACAAGGATGGTAAAACATCAAAACATCCGGGCGTCCCCTGGGCAAAGTCCTTGCAGACAGCCAATTCTCTCACACCAGAAGCAACTTGCAGTTTCTCAAGTTGCTCCTGACACTCACACATTTTTTAAAATACTTTGTTAGTGTAAATGATCTTGGTTACCTTTTCAGAAAGGTAGTGTATGTTCTTTGATGTGATCTTGAAAGTGTAGAGTAACCGGGTTTTTTTTGTTTTTATGAATATCAAAGTGTTAGTTTAAGAGGAAAATACATTTTCAGTGGAAATACTATTCTCTACCTTAACTGGGATCAGTAGAAAAACTAAGTATGCAAAAGAACACCTTTCTAGAAATCTCTAAGTCCTTCGGCATGTCTCAATTGTCAGCCTCCATTCATATTTGACCATAGAGGTGCACTGGAAGATGCAGAGATTTCTATAGGAAGTGCTCAATATATTTCATGCAAAATTTCCACTGGGCTATTGTTGCATGTCAATATAAATATATAAATAAATTATTATTATTATTATTATTATTATTATTATTATTATTATTATTACTGTATGCCATGCTTCTGCTGCTGTGGAGGCATTCTGCTTATGGCTGGAGCAGCTGCTATTGTGTGATAGTTTTATTGCATAATGGCAACATATCTTTGTAAAACAGCAAAATCTTTTTGGAAAAAATATGCCCAAAAGATCAAAAAGGAGATGTGAATTTCTGAAAAAAAATTGAGAGTCCAAACGGTAAGCACAGTTTTGACACAGCCTTGGTTAACGTAACACAAGATATGCTACTGCTCAAAACTGTGGGGTGACATTAATATTTGTTTATCTGCAAACAGCTACCTGTATGCATTTTTTGAATTGTATTGCCTGTCCCTGTTGAGGGTTCCTCAACTAGTTCCCCAACTAGGACCCAATGGAAGGAATCTTGATTAGAGAAAAAAATTAATTGCAGAAAAACTGCTCATGACTGAAAAGTGTTTTGTGTTGGACTTCATAGATCCTGATGTAAAGAAAGTGAAGGAACTTCCTGGAGAAATGGTAGAAATGGCATGCAAAGTGTGTGAAACTTACCTTGGGCAAATTGAGCATAATGACATTGACACAGACATAGAAACTGTGCCAGTGCTGTCCGAAAACGAATGGAATCAATTGATAGAACAGTACTACACTCTCATTCAGTAAGTATCCACTTCTAATTCTGTTGATTGAATATTGAAATAATGAATCTTTCCATTGTGGTTGCTTTGTGTCTTCACGCTAGTTTTCATTTGTGGTGAACTTAAAACAAACCTATAATAGACTTTTATTGGTTTGTTCAGAGGGGAATTGCCATTGCCCAGTAAAATAAATAGATTAAACAAACAGTTTTGGTGGAGATCTCAAAAGGAAGAAGGATTAGCACTTTCTAATATTAAAAAAAAAATCTGAAGCATACAGATGGAGATTGATTATAGAAGTAATGATAAAAAGGAAGATATAGAATGGCAAAAAATGGATTTGGAAAAAGCGGAGGAAGAAATTTGGAATATGAGATTTTTTTTAGGGAAATTAGTAATCCAATGTTGAGCAATGTATTAGATATATGGAACCAATACAGGAGAGAGCTAATCTCGGATGGTTCAATAAAAACCCCAATTATAATGGAAAGAAAATTTCCAAAAAAAAAAATTAAAAATATAATGGATAAAAAATTAAGGGAAAAAAGTTAGATAAAATAGGAGATTGGATAAAGGTTGGAATGAAAAAGGAAAGGATTATGGAAGAATTTAGAGAAATAAAATTGTCATGGTTCCATTGTATACAACTAGAACAATGGTACAAACATTGAGTAATAAATCATAAAAATGGAAGCAAGCTTAATTAATTTGAACAAATAATGCAAAATGGAAGATATACAGAGGAACATAAAAATGGAAAGGAATAACTAGTAAAATATATAATTGAAATAAACAAAGGAAAATAAAGAACAAGACCCTCAAGGACACGGGAAGAAGATTTAGGGATGAAAATAAATTAAATTGAGTGGTCACAATTATGGAGATAAAGACATTTGAAAAAATTATCAATATGAGTTAAAGAAAATCTTGAGAAGTTGATTTGGACATGGTATCTAACACCAATAAGAATAGCAAATATAAACAAAACTATTGGAAAAAACTGCTGGAGAGGATGCAAAGAAGTGGGAACATATATACATATGTGGTGGCAGTGTAACTATTAGGCTTGAGTGATCAAGAAAAAATGGTTCTAATCTCATTTCGTATATAGGGGCGCTGGCGATTTGATTTTGAAATGATTTCTGATATTTTCTTGAAAAAAATATTGGAAATAGCAGAAATCCGAATCGCTTCGTTTGCTTCGTTAATAGAAGGTGCTCCTCCTTCCCTCCCTCCCTCCCTCCCTCCCTCCCTCCCTCCCTCCCTCCCTCCAGAACCATTAAGTAACTATGACAAAGTCAGAAAGCCTAAACAAACAGTTTTAAAATCCCTGTTAGTTTTAGATGGCAGTTTCCCTTCCCTATTAGTTTTTAAATCTCGCGGTTTCCCTTCCCTGGCTGGCGGTGAACAGCGCTGAAGAGGGACGAGGGACGTCCCCAGTGGCCTTCAGGAAGAGCTGTTCTTAGCCACACTCACCTTGTCCCTCTTCAGTGCAGTTCACCGCCAGCCAGGGAAGGAAAACCGCAAGATTTTAAAACTAACAGGGAAGGGAAACTGCGAGATTTTAAAACGTGGCCTTCAAGAAGGGAAACTGCGAGGCTTTACCAAAATTGCTTAATTGTTCTAAAAATCAAAATAACTGTGGGAGACATTTGAAAATAATTACAAACAATGGGTAAGTGGTTTAAATTCGCAATTACTCCTCCCACTATTTCTGCATGGCTCGAAATTGGTTCAAAAGGTAATTTTTTCTGAAATAATTCCGATTTAAGAAGATAACGACTGTACCTACCCATGCCTATTAAATATGTATGTAATTTTGGGGAAAGGCATTTTGAGAGATAGGCGATATAATGAACATCAAAATAGAAAGTATAGCTTCATTATCATTATATAATAATAAACAGCCGAAAAAAGAGGAAAAAGATGTGATATTAAACATTAACAATAGCAAGACTGCTTATAGCAAGCAATTGGAAAAGGGAAATAAATATACAAATAGAAGAGTGGTATAAGGAAGTATGGAAATTGGTAATAAATGATAAGCTGACATGTCAATTAAAAGTAAAAAGAGGGATATGGAAACAAAGTGATTTTGATGATGTCTGGGGAAAATTAATTGAAAGAGGATTCAAAAAGGAAGATGGAAAATTACCTCCACAAGAGGAAATGAACTTTTGGACAGATGATATATAGCAGTACAGTGGAAAGCAGTAGAACTCTAGTGGATATTTCTAAATACTCCACCAAACCACAGGATTCCACTAGTTAGCAGTGAAAGTGGGACTATATTGTTATAATTATATGGTGTGGATACATCTCAGTTCTTTTCCTTCTTGCAAAGCAAAAAATGGGTTTTTGGATGGGAAGAATGGGGAATGAAACTAGACTCTAGTGCTCGCAGTCTTCATGTGATTTCTTTTTCAATGCTGTCCTTTCTGTGTAGGAGGCCCACCCTAGAACAATTCCATAAGACGCTTGAAAAAAAATAGACTTATCACCTCTTATTTGTAATTGCAAGGAATGTTTATAAAATAAAATATGTTCTTGTTTGCAGTGAGGATGCCGTGATTTCTAATGCAGACAGTTATTTCTTACAATGTCAGAATATTTTGCGCAAAATTATGCTAGTCAACCCACAGGAAGATATGAATGGTCTCCACAACATCTGGATTATTAAACCTGGAGCAAAATCCCGTGGCAGAGGTAGGACTAATGCACTTTGGTAAATATTATTATTATGTGAGGAAGTTTGTCACTTGAAAATATATGTGACAAATACAAACTGTATGATTAAGAATGTAAGAAGAGATGGGGGTCAATTGCACATATGTTCTGACATTGACAATACAGTTGCTTAGGGAAATTTATTATTATTTCCGTCACTTTTACCCCGCCCTTCTCACCCCCTAGGGGGGACTCAGGGCAGCTTACAGAGAAAGGCACAATTCGATGCCTTGACACATATACATACATATATAAAAACAATTAAGCAATTACAATTTAAAATTAAATCATCAATACACAACAACACCATAAACACAGTAGTAGGCTAATCCTGAGCTCAGCGTTCGGAGTTCCGTAAATCCATTCCGTCTTGTCCAGCTCGTCATCAATCTTTCTTTAGCTGCCAGAATGTCCAAATGCCTGGTCCCACATCCAGGTCTTCAACCTCTTCCTAAATGAAAGAAGGGACGTTGCCGATCTAATCTCCCCGGGGAGTGAGTTCCACAGGTGGGGGGCCACCACCGAGAAGGCCCTGCTCCTCGTCCCCGCCAATCTCACTTGTGATAGAGGCGGGGTCGAGAGCAGGGCCTCCCCAGAGGATCTTAGGTTCCGAGGTGGGACGTAGAGGGAGATCCGTTCGGATAGATACACTGGGCCGGAACCGTTTAGGGTTTTGTAGGTCAAAACCAGCACTTTGAATTGTGCTCGGAATTGGATCGGCAGCCAGTGGAGCTGACACAACAGGGGGGTGGTGTGCTCCCTGTATGTCGCTCCAGTGAGCAATCTGGCTGCTTCTCGCTGGACTAGTTGTAGTTTCCGAGCAGTCTTCAAAGGCAACCCCACGTAGAGTGCGTTGCAGTAATCCAGCCGGGATGTGACAAGGACCACCGTGGCCAAGTCCGACTTCCCAAGATACGGGCGCAGCTGGCGCACAAGTTTTAGTTGTGCAAAAGCTCTCCCGGCCACCGCCGAGACCTGGGGTTCCAGGCTCAGCAATGAATCCAGGATCACTCCCAAGCTGCGAACCTGCGTCTTCAGGGGGAGTGTAACCCCATCTAACACAGGCTGTAACCCTATACCCTGTTCGGCCTTACGACTGACCAGTAGGACCTCTGTCTTGTCTGGATTCAATTTCAATTTGTTAGCTCTCATCCAGTCCGACACAGCAGCCAAGCACCGGTTCAAGGTCTGGGCAGCCTCCTTGGTGACAGGTGGGAAGGAGTGACAGATTTGGACATCATCTGCATAGAGATAACATCTTAGTCCGAAACTCCGAATGATCTCCCCCAGCGGCTTCATGTAGATGTTAAATAACATCGGGGACAGAATTGAACCCTGTGGGACTCCACACAACAACGGTTGTGGGGCCGAACAGGTGTCACCCAGTAACACCTTCTGGGATCGTCCCTCAAGGAAGGATCGGAGCCACCGCAGAGCAGTGCCTCCGAGCCCCATGTCCATGAGGCGCCCCAGAAGGATACCGTGATCGACGGTATCGAAGGCCGCTGAGAGGTCCAGCAGAGCTAACAGGGACACACTCCCCCTGTCAAGCTCCCTGCGAAGATCATCTACCAAGGCGACCAAGGCTGTCTCAGTTCCATGTCCCGGCCTAAAGCCAGACTGTGCCGGATCTAGATAATCAGTGTCTACCAGAAACCCCTGGAGTTGTGTTGCCACCACACGTTCCATGACCTTTCCCAAGTAGGGGAGATTGGAAACAGGCCGATAGTTGTCAAATTGAGTGGGATCCAGTGATGGTTTCTTCAACAGCGGTTTTATAACAGCTTGTTTTAAGCTCGCTGGAAATTTTCCTTCCTGTAAGGAGGCGTTAACCATCACCTTCACCCACTCTGCCAAACCCCCTCTGGCTTCTTTTATTAGCCAGGATGGGCAGGGGTCTAGGATGCATGTGGTGGGTCGCACCTCTCCAAGGATCCTGCCCACATCCTCAAGCTGAACCAATTGAAACGAATCCAACAAAGCTGGACAAGCAGATGTTCTCGTTACATCCCCAGAGACTGCCGTTAACATGACGTCAAAGCCTGACCGAATCCGCTCAATTTTATCCGTGAAGAATCGAGCAAATGCTTCACAGCGGGCCACCGAGTTATCCGAGGTCTCGCATTTTGGCGGATTTAACAGGCCCCTGACAACTCGGAAGAGCTCAGCCGGACGATTCTTCGCGGATGCAATATTGGCTGTAATAGATGTTTTTTGGGCTGCCGCTATTGCCACACCGTAGGACCTTAAAAAGGCATTCAGGTGTGTTTGGGCTGGATTGGTGGGGTTCTGGCGCCACACGCACTCTAGCCTCCTCTTCTTTCGCTTCATCGCTGCCAGCTCCTCAGTAAACCAAGAGGCTGGTTTAGCTCGGTTACTCGAGAGGGGACGTTCCGGAGCGATTGTGTCAATTGCCCTGGTCAACTCACTGTTCCAGCGAGAGACCAGAGCATCGACAGAGTCACCTGCCAAGGAGGTGGAAAAATCCCCAAGAGCTGTCAGAAAACCATTTGGATCCATAAGTCTCCTGGGGCGGACCATTCTAATGGGTCCACCACCCCTGCGGAGGTTAGAAGGCACAGTTAGTCTAAATCTGATCAGGTGGTGATCGGTCCATGGCAATGGAGCGATGGACAGCTCCTCCAATCCGTCACCCTCATCCCATCCCTGCGCAAAAACCAAATCCAACGTGTGCCCGGCACTATGGGTGGGACCAGATATTAGTTGGGACAGGCCCATGGTTGCCATGGCGGCCATGAAGTCCTGAGCCGCACCCGAGAGAGTGGCCTCGGCATGGACATTGAAATCTCCCAGGACCAAAAGCCGTTGGGAGCTCAAGGCCATGTCCGAGACCACTCCCGCTAGCTCAGGTAGGGAGACTGTAGTGCAGCGGGGTGGTCGGTACACTAGCAGAATCCCTATCCTGTCCCGGTCACCTATCCTAAAGCCGGCACATTCAAACGAAGATGTTTGTGGGATGGGACGCCTGATCAGAGGGATAAATTCCTTATAAACCACTGCGACTCCTCCTCCCTCCAAGCCTTGGTTGGTGCTGAACAGAGTAACCTGGTGGACAGAGTTGGGAAAGATTAACCCCTCCCCCTTCGTCCAGCCAGGTCTCTGTTATACAAGCCAAGTCAGCATGTTCTTCTTGAATTAGGTCTTTAATAATAGCAGTTTTTCCATTTACCGACCTGGCATTGAGCAGCACCACCTTTAACCTGGAGGGACCACCATCCTGGCACCTCAGTTGTATCTTATCAGGAGGATGTTTTGAAGCTGCCAATCTGTCTTTACTAATTTCGGGCCGAATTGTGGTCTCAATTTTTGGGATTGCCAATGTTCTGTTATAAATTTTTGGCCGGATTTGATTTTTCCTTGGGTTGTTAGCATCTTTGGAGGTTGCCAATCTATTATTATGAATTTTGGGCCGGAATAGACATTTTGCTCTCCCTTTCCCGTATCTCCCTCTGCCCGTCACCACCCCTATGGCGGCGCCCCCACCCATGGACCCACTCCCCCCGGGAACATACCCTCCACTTCCATCGATTGTTGTTCCATATGTAAGTGTTTGATGATAAGTGTAGTCACATATAATTGGGTCTTGATGTTCCCACCCCTTGAAATTACCTGCTCCTTCCAGTATATTAAAGAAGGTAAAGTGCACTAGTAACGATAGCAGCAGAGTTGGTGACAATGATAACATAGGAGTGAGGTATTTGTAAACAACAGTATCTAAATGTCAACCTGCTACAAATGAGGCTAAGTGCTAGTGCAGGCCTCGAAACAGTTGTTTAAAGTGCTGCTGTGACAATTCTTTAAAGTACTACTATAACAAGTTGTTAAAGTGCTACTATAACAGTTGTTTAAAGTGCTACTATAGCTACAGTTTAATCACCATGGGACGCTGTGGGACCAGTTAATAGCATGGGCCCTGGCAGAGTTGGAGGTAGATCTACTAAAGTGCTCTGGGTTAAAGTGACGTAGTGCTATCCAAGTTCGAATATTAGTGTCTTCTTATATGACACCACATCCCAATCAAAGGGGGTCAATTTAAACACAGGAGTCCGGCTTCCTGGACCCGTGAAGTACAAGCCGGCGTCCGCTGGCCAGATCTCCTAGAGTTCTCTTGACCGACCAAGGAGGGAAATGGCAGTTCCACGGAAGGATGTGGATTCATGCAATGAAGACAGTAGTTATTATAGTCACAATTTGCCAATGAGCTTCTCTAGTTAAAGGTTGATGTTTTTGCACAACACAACTCCACCAAAGGGGGCAGTGTAGAAAGTAGATGGTTATTCAATTAGCCACAGCATATAGAACACATAACATCTCACATACATCCATAACATCTCACATAAACCCTTCCACCAGGACATTGGCAGCCTCCTCCTCTTTCTCCTCAGTAATTGTAACAGAGGGGTTGTCTACATGAACAAAAAATGTGGACTCAGCTTGAATTCAGTTTTGGCTGTTTACATGACACACCTAGGCCCCATCTACACTGCCATATAAAATCCAGGTTATTTGCTTTAAACTGGGTTATATGGCAATGTAGACTCATATAATCCAGTTCAAAGCAGATAATGTGGATTATCTGCTTTGATAATCTGAATTATATGACTGTGTAGAAGGGGTCTGAGACATTCGGTGAATATCCTAGGGTTTTTTTGCCCTTAGCCCAGCTTTGTTTGCTATAGGCAAAGTTGGGATGGATACATGAGTTTGCAGAAATCTCTGGAGTAATTTAGGACTTTGTGCCTATCTGGTCAGCTGGATTAGGTCTGTTTCAACCCAATCCTCTGTCCAGATGGACACCACAACCATCACTTTTTACCTGTGCTGATCAGAACTGGGAAAGTTGATAGCTCATCTCTGTGCTGTCACTACAACTTCCCACTGGCCATGGAGGTCTCTTGCTGGTCACATGGGCAGCACATTCTGACATCAGCAGATACAATAGATTGCAGCCAGGACCTTCCTGGGATCTCCATCGCTGGAGGGGAATGGTGGCAAATGACATGGGGATAAGAAGACAGCCAGGTGGATGGGTTGGACAATTTGGATGCTGGTCACAGATTCGGCAGGTATGTGCTGGATCAGGGGCAGCTCTTGGGTAGAAATACCCTAGAGCAGCGACTCTCAAAGTGTGCTCCACAAAGCCCCTAGGGTAGCTTGTACTGGGAGGAAAGATTCAGAGCCCTTTGTGTCTTGATGTTTAGTGTTTAGTGGACTTGGATATTTTTTGCTTCCTTATTAGTTACTAATTAGTTCAACTACTGTTGTAAAAGATATCAAGCATGAATGACTGCAAAATGTATTCAAGTGTACAACTCATGAATATAAAGCCAGAATTTCCAACAATACTGGTTTAGTTTTATTTCCAAATGTAACTAATGACATTAATATTTTTTATTCTCATGTCCTATTTTTCAGAAATCATATGCAAGAACCGACTGGATGAAATATTAAAATTAGTTGAACCAACGGATCAGTTGCAATTGAAAGATCATAAATGGGTCGTCCAAAAGTACATTGAGATGCCGTTACTGATATATGAAACAAAGTTTGATATCAGACAATGGTTTCTTGTGACAGACTGGAACCCCTTGACGTTATGGATCTACAAAGAAAGTTATCTGAGATTTTCCACTCAGCGTTTTTCATTAGATAACCTGCATAGGTAACAAATACTATCTGTTATCTGCAATCACATATCTTCATCTTTGCAGTGACATAACAAAATAAATAATTAAGAATTTGTTGTCCTTTCGTGACTTACCACACCATGGTGTTTATAGTGGCCATTTCATTGCGCCACCGGGGGCTCCTATTAGGCAAGATGTCTTCAGTCCTGTTGAAGACAGACAGGTTGGAGGTTCAAATCTGGGGAGAGTGTGGATGAGCTCCCTCTGTCAGCTCCAGCTTCCCATGCAGGGACACGAGAGAAGCCTCCCACAAGGATGGTAAAACATCAAAACCTGGTCAACATCCTTGCGGATAGCCAATTTTCTCACACCAGAAGCGACTTGCAGTTTCTCAAGTCACTCCTGACACACACACACACAACCTTGTCTAATAGTTGGTCCTAGCTTGCACCCAACTTCTTATGCATATTCTAAGGTCAAACACTTTGAGTGGGGTGAATAACTGATTTTTAACTTATTTTTCACCTGTAACACCCATGAACTGAAGCCATCAAGTGATGAGAACTGTTGAATGCATTAAAGACAGCAACCTTGTTGTAAGTAACTATCAAAGCAAATAAGAGAAAAAAACTCAACATGTTATATAGCTACTGAGCACAATTCAAAGTGCTGGCTTTAGCCCTTAAGCCCTCAACAGTTCCGGCCCAGCATATCTGTCCAAGCGTATCTTCCTCTAAGAGCCATCACAGAGGTGAAAATCTTCTAGGGAGGCCCTGCTCTCTGTCCCATCTCTGTTGCAAGTGCGGTTGGTGGAGATGAGAGCCAGGGCCTTCTCAGCGGTGGCTTCTTGGCTCTGGATCTCTCTCCCCACTGAGATTAGATCAACTCCCTCCCTCCTGGCCTTCAGAAAAAAAACAGAGACATGGTTGTAGGAACAAGCATTTGGTTAGCAAAATAATGCAGTGCAAGAATAATTAGGAAATATGTGCAATGGCAATTCGAATGGCTACAATGTACAATTTTTGGATCATGTGATTTTAATATTTATACTAGGATGTTTTAATGCTTTGTTTAAATGTTTAAATGTTGTTTATGCCTCATGTTTAATGGTTTTAAAGATTTTAATTTATAGTTACATGTTTTGTTGCTTTACTTCAAACATCCGGAGCCATTATATCTATTTAGCTATAGTCTCATTGTGCTACTGTTGTTGGGCTGCAAATCCCAACAGCCCAAACTCACTGGGTCAATAGAGAGGAATGGGGAGCTGCAGTCCATGAGTGTCTGGAGGGCCACATGACCACCCATTCTGCTCTAGTCTGTGGATCTCATGCTAGCAGAAATATCATATATTCCTACAAGAGACTGAAAATGGCATCCTCAAATATCTAGCGGACAACAGTTGCATATCCCTGCTTTTAAAAGTCTGTCCACAATATTTAGATGTTCCATTTAGGTGCAACTCTTCAGTGCTCATCATAGGGAAGCATACCAGTTCACTCAACTGCATGGCACAGAAGGCCCTGAAAGGGTTTTTTTTAAAACTTTGCAGGGAAACTCTTCCAGTCACCAAAAGTGTCATAAAGTCATAAAAATGCAATACAAGGGCTGAGAAATGAAGACAGATGTCTATAGGCTTGTCAGGTGCAATGCTCTCAAATCCTTCTATTTCACAGTACAGGGAGATTTTGAAACATTTGTGGAATTTTCATGGGAATCATTCATGTTTTATCAGATATATAATTATATTCTCAAAAACTGTCAATAATATTCTTATATGCTACATAAGAGCTTTTAACCTGTGGATGTCAGCCTTCTTCTACAAAATCGATTAGCATGTTATATTCCAGTGCTACCTGTTTTCCAATGGTAACCCCTGCATCTCATGTTCACAGCTCCATTCATCTTTGCAATAATTCCATCCAGAAGAATTATAAGAACGCTTCAGACCGCAGTTCTCACTTGCCCTATCACAATATGTGGACTTGTGGCAAATTCCAAGACTACCTGCAAAAGAAAGGCCTTGGCCACATCTGGCGAAACGTGATCTACCCATCCATGAAAAGAATTTTAATCTACACCATGAAGATGGCTCAGGAACATGTTGAACCACGGAAGAGCAGTTTTGAACTCTATGGAGCAGATTTCATTCTTGGGCATGACTATAAACCATGGCTGATTGAAATCAATAGTAGTCCAACCATGTATCCTTCTACTCCAATTACATCTGATCTATGTACCAAGGTTCAAGAAGACACAATCAAGGTTGTTATTGACAGGAAGATTGACAGAAACTGTGACATTGGACATTTTGAACTTCTCTGGAAACAGGTAAGAAACATTTAATTTTGTTCTCTGATTGGGTGACATTCAAAATATTTACATATTCAGCTTCATTACAATTGTATGCCAAGTTTGAAATGGAATGTGGAACTAATAGTTATGCTTTATTATTTATTTAATAACTCCTCTTCCAAGGTGGTTTACAAATAGACATCTGGGAGTCCACCTTGGGTATCTTGGACAATGTAGACAAACCCATAATTTTGGCAGTGTGCTAGTATAGCCATATCAAGCTTTTGTACAAAAATAATGAAGACTCTTTTCAGGGGAAGACTTTCCAAGTGTTTTCTGGAAAAAAATTGATCCTAGAAAAATAATAAATTATACATTTAAGAGGGTACCCAGAAAAAAATATTTATTTGTTTGTTTACGGTATTTATACCCTGCCCTTCTCACCCTGAGGGGGTTTCCCATTTAATTATTTATCGTATCAGAAGTGAACTGAGGGTACAGTTATGTATTTTTTAAAATAAAAACAAAAGTTTAAAAACTTGACATTATACTAAATGTCCCTTGACTAGTAGCTGGCTACTTGGAGTGCCTCTGGTGTCGTGAGAAGGTCCTCCATTGTGCATGTGACAGGGCTCAGACTGCATTGTAATAGGTGGTCTGTGGTTTGCTCTTCTCCACACTCGCATGTTATGGACTCCACTTTGTGACTCCACTTCTTAAGGTTGGTTCTGCATCTCGTGGTGCCAGAGCACAGTCTGTTCAGCACCTTCCAAGTCATCCACTCTTCTGTGTGTCCAGGAGGGAGTTTCTCAACCGTTTTTTTTTTCATGTCAGGAGCGACTTGAGAAACTGCAAGTTGCTTCTGGTGTGAGAGAATAGGCCGTCTGCAAGGACGTTGCCCAGGGGACGCCCAGATGTTTTGATATTTTTACAGTCTTTGTGGGAGGCTTCTCTCATGTCCCCGTAAGAGGAGCTGGAGCTGATAGAGGGAGCTCATCCGCACTCTCCCTGGATTCGAACCTGCGACCTGCCGGTCTTCAGTCCTGCCGGCACAGGGGTTTAACCCACTAAGTCACTGGGAGCTTCTCAACCGGTATCACCCATGGATTGAAGTTCCGGGTTTTAGCCTGCCACTTTTGGACTCTTTCTTGCTGAGGTGTTCCTGTGAGTATCTCTGTAGATCTCAGAAAACTATTTCTTGATTAAAGGCATTGGTGTGCTGGCTGATATTTAAACAGAGAATGGGCTGGAGATGTTACTGCCTTGGTCCTTTCATTATTGGCTGCTACTTCCTCACAGATATCAGGTGGTGCAATACCAGTGAAACAGTACAATTTCTCCAGTGGTGTAGGGCATAGAAAACTGTGATAATGCAGCACGTCTCATTAGGAGCCACATCCACTGTTTTAACGTGGTGAGATGTGTTCCACACTGGCATGCATACTCAGCAGCAGAGTAGCAAAGCGCAAGGGCGGGTGTCTTCACTATATCTAGTTATGATCCCCAGGTTGTGCCAGTCAACTTTTGTATGGTATTGTTTCCAGCACCCACTTTTTGCTTAATATCCTAGCAGTGCTTCTTGTAGGTCAGAGCACGGTCCAGGGTAACCCCCAGGTATTTGGATGTGCTGCAATGCTCCAGTGGGATTCCTTCCCAGGTAATCCTCAAAGTATGAGATGCTTACCTGTTCTTAAAATGAAAAGCACACACCTGCATTTTAGATGGATTCGGAATCAGTAAGGGCACCTAGAGCTGAGGAGAGCTTCTGTTCAACCATTTCAAAACTCCCTGCTTGAGCGGTGATGGCACCATCATCAGCATAGATGAAACTTATATCTAATATGTATAATAATCCCATCAATTGTAAAATCAGTTTTCCCATAATTGTATAATAATCTAACCTGCATTCTTGTGAAAAATGATGTTAAAAATCCCACTTGTTTCTGCTTCCTCTCCTTGTTTCTGTTGTAGCCCATGCTGGACATGCCATTTAGTCCTGCTGACCTTATTGTGGAAGGAGTCAATGTGAAGCAACTGAAAAAGCATATGGTTCCCATCAGCAATTTCAATTTCCTTGAACCACTTCTGAAAGCTACAAAACCTACAACTAATCAAGAGAATACAGGCAATGTGGTGGCATCTCTCATTGATAAGCAAAAACTAAAAAGTGGAAATAACATTTCTTACACCTTGCCAAAGGCCCTCAAGAAGCTGCAAGAGAAAACCTTGAAAGTTAGAAGCATCCACAAAAAGTCTATCAAAACCATAGACTTTCCTCGCATAGTTGATGGTCCTGAAGCAATTGTCTTATCTGAGAAGAAAAAGACCAAAACAATTAAAGTGTCAAGCAGCCACCAACTTGGGAGTGACGTTGTTGCTGCCTTTCCTAGGTCACATGCACTAGATTGGGCATTACTTCAGCCTTCCAAAGATACAGGTAAGATTACAATTGAAGTCATTTAAGTGATCAGAAGGCAAACCTATCATGTATTTTTTGGCAAGATTTGTTCGAAGAGGTTTTTCCTTTGCCTTCCTTTGAGTAAGGTTGTGATTTCGCTGAGGTTGTCTAGTGGGTTTCTACAGCTGACTAGAGATTCCAACCCTGGTCTCCAGAACTGTAGGCCAGTACTCACACTACTACATTACTATGACTGGTGCTGCACCACAGAATTAATGCAACTTGGCACTATATCTGCTTTGACTCAATGCCATGGAATCCTGGGGGATGTAGTTTAGTCTTTAGCCTTCTCTGCCAAAGAGTTCTGGTATCTTGCTAAGCTACAAATCCTTGCTTTCCATAGCGTTGAGCCATGATAGTTAAAGTGGTGCTGAACTGTATTAATTCTATAGGGTCAAGCCAGCTTTACTGACAATAACTTGTTCACTAAGGAGTTAGTTGGATTAATTTAGAAATAGTGCACTGAGGTGTGTGTGTTTTCTTTGTTCGTTATCAATTTATCAATTTCTGCCACACTAAAACTTTGAATACATATTATTCTAAGATTTGACTCTTTCCAGCATTGTTCATATAAAACTCATGCTGCAGTTATCGTGTAATGCAGTACTTTGTAGTTTAGTAGCATTGTTAGTTTGTTTGGAATTTCCCATGAAAATTAAAATTTAAAAAAATCTATGGCACAGACTTTGGTGGTTTATAGTTCACTTTGACAGATGGGTTCATAGAATCATAGAATCAAAGAGTTGGAAGAGACCTCATGGGCCATCCAGTCCAATCCCCTGCCAAGAAGCAGGAATGTTGCATTCAAATTACCCCTGACAGATGGCCATCCATCTGATCACTATGCATATGCTTATGTGGGTGAATGAATATGTGATTGCACTCAGTGGGATCAAAAGGCAGTGAGCCCACTATACTTATCACTGTAAAAGAGATAATTGAATCCTTTGGTGGGAGGTGTTAGCTGGCTCTCATTGATGCTTGTCTGGAATTCCCCTGCTTTTTTAGTATTGCTCTTTATTTACTGTACTGATTTTAGAGTTTTGTGGACAGTTTCATGTGGACAATTTCAACAAAAAGGATGAAACCATGAAAATGAACAAAATCTGGCTACCAGTATTTAAAAACTCAAAAATCAGGACAGTAAATAAAGAGCAACTTCAAAAAAGCAGGGGAATTCCAGCCAAGAATCAATCAATGCCAGCTAACTCCTCCCAACAAAGGATTTCCCCAGGCAGCAACCATACCATTAAATGCTAATCAAGGTAGCCATTTGCAACATTCACACTTGCCTCAAGCAGACAAGAGTTCTTTCTCCCAAACTGGACATTCCATAGATATATAAATCTCACTTGCCTAGTTTCCAACAGAACTCCCCCCCACCCAACCTATGAGGATGCCTGCCATAGATGTGGGTGAAATGTCAGGAGAGAATGCTTCTGGAACATGGTCATACATCCCGGAAAACTCACAGCAACCCAGTGATTCAATCATTTGTTAAATGGCCAACACAAAGATAAATCAAGGTGATTCAATGAGTTGATTCTATTCATAGCCAACTACAGATTCAGGCCTTAAGTATAACGTGGATATACTGTCACAGATTAATGAGTCAACATATGCAGTATGATTAAAAGCCTCCTGGCCATAGTGGATAGAGTGGAACATCTTGATTAAGTCTTTGTCCAGCTGTTTTGTAAGATGTGGAATTAAATGTGGATGTCTCCTCTTTATTTAAAGGTTTGCAGAACATGAACAAGAAGACTCCGTGCCTAATTTGTGGAGATGGTTTCCAGCCAGAGAAAGCTTGTAAACTCTGCAGCTCTTTTTGTGCAACTGTACTGCAAGGAGGTTCATACTTACCTATGAGTTCGTGTTCTTCTCCTGAAAAGATGGCAAAACCCAGGCTGAATGCCCCATATTATGGGTCTCCAAAATACTTTTGACTCTATTCAAAGTGCCTTGAGAGTTTTTTTTTAAACATCCGGCACCCTAATGATAAGACAGAACTTTACCACCTTTCTTGTATATATCTATATCTATATATAAAACAAGTCTAAAAATACTAAAAGGCCCCATGTATTATCAATTAACAGTAACCACTGTGGAAGATCCTAGTGAAATTCTAGCTATTCTAGAACATAGTGAAATTCTAGCTATTCTAACTCCACCATTTCAATCTTTCTGTACTGTTAAATAAGGTGTCACATTTTAAACAGGAAGGGGCCTCCACATGTGGCGATACTATTAAAACTAGTGTCTTTAGAAGGGAAAAAAGAGATTATTCCTTGATCATTCATCAGTCAGAGAGCCTGTGTTTCAGAAATCACACAATTGTTTGCATTTTGCTCCACTGAAGGATATTATAAAACAGCTTTCTTGCACAGTTTCACTATATAGTTGTTTCTCCGTATCAATACATTTTGCATCCATGGATTCCATGGCTTGAAAATACAGGCAAGCCTCGAGTTACAAACATCCAACTTACAAATGACTCATAGTTAAGAATAGGGGTGAGACAACAGGAAGTGAGGTAAATCTATCCATAGGAAGGGAAGTTCACTCCTGGAATAACACTTTATTTATATTCCTCCCTTCTCCCCGAGTGGACTCAGAGCAGATTACAGTATATAAGCAGACACAGGCAAACATTCAGTGCCTTATTAAAATGACGTACAATGAGACACTAACACAGAGACAAAGGCAAAGACTTCTTTCAGGTCAACAGTTCAGTAGCACAAGGGTTTAACCCATTGTGCCACCACGATGGGTTAAAAGAGTTTTCATGGGGAAAAGGTGTCTCAACTGAAGCTTTATCACCAATCATAGCCTCAAAATCAATTGTCACAGGAACAGAAAGTGTGGTGAAATCTTCTGAACAGGGGCACAGGCAGCAAAACAAACACCGCAGGGCTCTTATCCTTCCCTATGCTCTCCACTTAAAAACAAACTAGCAGAACCTTACTAATCTCATTCATTACTTGGGGAATGCCTGTATTTCTAAAAATACAAAAAGCAAACCTAGATTTTGCAAATTTTACTATGCCATTTCATGTAATAAGATTTTAGCATCCCCAGATTTTGGTTTACACAGGAAGTCCTGGAATCAATCTCCAGTAGATACCAAGGGCCCACTGAATGCCAATCTACATGTGACAAAAATAAGTTAGGGAGATGACAAACTTTGATGTAATTGAGTGTTTTTACATTGAAAGGAAGAAGATGGGCCAAGCTTCAGACAACTCTCTCCAAACAAGGACATATAATACGATTCTGAGGAGATAAGCTGTCCAAATCCATTGCTTTGATCTGATGGAAACTGGAGATCTGAAACAAGGGTGTTGTGTGTGTACACTATTTATATACAAAATATTTAGTATTAAATAATAGATGGAAATGTTCTACAGCAAAATTCTGACATGTTGTTACCAAAAAGCAAAAGAGTAGCCTTCATATAAAAGACAGGTTAAAACAAGCTGGGGAAAAAAAAATACTTGCCAACTCCTGTTGTTTCTATGCATACAGACTCATAATTGTTTTCTATCCAAACTTGTGAAAATAATTTCAAGTTCAAACTTAATCCAGACAAGACAGAGGTTCTCCTGGTCAGTCATGGGACTGATCAAGGTATCGGGTGGCAACCTGTGCTTGACGGGGTTACACTCCCCCTGAGGACACAGGTCCACTGCTTGGGGGTCCTCCTAGATTCAGGGCTGACACTTGATGCTATGTTATCTGAGTCCACACTGAGATGATGTGGGATTTTCTGCCTTGATATTCTGGGATATAGGGCTGTGTGGAAGGGCCCTACAAATATCCTTATGGATTTGCCCATGGAGTTTTATATGTGATTACAACTAGCGGCTGGTATCCTCCCCATGAACATGGATACTTTCTCTACTTTCTCCACAGCAGATCCATCCTGTTGCATTTGAAAAGTAATAAAATATCCTGAAGACACAATATTTTTTTGGATCTTGGATGCTCAACCAGGGTCAAGCCTTGTTAGTACATAGAAGACAGGCTGTCAGGGCTATATTTGGAGGAAAACAACTCTCTCTCTGAATAAATCTTGTCCAGAAAACTCCATGATAGGGTTACCGTAAATTGGAGTCAACTTGAAAGCCCATAGGAAGAGCCAAATAGGAGTGGGAACTGATGAAAAGTCATCTACAAGATGAACACTAGAGGGCCTCATTCCAAGATCCTTCTAGCCATGCTAGCAATGCCCATAATAAAGAAAGCCCTGTGCACGGGATGAATATCTTTATTATTTTTCACACCTATGTTCTTCCTCGCTCCCACTTTTTAAATAAAAAAAGACCCACGTCTGAAACCCTCTGTCAGCAATGAATTAGTTGGTTGACCTTAGCCAGTCCTTATCTCTCAGCTCTAAACCTGATACAACGGCAATGGGGATAAAATAGCAAGGTTTGATGGTGAATCATGTGCCTTGGCCTTGAGTACCTTAGGCCCCCTCCAAACAAGTGGACTGGATTATATAGCAGTGTGGACTCAGATAAAAAGGTAAAGGTTGTCCCTTACATTCAGTCATGTCTGACTCTGGGGTGTGGTGCTCATCTCCATTTCTAAGCCGAAGAGCCGGCGTTGTCCGTAGACACCTCCAAGGTCATGTGGCCAGTATGACTGCATGGAGCGCCGTTACCTTCCCACCTGAGCGGTACCTATTGATCTACTCACATTTGCATGTTTTCGAACTGCTAGGTTGGCAGAAGCTAGGGCTGACAGCGGAAGCTCATGCCGCTCCCTGGAATCGAACCTGCGACCTTTCGATCAACAAGCTCAGCAGCTCAGTGCTTTAACCCACTGCGCCACTGGAGGCTCCCGTGGACTCAGATAACCCAGTTCAAAACAGATATTGTGGATTATCTGCCTTGATATTCTGGGTTATATGGCTGTGTCGAAGGACCCTTAGACCAGTGGTCCCCAACCTTTTTTTGACCAGGGACCGTAGACTTGACCAAGGGCCACTTTGACCCGAGACCACTTGACCAGGGACCACTTTGACTAGGGACCACTCTCCAAAAGAGTTACGAATCAGTTTTTGGTCAACTTTAGATTCGGTGTGGTTATTTTGGGTTCTGATTCAGAAAATTGCATTGGATAGACCACATCAGCTCTTGTTTCTAATACAGAATATATGCCATCCAGTAGTCACCATCTGCTTGCCCACAGAATACCATATTTAATAATCTTGGGTTGATGTGGTCTATCCAATGCAATTTTCTGAATCACACTCCAAATAACCACAGGGACAGGCCTAAAAATAAAGATACCAAGGCCAGGGGTTCGAATCCGGAGAGAGTGGGTTGAGCTCTCTCTGTCAGCTCCAACTTCCCTTGCGGGGACATGAGAGAAACCTCCCACAAGGATGGTAAAAACATCAAACATCCGGGCATCCCCCCTGGGCAACGCCCTTGCAGATGGCCAATTCTCTCATACCAGAAGCGACTTGCAGTTTCTCAAGTTGCTCCTGACATGAAAAAAAGCTTCTCACCTCCCAACATCCCCATTGTCTCGGCACTATGAGAGGGTTTCACGAGACCAGCTCTCGCTGCAATGGTGTAGTAACGGTGAAGCCGCAGACCATATTTTAATTCTTGGGGACCACTGGTGGTCCATGTACCATAGGTTGGGAACCACTGCCATAGAGGAACAACATGATCACTTAACTAGCAATTAATGCTGAAAAGGGGAAGGAAAACCTCACACAGTCTCAGATTTGCACCACAATGTTACTTCTGAACTAGGCTTCTAAGTTTTAGGATGTTCCTATTCATTAGCATGCTTGATGTGAAAATAATTAGCATTCTGAAAAGGGTGGCTATATAGTTGCTGTAGCATAAGAAGCAACCTTGCATAATCACATCTTGCCACCCATCTTGATCAATCAATGGCATTAATTTGGGGCTAATCAGAGAGAAAATATTTACATAGTGAATAACTGGGGTGACTAAGCAGGTTCTATACTAAACCTTTTACATCCAGAAGAAAGTGGCTTGTATTGTTTCCAGTAATGAACTTTCCTAATCCTGAGTCACTGAGACAAGCAAAAGGCTTCTTCTTCTTCTTCTTTTTTTTTTTTTTAAAGAAGAGGAGGAGTTGATTTCTGAGGTACTGGGGTGGGACTTAGTACTGTATTTAAAAGTTTTGGTGCAAAAGAGTGAATTGTCAGATTGGAAAAACAGTTACTACTGGAAAAGTCTCAGACTCCTTTATTGTAAAATAATAATAATAATAATAATAATAATAATATACCAGAAAAGGAAACAATTCTTTTCTGTAAAATACATTTATCTTTTTAAAAAATAAAAATGTTATTTAAGATACAGCTTTTTGCAGTGTTTTGGGGAACATACGGTCACCAGCTCCTTCCTAGGATTGAAGAATGTGGAGTCACGTGTTCACAGGTATGTTCCAATTTAATCTGTATCTGTTGTATGTAATGATAATTGCCTGCACCTAAAAAGCTTTTGACAAGTGCATTTTATTCCTGAGTTGGATTTTGCATGCAAAATTAATTAAGTAATAAATAAAAATACTTAGATATTTCTTCAAATGAAAAAGAAAAAAAAATACACAAAATGCCAAATATTTGCAAGGCATATTTTTTTATGACTGCCCACAATTCATTTCCCAGTCTAAATAAACTTGTATTATGTTTAAAGATATTAAATTTGCATTGAATATATTCAATGGGAAGATCTGAGCATAATTTTCAAGCTTATTTCCAGATTTGTAAAGCGAAAGAAATCAGAAATAGATATAATAAAGGCTATATTAAAGTGAAGTATGCTATACTCATGTTGATGCTTGAAAAAAATGTAAAACAAAAGATTAAAATGATTTAATAGCACTTTGAGGGATTATTTATATTTTAAGGGAGCTCTAGGAATTTTCATCACCTCATTATTTGGATTAATACCAAATGTTCTTGAATGTATTTGAGCATCAAAGTCTATCAGCTGAATGAAGATAACTTAATAATTGTTTCAGATGCTTGTATAGTAAACATTCAAATTGTGATCTAACAAGGTACCTTCTATTTCATCCATTCCTCTTGGCCTGTGGTCTTTCTATGTACTGGGAAAAGATTAAAACATATTACAGAAAGAGAATGATTATATTGCCATTTGCAGCAAGCAATGAGAATGTTGGTTCTTAAACTAACTCCACTTGAGGGCAGTCTTGCTGATGTTCCGAATTAGAAGAATATTCTTCTAACAAAGCAAGGCTGGATGCTTTGTAAAAGGGATTTTTTCCAGTTAGTGTTATATGTTATATGATTACAACAAAAGGTAATATAATTCACATACTATTCTTCTTTTCTTATCATCACCTGATGGGTTGTCCACCAAATGTGTGAAGCACCCAGCCTGAAATTCATTGTCTTGGGATGACTTTGAGCAATATTTTGAAAACTCTGGGGTGATTCACATCTACCATTTAGCAATGTTGAAAGGATTTTTAATAAGAATTTTAATGAAATGTTTCATTTTGGTGAATGGTTTGCCAGAACACACTGTAAGTGGAGAACTATGATCTGTATGTGTATTTTTGTCACTGGAATTACTAGAATACCATGACTCATTTTCAAAACATCCCAAATAGAGTGCCTCTGAACATGTGGAAAGTATTTGTTCCTTTTTGAAAATTGTATTTTGGTGAGGCACCAGCACTCTTTGGCAGAGAAGATGAAAGATCTTGTAAAACCATAACTCCTACAATTCCTTAGCATTGAGCCATGGCAGTTAAAGTGTTGTCAAACTGCATTAATTCTACAGTGTAGATGCACCCTAGATCTGCATGTTATTCCCCCAAGACTTTTTTGTGCTTATTGACTCTTGAAGGCTACGATTTTCTGTGCCCTCTCCAAACCAGAGTAAACTGTTGGAGCTTTTTTACACTATATATATATATATACACACACACACACACACACACACACACACACACACACTACATACACACTGTCATTCCAGTTTAGCTGCCATGGTTCCATCCTATGGAATTCTGGGATTTCCAATTTGGGGCAAAATGCCTTACCAGAGTGCTCTACTGCCCCACTAAACTGCAAATTCCAGGGTCAATGGCAGAAAAAAATAGAATTATGACTTTATAATTATACCATGGGCCCATAGTATCTGGTTGCCTTTGGTTCCACAACTTCTTGTGAATGCCAAAATCTGCAGATGCTCAAGTGCCACTATATACAATGGCATAGTAAAATGACACCCCTTATACAGAAAGGTAAAATCAAGATTTGCTTTGGTGATATTTTTTTGAGGGGAGGGAAATATTTTCATGCTGTGGATAGTTGAAACTGTGAGTGCAGAATCTGTGGATACAGAGAGCTGACTGTATAGTATAAGCTGCAATTCACCATTTAGTGTAGTTATTTATTTATTTACTACTATCCTGCTCTCTCTCACTCTGAAGAGTACTCAGAGCGGCTTACAGTTCAATGCTGCATATTCAAAACCAACCAACCATACAATGTATACCCAGTTCCTTCCCAGAACTTTTAAACATCAAAACATACCTGCTTTTCACAATCAGAAGTATACTGGAGGAGTGGGGTTGGGCAATGCTGCATTTGGAGGGTTCTTAGGACAGGGCATTGTTCCGGGTATGTAAAAAGCTCATACCAAAATGAATGTTTCATTTTTAAAGGATTGGATCTGAGTGTGCTGGCAGATACCATAATCAGATCCAATGTCTATGCCACCGTATGAATGCTTAGAGGCAGGGTTAGTGGGGATACTAGGGATAGGCCCAACATGGTAAATATATCATGGTCTTTTATGTGATAGTATTTTAAGGGAGCTATCCAAAGGGCACATCCATGCTGACCACTTACTGTAAAGGGCTGGCAAACCAGTTCTGTGGTGGCTAAACAATGCACAAAGCTGAACTGGATTAACTTGGGCAAAAGCTGCTTAGCATGGCCTTGAACTGCGTTAACCAAAGTTGTGGTCTGCTCTGAATTTGTACACAGAAACCAGAGCAAACAGCAACTTCGAGCCCATATAAACAGTTATGCTAGTTCCAAGATGGAATCACCCTCACCTGTTTAGTCAGTTATCCCTTTTTTCAGCCAGGCTTTGAAGCTACAAGGCTATTAATGCTATTCAAGGTGGCCAACTGCAACATTCACTTACCTCAAGCAGACAAAAGTTCTTTCTCCCACTCTGGATATTCCACAGATATATAAACCTCCCTTACCTAGTTTCCAACAAATGTCACAACCTCTGAGGATGCCTGCCATAGATGTGAGTGAAATGTCAGGAGAGAATGCTTCTGGAACATGGCCATACAGCCTGGAAAACTCACAACAACCCTATCTCTTTTTCCCTGAGCTCAGGTGTTCTAGAGCATGGAATGGCACCCACTGCCCCCCCCCCCTCTGTTCTTGTTGTGGTGACCCAGTGGGTATGACATAGGTCATGTTGGTTACTTGTTGCCTGGAGTGACACTTTGCTGGAATGACAAGGTGACCAAAGAAGGGGGAAGGAGAAGGGGTGATTCTTCTTCTCTCTCCACTTCTGCATCTCTCTGTCACCTCAACTGACATCACTCCAGGTGAAAAGTGACTGGCATGAACCATCTTGCACTCACTGGCTGCTGTGATAAAGAGAATGGGAATGAAAAGAAAGGGTGACTGTCTGGCAGCTTTGAACTGGGTTTGGTGCTTCTGGGAAGCCAGGAGCTCCCTACTTCTGCAGCAGTTGGGTGGTGGCAACAGTCTAAACCATATTGGGGGTGAATTGGCCCTGGGGAAAGTGATCAGTTTAAATCTATCCCAGGAGTACATATCATCTATATATAGGGATAGACTGTATCTTTTCAGATATTGCTGGATTGTGTATTAATGGGAAATGATAGAGACTGCAATTCAGCAATATCAGGAAGATCCAAAGGGGCTCATTTCTGGAATATAAACTGAAATGCAGATTTTTTTTCTACATTGGCAATAGAATATTAAAAGGTCAGTTTTCTCAAGCCCCTTCTACACTTCCATATAAAACCCAGATTACCTGCGTTGAACTACAGGAAAGGAGATTCCACCTGACTGTGAGAGCTGTTCAGCAGTGGAACTCTCTGCCCTGGAGTGTGGTAGATGCTCCTTCTTTGGAGGCTTTTAAACAGAGGCTGGAGGGCCATCTGTCAGGGGTGCTTTGAATGTGATTTTTCTGCTTCTTGGCAGGCAGTTCGACTGAATGGCTCACAAGGTCCCTTCCAACTCTATGATTCTATGTAGATTAATATAATCTAATTCAAAGCAGAAAGTATGGATTATCTGCTTTGATAATCTGGATTACATGGCAGTGTAGAAGGAGCCCTAGTCTACTGATTTAAACACCAGTATATTCCACTCACCTTTGTCCCAGTCTTTTAAATGTATGCCATTGTTTTGGTTTCTCCCAACACAGTGTCTTCAGTTTCTTTAGAAGGCATTATTAACTCAAAAGTATGCTAGGATGAGATAATTCAGGAGCTCCCAGTGGCATAGTGGGTAAAACCCTTGTGCTGGCAGGACTGAAGACCGACAGGTCGCAGGTTCGAATCTGGGGAGAGCGTGGATGAGCTCCCTCTGTCAGCTCCAGCTCCCCATGCGAGGACATGAGAGAAGCCTCCCACAAGGATGGTAAAACATCAAAATATCCAGGCATCCCCTGGGCAACGTCCTTGCAGACGACCTATTCTCTCACACCAGAAGCAACTTGAAGTTTCTCAAGTCACTCCTGACACACACACAAAAAATCTGCCTGAATTTATTCAGTACTAAATTTATCTATTATATATATATATTAGGGCTGGGCGGTTTCGTTTCGTTAATTCGTAATTCGTTAAAAATTCGTTATTTTTTTTATAACAAAGCGATAACGAAACATTCTGGAGTAACTTAAAAAGAAATGAATTTTTAAATTCGTTTCGTAAATGCTTCGGATTCGTTATGTATTCGTTTCGTTATTGGTTTGAGGTCGTTTCGTTATTATTTCCGCATGTCTGGGGCAAGTTTTATAGTTGTTTTTTGTTTAATTAGTGAAAAAAAATTATCATCACCAACAGTCAACAACAGAGGGAGAGGGAAGCTTCAGAAGTTCCCCCTGTCCCATTTGGAGGTTTTTTAGCGTATTGCGCGGTCGCGTCCGCCATTAACGAATCGATTCGTTATTGTTTCGTATTTGTTTAGTTAATGTTTCGTAATTTTTTTAACATTTACGAAATTTCGTAAATATCGAACTTTTTAAAAGAAAAATTTCGGAATTCTTTTAAATATCGAAACGCAAAAACCCCCAAAAAAACGAATCGATTTTAGAAACAAATTTTTCCGTTGTTACCCAGGCCTTAATATATATATATATATATATATATATATATATATATATATATTCAACATTTTTTC